AAAAATATTTCAGAATGTACTGAAGAAAATTTATTTTTACTACTGAAACCAATAACAGAAAGAAAAATTTGTTTGACTATTACTGTATTTTACTACTTATAATTCAATAAAAAATTAAAACGATTTGTCTGACAGAAACTGACTTATACTACTGATTATATTAATAAAGTAATAATAAAAAATATATTCTGTCTGAATAAACATTGACCTGTTCTACTGTAAAATATTATAAAAATTCTCACAGAAACCTATTTTTACTACTAAAACTAAAAAAAAACAAAAATAAATAACATTTTGTCTGACTAAACTCGTTTTATACTACTGATATTAAAATAATCTTTATATTTATTTTATTTTATGTATTTAAAATATTTTGTCTGACTTAAATTGGTTTTGCTACTGATTATACAAAGTTAACTAAAAAATACACTGTCTGACTAAAATTATCTTTTACTACTTGTTAAAAAATTAAGAGAACATTTTATAATTTCCGTCTGACAAAATGGGGGTTTAACTACTAATAAATTACATTTAAAAATGTACTGTCTGACTAAAATTGACTTTTACTACTACGATACGAAACTAATAATTAGGATTTTTGAACTTTCACTTGTTTTTAAAAAAAAATATACAAACAATGGTTTGTCTGACATAAAATATATTTTACTACTGATTTTAGAAATATCAAAAGTTGAAATTGGCTGACTATAATTGATCTTTACTACTAATGTACTAATAATTTTCGAATTAAATGTATTCCGTCTGACTGGAACTGTCTTTCACTACTAATCATGTCTGACTAATACTGATCTTTACTACTGAAATACGAGACAAAAAATGTAAACAAATTGAAATTGTCTTTGCCTACAAATAAGAAAAATGATAAAAATTTAAAATTTTATGTCTGACTAAAACTATGTTTTACTACTGCTATTACAGTAAATAAATAATATTTTGTCTGACTGTAACGGTTTTTTACCACTTAATCTAAACTTAAATTACTTAATTGTAATTTTACTAAGAGTACACTGAAAAAAAATTTATTTGATTCAAATAATTCGTTACTTGACTCTTATCAAATAAATATTTACTTGAACCGAATAATTTTTAAAATCGCAAATAATTGAATTAAACAAACTGTATTTAAATCACTAATTTTTGTATTTAAAATAAATACAACTCAAAATAATAATTATTTTATACAACAAATATTTATTTGATACGGATAAATATTTATTTGCTACAGATAAATGTTTATTTGACACAGATAAATATTTACTTGATATACAGATAAATATTTATTTAATACAGATAAATATTTATTTAATACAGATAAATGTTTATTTCACACAGATAAATATTTACTTGATACAGATAAATATTTGTTTGCTATAGATAAATGTTTATTTCACACAAATAAATTTTTGTTTTTACTGTAAAATATATTTAATTACAAAAATAACATACATTTAAAAAGAAAAAATAGATATGGCATCAAATATATTCTCAATTTAAAAAAAAAATTTCTTTCTGTCGATGTAAATATAAAGTTTTTTTTTGTGAAAAAAAGAGGAAATAATAATATATAGACTTTATTGGAAATGACTTGTCCCTTTTGCGCGCTCGAAAAAAGACGCACGTTTTATGGCGTATGACGTGTGAGAGATGTGAATGTATGCATGAGATCATAGCCGGCCTGAAACAGATGGCATCAATAGACAGAAAATGAGCGAATATATATTGCTAATATATACGGAAAGAGAAGAGGGAAATATAGAATTTCACACCATTCGTATGTATGAAGTTATATATGAAGGGTTTTGAACATAACTTCCACGTTTACTGATCACTATAAAATCACAGTTACTGCCTCTCATGTCGTTCAAATTTACCGAATGAATACCAGTAAATAATATATATAACATATACAGTAAGAAAAGCTCCATGGTAGTCACAGCCCATGAGTGCGAGTGAGACAAACTTATGCGTAACGCATGCTTTCCTATGACTACCATGGTACTTTTCTTACTGTATATATTCATTTTTTTATATTTATATTACAACATTTCCAATCAATATTTTTCTAGTTTTTCTTTTCCAATTTTTTATTATCAATCATTTATTTTTTATTTATTAATATAGATACATTTTTTCTCTTTTTTTTTTATTTATGACGGGATTCGAACTCGAACCAGAAAATTGGAAGTCAGGCGCCTTAACCACTGAGCTAAATTAACACAATTATATTATAATAATATAATAATAATAAAATATAAAGACTATAATAATAAAAATAATACAATAAAAATAAAGAAAACGGTAAATTGATTTTATTTTTAAAAAAATATTGAATATTAATAAATAACTAATTGTAAAATTGATTCAATTGAAGAATAGAAAATTTTTATTTTTTTTTTTTCATCAAATTTTTCATTGTCGAACATATATATAGGTGTACACTTTGAAAGAGTACACGAGTCTTCCATTTTCAGCGTTCCATGTTCAATTCTTTAGTTTGAAATCTTTACAGATCCGTTTCGAGTGAAACTACATGGGCGCACAGACACCTTAAATCGAAAGGGTAGTTTACCTGATTTATGATCCTTTTTTTGCACAAGAGAGGCGAATTTGAAATTTGTCAAACTTCAACCCTTCATTCTTTTGATACTCAATTCAGGCAATGACGTTAAGTATCCCCACACATTTTTTTTTCTTTTCTTTTCTTTTTCTAAAAGTCAACTTGATTGAAGAAAAGAATAAGAGAACTTAAAGTGGCGGCCTAAAGGACTTTTCTTGAATCTTCGACATGGACACTTCTTGTGTCCGGCCTTTTTGGCGATAAATAACTGCAGTCGCCAGAAAAGCGTCACGAGCAGCAGACCATGAAAACGCCCATCGTATGAGAGAGAGAGGGGGGGGGGGGAAGAAAAAAAAATTAGAAAGAAAAAACAGATTCAGCTGATCGAGATATGTTATCGAATCCTCGTCTTTTTTTTTTGATTTTATTTTAACGGAGAGAAAACTTTACCTTGAAAGAGATTTCAAAAGGATGAGAAGTGGAAAATTGGAGATAAAAGAAAAAGAGCCGCATGAAATATATACAGATACAATTATACGAAATGAATGGTATATTATATGAATATTTATAAAATATAACAATTTCCTGTATATGAAAAAAAATTACTTTTTTCGAAATTTAATTTCATGTTTCAAAAGAAGAATATAAAAAAAGAAAAAAATTGCAATTTACCACAGTATTTGCCAGCAAAACTGAATTTATGTTCTAAAAATAATTTCCCAAAATAATAAAATAGAAAAAAAAATATATATATATATATATATAATAAAATTTTTTATTTAAATTAAATAAAAATTTATTTGGAACAAATAAATATTTATTTGGCTCTGAGACAAATATTTAATTTCTCCACATGTAGAGAAATAGTATCTGTAAATAGAATTGAAATTGTAATTAATAAAAATAAAAATAAAAAATTAAATACAAAATACACAATAAAATTAAAAATAAAATTAAAAATATAATTAAAGTATATAATTAAAAATAAAATTAAATAAATGACATATGAATTATATTTTACTCGGACGTTACAGTTTCGATAATTATTATTATATAATTACAGTATTATTTATAAATTTTTTTATGTTTTAATAATAAATAATAATTGAAAAAAATAAGAAAAAATTGAAATAAAGCAGAGAATTAATAAAGGAAAAATTCATAAAAAAAAAAAATAATAATAAATTCAATCGATTGTCAGCATATTTTCTTGGCAACGACTTATGAAAAGAGTGCCTTAATCATATTTCAATAAGATAGAAAAAAAATATGATTTTCAGGATTGTAGAAGAATTTCTTAACTTGTAAGAAACCAATTGACTTTTTTTTCTAAAAAAAAAAAAAAAAAAAAAGATAGCCTCTGGGCAATATTGATGTGCAGATAAAGGAAAAGTAATTTTAAATTAAATTATAAATTCTAGATTTCGTTCACTTTTGTACGTTGGAATATACATATAAAAGAAATAATTCTTCTTTTTTTTCCTAACGGTTAAAATAGCCCAAGATGCACTTCGAGGTACTTTCATTGATAATGAAAAAGGGAAGAGATTGAAAAGAGAGTAGAATGAAAAATCGAGAGAGAGAGAGAGAGAGAGAGAAAAAAAAAGTAGAATCTCTGTTAGTATATACATATATATGGTTGAGAATTTTCAATTTCTATTTTTAAAGGGAACAAAAATAAGCCTACATATTTGTCACATTTATTTTTTTCCATTTTAAAAATAAATTTAAAAATATTTTCTATTACAATTTGCCGAAGATTTTTTATTTAAAAATTTCAATTTTAATAATTAATAACATTTATAAAATAATTATTATTTGAGATTTTTTTTAGTTTTATTAATCACTTAATTGAGAATAGATTTTTTTTCCCCTTGCTGCCCATCTCAAAGTATTACCATTTATTTAAGTTAGATCTTATGTTGATCCTTCTATAATTGCCTTCCCTTCTCAAATCCCCCGACCTTTATTGATGATTGGCTCTCGAACATTTAATCCTTTCTCGACTTGTTGACGTTTCTACCCCCCACTGAAAATAGTGAGGAAATTATTTGATTTTACAAAAAAAAAAAAAAAAAAAAAAAAAGATTTCCCTTGATTTAAGAGTTACTTTTGAAAAATTATATATGGAAAAAGAATTTATTTCATTATATTGTATTTTTTTCAAAATTTTTCCGCTCAACAATAATTTACAATTTTAATTCCTGTTTTTTATATTTATTAATTTTTATCTATTTAATTATAATAATTTTTAGATATAATAAATATTTTTATATAATAATTCAGTTTTTAAAAATTTTTTCATTTAATTTTTTTTTAAATAAATAAAAAAAAAATTTGTATCTATAATAAAATTTGTTTTTAATAATTTAATAATTTTTAATAATTTGTTTTTCAAAAAGAATTTTTTGTTTTGTTTCAGAAAATTGTTGTACGCTACAATAAAGGCCAATCGGACAGGTCATTTTATGTGGATTGGCAGTGATTCCTGGGGAGCTAAAGCACATCCTGTCAAAGAACAAGAATTCGCCGCTGAAGGAGCAATCACTATCTTGCCTTTTAAAAATTCCCTCGAAGGTAACATTTTTACAATAACTTTATTTTTATTTTCTTCTTTGTATTTTTTTGTATTTTTTTTTTTTTTTTTTATGTTTAAAAGGCGAAAAGGAAAAAAAACTCTTAATCAAATTAAATATATATTTCCAATTGAATTATCATCGCAAAACTCAATTATAACTTTATTGTTAAATAGGTGAATATTAGATAAATTTTGAAACAAAATTAAATTCATTTTGTGTATACAAATTGACTATTAATTCATGTTTCTCATAATCTTCTACTATATATATATATATATATATATCTGTATTTTCAATTTTGTTCCTCTCTGTTTACAATTTACGTCAAAATTTATAATCATGCAATTTCTTTATTAGCTTTTAAAAACTTTTTGCAATTCGCCAAACCGCACGTTGTTTATACTTTCAAAGCTTGTAATATTCCCTCTTTTCCCTCGACTTTTCCCTGTGAATAATGTATACATGAAATGAATTTAAGCAAACTCGTGTAGAAAATAAAATCTGTTTCTCCACAGATAATAAACAAGTTTTTCATCTCTGCAAATATATTCTCCTCTTTTTATTTCCAAATAATATGGAATTTAAATGTTCTTCTTTTTATTTCCAAATAATAGTCCAATTTTTTTTTTCTGTTACTTCTATTTAAAGGAAAAAATTATTTATATTTATTGAAAAAAAATATATATTTTTTATAAATAAGAAAAAAAAATCTAAAATATTAGTAAATAATTAATTAATTTAAATAGTCATATATCAAGTTAATATTTAGTAATTTTGAAGAAAAATTATAAAATTACACCACTCGGTAAAAAAAAAAAACTGAAAATTCTATTTATTTTCTATTTTTTTTTCTCATTTCTAAGTCCAAGATTCAACGTCCATTGCTTTGCTCCAGTTACTCTGTTAACTATTTTGTCCCCCAGAGCGGTATCTAACCAAACCGTCCTTAGTGTAATTGAAAGTTTCACTTTGAGGGTAAAGAGTGTAATTTCTTCCTTATCAGATTAAAAACATTAATCATTTCAAGATGATGGTAAACGTAAATCCTTCCACTTTCTATTTTTTATATTATAAAAAAATTATTTTCCACAAAAAATCTATATTTTAATTCTTTATCATCTTTACGTACAATGAAATATTATTAAAATAATATAATGATAATAATAATAATAAAAAGTACATTTTTGAAAATAAAAAAATATTTTCAAACATGTTAGAATTGAAACAAAAAATTTTTTTTTTGATTTTCGATGAAACTTAAAATTAATTCAATAATTAGAAATAATGAAAAAATAATTTCAAAAGAAGGTTTCAATTTGACTTTTTGATTAAGGGGTCTACCCACTTTAGACGCGCTAAAATGAAGGCTGTTTTCCAGAATTTTTCTGAGTGGTTTATATTATAAATATTGACATATAAGTTGTTAGACTAAAGAAATACACTCCCGAAATACATGAAAAAATTTTTGTTATTTGTTTTTGTAAATTTTATCTGCTTGCAAATGGTAGTTGAAAAAAAAATCCCCCAAAAAAGATGGGTCCAGGCTGTTGATGAAATCTCTGACATGAATTGTCCGAAACCATAAAATCAAAAAGTTTTAGATTCAGTGTGGTAATAGCTATTGCGCATATCAAGGGATTTTTTATTTTGGCAAAATTTACAAAATGGCGGATATTTTTAAAAAAAACTAACACACGGTTTTCTTTAATTTTTCGAAAAATGTCCGCCATTTTGTCAATTTTGCAAAAATAAAAAATCCCTTGATATGCGCAATAGCTATTAACACACCGAATCTAAAACTTTTTGATTTTTTGGTTTCGGACAATCCATGTCAGAGATTTCATCAACAGCGTGGACCCATCTTTTTTGGGGGATTTTTTTTTCAACTACCATTTGCAAGCATATAAAATTTACAAAAACAAATAACAAAAATTTTTTCATGTATTTCGGGAGTGTATTTCTTTAGTCTAACAACTTATATGTCAATATTTATAATATAAACCACTCAGAAAAATTCTGGAAGACAGCCTTCATTTTAGCGCGTCTAAAGTGGGTAGACCCCTTAAATGAAAACTTCAAACAAAAGTGATAAATTGAAGTTTAATTGGAAATAATGGAAAAATACAATTTCAAACACAAAACAATTTGGAAAGAAAAAATTTTTTTTTTTTTTTTTGTTGATTGAAACAGAACTTGAAATTCTTTCACAATAGTTAAAAAGTTCTATTTGTGAAGAAATTAAAAGAGTACGACGTTTTTTGAAAATAAAAAAAATTTATTTCACTGGAATAATGGAGAAAAATGGGGATTTCAGTATCATAAAAAAGTCTCTAACAAGAACTTTCTTCATCAAAAAAAAAAAAAAAAAAAAGGAAAACTATAACACTGTCAGTTAGTTTAGAAATACATGAACTGTGATGAATTTTTAAAAATTTTATTCACATCTCGATAAACTAAAAATTCTGCTATTTCAAGACGGATAAAATTCTTTTGAATTATTTCTTCTTTATGAAAAATTTAATTAATTCATTGCTGTTAGAAAAAGCGCTACCGCTTGTCTTTTATTAATTTATTTCCATGTTTTAATAATTATCGGATTTTTTTTTATTATTAATAATTTTTCAAATTTATATTTACATTTAATTATTATTTATTTTTATTTTGAATGAAATTTTTAATTATTTTTTTATTTTTCAGTATCGTGTGATTAATTTTTATTCTGATGATTATGTAATATTCTCCATAATGATGCGGTTGGATAATATAATTCATAGAATTACTTACAACAGATATATATAAACTGGACCAGGCGTGAGACATTTCAGATGCAGATTCTCTGAATTGTTTACGGTTATCCTCTAGAGAGCCGTTAATCGGCATGTAATTATTCGAGGTCACATGACACTTTCCTAATCTATCATTCATATCATTAATTTGCAACATCAAGTTGCGACGCCCTGAAGGGTCGAGTTAGGTACTAATTTTGAATTATTATGATCAACACAAACAACTATTAATCATGACTCAATTCTATGATATATAAAACAATACAAATGTTTTTACATTTATCATTCATATTAATTTCACAATCATTTTTCTTGTCTTCAACTTATTTTTTTTTAGCTATTATTAATTTATTATTTATTTATTTTTACTTTCACTTTTGGAATACTGAATTAGAAAATGTTTGATACATACAAAAAATATATATGGACCTACAATGGACCAAAGAGGACAAAGAAATTTCAAAATTTTCGAAATATCAAAAATTTCTTAACTCATAATTTGATGGCATTAAAGATTTAATGCTATTTATAATTAAATAATTGAACGTTGGAAATAAAATATAAAATGGAAAAAAAAAAAATTGAAATCTGTGGGAAATCAACGATTCAATAGATAAGCATTATGATTTGTCGTCTTGAGAAAATGAGAATAAAATTTTGCAGATGATCGAAATAATGAAATTTGGCAAAAGAGAGCGCATTGTCAATAATCTTAAAGAGATGGATGTGCGATATCAAATTTTATTAGGAATCGATTCGTTTAAAATGCAAAATCATGAAAACGCTTGCTGGCAATTCCGTCGAGACGTGATTATAAAATTCTGTCTATATATATATATATATATAAAAAGGTCGATTTATTCGTTGACCCCTGTTAATTTGAGGTTGCACTAAATATTTATAGAACTAACTCCTTCCTGTTATTCAAAATTTTGCCCTTATTACATTTACAAATTTATTAAAAAAAAAAAAAAAAACAAATTTCTAAAAAGTCAATTATTGCATTTTATTTTAAATTGTTATTCGGCAGACTATTCTAATTGGGTTTTTTCCTTTTTCAGATATACCTGAATATATTACAAAAGTTTTAATTGAAAAAATTATTTTTTGTAGGTTTCGACAAGTACTACAACAGTCTGCGTCCACGAATGAATGACGAATGTGGAAACCAAGCTGAACAAAATGTGGAGCATCCAACTTTGCCGGGAAAAATAGTTAATTGTCGAAATCTTTGGTTCCGTGAATTTTGGCAACAGCATCATCGTTGTACATTTGGACCGAAAAAAGATGGAAAACCACAGTGCACGGGCAAGGAGCAATTAAGAAATTATGAACAAGAAGGATTGGTACCTTTCGTTGGTAAAAAAAAAAAAAAAAACTTATTTTATTTATTAAGATCAAAAATTTTATTTATAAATTAATTAATATTGAAATTCAAAAAAATAAGTTTTAATATTATTTTATTCTTTTTTAATGATTTATTATTATTTAATTTTCACAGGCAAGAGAGTAGATCAAAAAAAAATTTTTTTTTTTTCTTAATGTAAAAGCAATTGTGTTAATGGATTCAAAAATTAGTCTTAGGTGAACGATAAATTTCTTTAATTTGCTCGACAATTTATTCACACTTTGTGAGTTGAATATTATTCACAGAAGGGAAATACATTTTCCTATTACTATAAAATTTACGCCATTTACTTGGCTTCAGTGTGGCAAAAGTTTACTGCGTAATTTCAATTTTGTTACCCTGTTTTCGTCCCAAGAGTTTTAAGCACACGCTACTGTCACACAACCTATGGGTTCACATTTTCGAATCGTGAGCCATTCACAATTCTGAGTGGCACGTTTCAAAATTTTATGTTTCACTTTATGACTGCCAAGGTGTGTCACGCCTTTAGAATAAGGTATTCATTAGACTTAAGATGCAGCTGGCGTGGAAGTTTTTATGTTGAGACTTTTATACAAAAGGATTTGAAGAAAAAAAAATCATTTTTCAATCATTGACTAAATTTCCATTCATATATAGAACTAAATTTTTTTTAAATATTTGCTAAAAAATCAGAAAAAAATTATGTTTTATTAAATTTAATTAATATTTTTTGATAAATATTGTTAGAATATTTTTTTGGGACGCAAAAAAGATTGTATTTAAGAAAAAGTAAATTTGCTATTTTATTTGAACATTCTCTTTATTTAGTGTTCTCGAAAAAATACTTTCTTTTTAAGCAGTGAATTTTTTAGTTCTACATATCTACACCCGCCCGGATTCTTTTTTCCCTTTTTTTTCACATGAAAACGCTTTGTCTACCCTTATCTCTTTCTTCTTTTGAAAAGCTCAGTTCTTCTAGTGATCATTATCGTTCTCGTTGTGTCTCGAATTCAGTATTTCTCTAAACTATCCTCAAACCTTCGTGTCTCTCTCTCTTTCTCTCTGTCTCTTTTTCTCAACTTGACACCAATATTTTCACATCCTTTTACTTCTTCCGCTTCGGGTTTTCTTTTAGCCACTTCTATCTCACATCCTTATCCAATTATCCTTTAAACTTTCATTCATTTCGTCATTTTAAAGACATATTATTTTTTTTTCCATTGATAAATCTACTTCCCGTAAATTGATGATCGAAGAAGGATTTTTTTTCCCCTCTTTCTCAATTAATATATTTTATTTAGGAAAATTTTTTTAAATTAACAATATTTTTTATATTTTATTATACAAAATTGAGTACAATTTTAGAGAAATGATATTGAATTTTTTTTTTTATTTTTTACAGTGGATGCTGTTTATGCAATGGCTCATGGGATTCATAATCTGATTGAGGACGTGTGTGTCGAAACCGACGAATCCGAACATTATTTATGTGACAGTTTGAAACCTGCACCCCGGGGGCAACAACTTTTGCAATATATTCGTAACGTCACTTTTATAGGTAAGTGAAAACTTTTTCTTTAACAAATTTATATGTTCATGTCTAATGAAAATTAATTTTATTTTCATTAACAGAAAAATAAAAAATTATCAATCGAACAGGAAAAATAATTATATATACAAATTAATTTATTTTTATCAATATTATTCGAAGGTTAATCAACGAAAATTCAAACTTGCTCTTTATCTCTCGCCTTGATTAATTATCACCGTCCTTTCAACTTTTGTTCTGACATTAAGAATGTAGAACCATTAGGAAGAAAAGAAAGGTTCGTTAATTTCGTGCTCTTTTTTTCTCCCTTCTCCCTCTCGCTTTTTCATTAAACGACGGTCCAATGTGATCAATGTTTAAATAACTATGCTGTCTTCTCTCCAAGAACAATTGTTCTTTAATCAATATTGCACTTTTGCCTTTATTTGCCAAAAAAAAAGGAATTCTCAATTTCGTTAAATATTAGCGTGGTAAATATTACCACTTACCGCTCTCTGCAGAACTCCAATTTCATGAAAAGTAAACACAAAAGCTAAGTAAACGGTGGACTCTTTTTTTATGACAAAAGACGTCGTAAATTATTTCAATGCCAATACATAAAATTCTGTATAATTACCTCGCTCTTATCGTGAATATATTTTTTCCCCTTGAATTAAATTTATATTTTGGGAAAATGTGTCTTTCTCTTTATATTTTACTTTCATATTTATTATAATAATTAAATTTTTTACAATTTTGCATAACTGTTGAAGATTAAAAAGGGAATTTTAAAAAAATACTTTTTTTTCTAAATGATAACAAATAAAATTGTAATTACCACACTATAAATTACAAGCTAACAGTAATCAATGATCATACAAACTAGAGAAATACGTACTGAATGTTTGCCGACTGATAGGTGTGATCAGACATCAAAGGCTTTCAAACATTCCTTTTTCAATCACTTTTTTGATTCAAAAATAGTATGTTTTCCATCATTTTTTTAATGTTTATTTAAAAAAAAATTCAACTCCTCTGTTAATAACTTTTCTAATCTTTCTATTTTGTAAATAAAAAATTTTTTATCATAAATAATAAAACCAAAATAAATAATTTATATTAAACATTACATTTTTTTCATTAAATTTAAAAAGAAAAATTATTAAACACATTTTTTTTTAAAAAATAGTAAATATATTTTTTACAGGTAAAATATCGAAACCTAAATAAATTTCCATTACTTTCTATATAAATACATAATAGTGACGGGCCATGGGATATTTACGTGTTTCGTTTATCTGAAAAAAGAGGCCAAAAAAAAGGAAAATTCGAGATTTTTCCTACCTTTTCACATGACTCGTGTCGAATTGCTAAAAAGCATGTCCTTTACAATAGGAAAAAAAGCCCCACGCCAGTCACTTGGCACTTGGAAAGAAAAATGATGGATTTCGATAGGAAAAAATTACGAGAGCTTTATAGTATCGTCCAATTCATCGTTCACACATAACACACGATGAAAATAGGTTCATTGTCGAAATAACGACCCCAATGTCACTTTATATATATATATATTGAATATATTTTCCTACGCCATCACAACTTGGCATTGTATTTATTATTCGTTTCGCAAGTAATTTCCCTTCCACTTTGCCGAGCAGTTTCATTTCCCACGAGGATAGTCGTTTGTCAAACTCTATATAGAGACAAAGAAAAATTAGTGCACCAAAGATATATAATTTACTATTTACTATTATCGGGTTTTATTTGAAATATTGAAATAATTTTTTTTTTTTTAATTTTTCTTCTTACTAAAAGATGATAATCTTTTGTTATAATAAATAGAAAAAAAAATGATAGATAACATTTGTCATCTATATAAAATTGATTGGCAACATTTATTTCATCAGGATTTTCTTATTGATAAGAAATCAAATTTATATTTTTCATAGTTTTCTACGCTAAATTGAGGATCAATTTAGTTTCCCAATTTTCAAAGTGGAGGCAATTATTAACGTTACAACGAGGCAGTAAACGAATCATGCCCTAAAATTTCCAAATTCGCATTAATATCAGAAACCCATGTAACCAATAAGCCTTGATCGTTATACCTCCGTACAAAATGAACGTTTTAATTACAATATGTGTTAAATTCCTTTAAATCCAATTATGATGAGATTAAAATTTATAGGTCATTCTTGAACCCTTTAAATGCTTCTTGAATAAATTTAGCACCAATAACAACAAAATATATATATATATATATTTTATTATAGTAAATAAAATTTATTTTTTTTCAGTTTTATTAAATTTATCAAGCTTCAATTTAAATATTAATTTTGTATATTAACTTTCTTGAGAATTTATAAACTCAAAGTAGTAAATTATTCCCGATGATTCATCTTCTCGATTAGCATTTCGAAAGCATAAAGTGTTTACTCAAAATTCATCATTTTATGAAAACTAATAAATTTTCTTAAGGAAGTCAACTCTTGGGCGAGTAACATAAAAAGGATTTTATCTAAATGAAATTCTTTTCTGCTACTATCCATTGTAAACGAATTCCTTTTACCGCAAATAACTACTTCTAGAAAATCAATATTATATATACTTTATTTGAAATTTATAAAGAAAATTTGTTTATTAATTTCAATTCTTCGAATATTTTTTTTTTTTTTGTCTTCAATAGCAAATTTACAATTACACTCCATTAGTTGAAAATTTGCCATTATCAAACGAAATAATTGATTTAAAAAAAAGGAGGAAAAGTTTAATCTGATAATTTTTGCATTAATATGCGCATTGCTTCTTCTAATTGAATTTCTTTTTTCCATATGTGAGGGAAAATTCAGATTTAGGTGTTTCGACATCCTTTTTACAGTTGATACGATTTACTTCAAAATTTAATTAAATGCAAAAGTAGAAAAAAGCAGGTTAAGCAGAATATGAAATAAAATCAAAAAAATTATCAATCTCTTTCTTTGTTATTTTTCCTCTCTTTTTTCCGAAGCACAAATAAATGTTTTAAAATTAAAAATATTCACTGCACAACGAAGACTTAAATTTTCCATGAAAACACTTTTACTTCTTATATTAAAAGTACTCGAAAAAAATACATTTTCATTTCTAATCAACTTTTTATAAATTAAACTTTCATTTTTTTAAAAAATAGAACTGAAATTTATTGTCAATTACAATCGATTGGAAAAGGTGAGAGGAACATTCAAAAAAAAAAGAAAGAAAGAAAAACATGTAAATTTCAAACCAAGTAAATTTATTTCTGAACTAAAATGTCGCTGGGGAAACAGTTAATTTTCAAGAACGACTAATGGACGAGCCGGTTACATTTATTTTTCTCTATCCTTTGACTTTTCTTTAGGGAATTTTCTCCCCCAAAAAAACATTTGTTACAAACTTGTATTTTTGTTTACCCAAAGCGTTTTATTATACGAAAATAATTAAGTTTTCCGCAAGAAGTAATTTTCTCGCTAAAGAAAATATTGTGTAGGAGATTTGTGTGGAACTCGAATTTTTTTAAAAAATTTTTATTATATTTATATAATATTATTATATCAAGCAAAAAAAAGGAGCACAGTTGCGTTTTGTAAAAAAAAAATTCATTCTAGTCGATGGTTTTTCTGTTCGTGTCTCTCGACAGCCATAAATTTTTATGCATATGTTTATGGCTCAACATTTTCTTCTGGGATGGTAAAAAATATAGGGCACAAACCAAAAAGCATTATTTTTTCGATGCATATGTTGTCACGGTTATAATTTAATTCTCAATATTTATAAAATACTTTAATTTTTTCAATATTTATTAAGAATATTACAAAATTGTCAATATGCGCACAATTTATTTTTGTATAATAATTTCTCAAATATTGCATGAGAAAAACACATCTATTGTTCTTTTTTTAATTAAATTTTTGAAATAGAAGAGAATTTTATAATTAGGAAAAGGAAATTAAGAAATTTTTTAAAATTCTTTTTCTATATTTCGTTGTCTTATTTGTTGAAAAAATCATTATTAAAATCTAACAATGTTCGTGCAATTTCATGAATAAAAGTGGTTTTTGCTTCTTTGTGCTTTATATATATATATATTTATTTTAACAGAAATTCTGTTCAGCGGAAGTGAATTGAAAGTGACATGGAAATCTTTGATTTGGTAGGGTTTCGAAAAGGCTGAATTGTTCTGCGTAAATAGGACGAGTGATTCAATTGTTGGAGCAATCTAAATTATTTATCGATCCAAAGTTACTTCACTCTTGTTCGATTTCAGTTAACGTTGGATGGTTATATTTTTTCTCTCTATTTTTTTTTTCATCTCAGGTCGAATTCTGACGCCTAGAACTTTTGTTGCATTTCGTATGAGGGAAAAAATCAAAAGAAAAAGAATTCAAAAAATTTCCATAATTTATTTTTTATTTATATTTTGTTTCCGATTTAAAAACAATTCTTTTTTTTATTCATTTAGTTGAATTTGATTAAATAAATTGAGAGTATGATAACAATTTTGTTTTGCTCACTGTTTTAGAGAATGATCTCTATTCCAGAGTGAAACCTTATTTTCTGTGACTGAAATTTTTTTTTTTTTTTTTTTTTTGTTTTAGGTCGACAAGAGACTGAAATTAGATTTAACGCCGATGGCGATGCCTACGGATATTACAACATTTATCAATATCAACGTGGTGAAGAAGGGCGATTCAATTATACGCTGATTGGCACTTGGAAAGAAGTGTAAGAAAATTTATGACACTTGCATTTTAAATTGTATTTAAGAATTTTTTTAAAAATTAATTTTAATCGAAAAAGATTGTAAAGAATTGGATAGAATTTTAAAAATCATATCCAATTGTTTAACAAAATTTTTCTATTTTTTTTAATTATTTATATTTAAAAATATTTTTCATACGTTAAATTATTTTTCTTTTGTTTGTTTATTTTATTTTTATCAAATTTTTTAATTTTAACAAAAAAAATGCAAATTTTTGCAACAACAACAAAAAAAAAAACTGGAAATTAAATATTAAAACTTCAAATTTTATGGTAAATTTTCTCCAACATCCGTATAAATATTTAAAAATAAAATCCATTTTCCATTGGTGAATTTTTTTTATCGTGAATTCTAAAATCAGTAACGTTTAATGAAACAAAACATTCCAGGTTTCCTTTCAGTATACCCTCCATGAAAAAAACAGAACACAAAAATGCTACCAGTGGAAAAGATTCTTTTGTGGCTTCATATAACAGGTGAACCTGATAACTGTTTGTTTCAAATAACATATATAAAAAAAAAAAAAAATTTTTAGAACCCAGTCAAATACAAAAAAAGTCAGAAATGAAAAAACCTAACAAATAATTCTAGAAATTTTTAATTCCATTGTTATAATGGACGTACAATAAATAATAAATCTATTCACTGCGGTCTAGAATCGAGAAAAGAAAAAAAAAAATTTTTTTAATTTTTAATGTTTTGTTACATATTTTGTTTATTTTATTTATTAATTTATTTTATAAAAATGAAAAATATATTAAAAAATGGTTATGAACCTTTTTTTCATAATGTAGAACTTAAAATGGAATAAAAAATTAAAATGCAACTAAATATGTGGTGGAGAAAAAATTGATTTCTAACGATTTTTTTTTTTATTATTAATATGTAGATTGGACTTCGATGTCAATTTGACTGAATGGGTTACCGGTTCTGGTGAGGTTCATATTCCCCGTAGTACTTGCAGCGATGATTGTCCTTTGGGACACGTTCGTAATTTTCAAGTGAGTAAACCATATATTTTTCAGTGTCTTACGTAAACTCATTTTATCAAGCTTTTTTCTTCTCGAAAATTCTAGTCTTATTGTTTTTTCGAAAAAAAAAAATTATTTATAAAATTAGTTAACCAAAGAAACAAAAAATTTGATTTATTTATAATTTTCCTTTTTTTTATTTTAATTTTTTAAAAAATTAATTCTTTTCTTTTTCAGTTAAAAGTAATTTTTTTTTAAAAGTAAACAATTTTATTATTTTTCTCAATTAAGATAATAAAATCTTTATTTTTTTTTCAACCATTTTCAATTTTCAATTCATTTTGACAATACATGGATTTCTCCGCTTTGTTGGGGAGAGTTATGTGTATTTTATAGCGGCACAGGGCACTTGTGCGATAACTGTCGGATAATCGCAGAGGCTTGTGTAAATGTGGGGGTTTTGGTGAGAGGGGTGCGCAAGATCGTTTGCCAGGTGAAATGGTCCCATAAATTCGTGCCAGTTCCTTTTCTCCTCTATTCACTCTAATCGCAGCGAAACACGTTCGAACTTTAACTTCCTTATTTACAAGAGACAAAACCAATCGATTGCTATAGAAGAAGAAGAATGGAAGTATAGAAAAAGCAAAAGAAGCGAGATTATTCAACAAAGCCAAAAGAGAAATACGCAAAAGTCTGTTGCAGGAGGTCAAACTTGTAAATTTATAAGAAAACTTTTTCAAGCTTAGTGTGTTCAGATAATCTAATAGAAAAGTACTATAACTAAAATTTGTTTGCAACTTTTAAAGTGAGTTCAATTTATGAAAAGTTTCATTTAAGGGACATGTTACAACTTCAAGTTTATTTATTCACTCTTTTTATATTCTGAAAAGCTGATAATATTTTTAATTTTTACTCAAATTAAATAATTAAAAAAAAAATTTATTTTTTTCCATACAAAAAAAAATAGATTTGAAAAGTTTTATTTTCTCTTAATGTTTTATTCTCGAGATTATTCTATTCTCGAATGGCGTCACTCTGTCGCTTCAATAAACAATGGAACCGCTTGTATTTGCGGGTTACGAGATCATAAACTGAATGAGTATCATGTGGAACTTTGTATTTGACTATACGGAAAATATTAATATATTATTACTCTCTCTCTCTCTCGTAATATTAATTTAAAAATTATTAACTCTAAAAATGAACATTGAAATTTTTAGAATGAAAAAATTTTGTATTCAAAATATTGTAGTTAGTAGCAACGCAGTTTGTTATTTCATTGTTTTACTTTTTTTTTTATTAATTAATAAAATTCTATTTACAAAATAATAATAATAAACAAAAACATTTTTGAATATTCAATTTATTGAAAAAAATTTTTATAATTGAATAAAAATGGGATATTTTTTTTTATATATAATTTGAACAATTTCAATTCTATTGTTCTGTGTAGCTAATTTTGTGACAAATTGTCGAGATAATTTAACAGCTGGTTTCTTCGAAAGTCGAGTGCAATATATTCAAACCGCAATAATCGAAGTTACTGTTAGTGTTTCAAATGTTGTTTACTCCCCTTTGGCGGATTTTCCTCCGAGTTGGAGAGTGAGTTGTTTCCTGTTTCAACATTAACGTCTGTCGATTTGCTTAACTTGAAAACCGGAAGGAAAGCTCAACTCTTATATCTTCCCTTTTTAATATCGCCTTTAAATTGATAGAATTCTTTTGACATTTCGTTAAATCGAAATTCTTTTTAAGATATATTTCATAAAAATGACCTTATTTTTCTATTTTATAAAATAATACAAAAACTTATTTCTGTTTTATTTAAAAAAAAAAAAAAAAAAAAAACTCGGATTATAAAGTTATTTAAATGTTTTTTTTCTATTAAACAATAACTATTGTTGAGGAAAAATCCAAGAACTATGTACTTTCTCAGTAAATAAAACAATAAAATTTTCTTGATAAATCGACGAGAAAAATGATTTTTAAAAAAGTTTCTTCTGAGGGATATTTTCTATATATATATATCCGACATAGAAAAATTGTACCACATCATCTTCTTTGGCTGAATATGTCTTTTTTTCTCTACTTCCAATTTACTTTAATATCGTTGATGCCCGAGAAAACCTGTAGGAAAAACGATATTCCTGATATACAAGACGATGACAGTTTTCCTCCCCCCATCGAAAAATTTTTCCAAGTTGTGATATTGTGTGTAAAGCCGTGTGGCGATGCAATTCGTTTGCAGTCAGCAAAATCATATCATAAAATATGTCTCGCCAAAAAAAAAAGAAAATAAAAAAACAAGATTGCTTTTATTATATGGATAAGTAAAAATATCTTGTTCGATATATTTATTTGAAAAATGAATAATAGTAGTAAAGCAGAAAAAATCAATATAATTTAATTTGAAAATAAAATGACACTTTGATCACAGGACCATATAAACCAAGGGGACTAATTATGGCTTGACTCTCAACTCACCTGAAAGTTTTGTTCTTTGAACAATGCGAGAACTATATATACGTGTATATATCAAGAATTCTCTCTCACACACACACACATATATATATAGATCAAGTAAATGGCTACAATGATATGCTCGTAATTTTCGTGATTCGCTTTAGGCAGTAATTCGCGAATCTATTGACAACCGTGATTTTATCGCCAATATCCGTACTGACATATGATGCCCCTTTACTTCATGTTCCTATTCTCTATATGCTTGGAATGTGGGTTCTCACAAATTGATGCAATTTACTTCGTTTTATCCTCGAAACGTATGGGTCTTTAGGATATCATTACAATAAAACTCTCTCAGAAAGCAGGATTTTATAAAAGTGTTTCTCTAGGAAAAGATTTTTCTCTTTTCAAATAAATATATTTTGTATGTACTCCAAAATAGAAAATTTCGTAGAAATAGAACAATATCGAAAAAAATAAGAAAAAATATAAAATTATTAAAAAAATCTTTACTGATAGAAAACTATTCGCAATCGATCATCACAAGAATTCATATATATATATATGGAGACCGAAAAAAGAAAAAAAATCACGTTTTTTTATCCCATTTTCCGAATGGTCTATTATAGCATTCAGGATACTATTGAGAGGATTCTTGTTAAAAAAAAAACTTGTAAGAGCAGAGGGTCTCGTTTTATTCAATATCGGTTAGGGAAGCAGGAAATATTTCATTGAGATTTCCGAGTACCACACGTTTTCTATCCATTGACCACCTCTATCTCTCTCGAGACACAAAATGAGATCTGCATTTTATTCGTCTTTGAGATACGCTACCGAATTTCCCTCCTCCAAAAAGTGATGAGATTCTTTTTCATGAGAAATTTTTGCTTCTTTTTTTTATTTTATTCCATAGAAAACCTGTCGTTGACTATTTTCATGAACCTATAGGTCGTTCCCTTGAGTATCTTTTCTTCTCTTCTCGCATATATACACATCTACATATATGTGTGTGTTGATATAAATTTATGTATGTATGCATAATATGTACTTACATTGAAAAGCTAAAGCTCTCACTCGAGGGATGGAACAAGCTCTATATATATATATATAGGGATATAACTTATGGATACAGAGATCATTGCTACAACTATATAATTTAAATAATTTTCCTCTCAAAAATAGTAAGAGTTTAAATTTTTTTAATTTAATTTTTTTTCTCTCTATTCCCAATAATATTTGGCGTCATATTTTATTTGAAACATTTGTAGGAAATATTTTATTTTCTTTTTTTTAATGTTCACTACTGGAACACGTTCTTCACTTTGGAATATATTTCTGTGAAATATTTTAGAAAAATTCAAAAGGAAAAAAATTTTAGGAATATATTGGAATAATTTAAAAAAAAAGAAATCAAAATAGTTTTGTCTTTTTTTTTAGGAAGCCTGCTGCTGGAGCTGTGTGCAATGTCCTCAAGAAGCTTTCGTTTTTAATGACTCGTGTCAAAGGTGTGCTGATGGTTATGCACCAAATGATAATAAAACAAGTTGTATAAAATTAACACCTGAGGTTATTCCCTGGACGAGTCCTTGGGCAATAGTTCCTCTCGCTTATGCTTCTATTGGAATTTTCAGTACTCTCTTTACAACTGCAGTTTTTATTCGGTAAGTCACTGTTTTTTTTTGTTTTTTTTTCTTGAAAAGTTTTTCAATAATAAAATTTCACTTTCTCTCTTAAAACGTAACGTTAAAAATTTTTTTTTTTTATTCAATTTAATCAATTTGAATTGAATTAAAAATTAAATAGTTTGAATATCTGCAAATAGTTATAAAAAAAAGTGTTCTTTAAAGAAAACAGGAGTTTTAATTTTATTTTTAGAACTTGAAGTGTAAATTAGAATTTATTTTATAGGTCAGTACGACTCGCGTGAAAGAAACTTGAAATTGACCTCAATAATTTTAATTATAAATTTTCTTAACTAATTGACAAGGTGTGATTTTCACGCGGGTAAATTAACACTCGAGCGTTAGTTTTCTCGAGAGTACTCTCGCGTAACATAGATCAATTAACACAACTCTTGCCAAGTGAGAAGGATATAAATTAAATCATAAACATAAGCTCTTGAATTCATTTTTCACGTTTAAAAAAAATTCTATTCTTCCTTCGGAATCTTTTCGTTGAAAAAAAAAAAAATGTTCAAATTGTCAATTTAAATAAAAAGTAATTAATGAAATTGATTAAAAATAAATTTCTTATTGTAAAAAAATAGATATTTCCAAAAAAAAAAAGTAATTTTCCTCTTTGATTAAACGCGATTTTATTTTTTTGTTCAACTATTTTCTGGTTTGACTTGTAAAACAAACGCGAAATGTCGGAAAAACCGAGGGATAACTGTGCGTTAATGGTCTTGGATTATTATTTCTGTCGAGAACAGGTACAACAGAACTCCAGTAATCATGGCCTCTGGTCGTGAACTCTGCTACGTGCTTTTGGTTGGTATCCTTTCCTGCTATGGGATGAGCTTCATAATTCTCAGTAAGCCAACATTCTGGAATTGCACCTACTTGCGAATTGGTCTCGGTCTCTGCTTAAGCATTTGCTATAGTGCAATTCTAACAAAAACCAACCGCATATCCAGAATTTTCAACGAGGGTCGTCAAATGAAAAGACCTTCATTCACTTCACCGAAAAGTCAAGTGGCAATCACTATCGGTGAGACATTTTTATTTCTAATAATTCAAATCATATACAAAAATAAAGTCAAAATTTTTCATCAAAAAAAATATAATTTCAACTAAATAATTTAATTTTTAAAAAATTTTCTAAGAAAATTAAATAAAAAAAATATTTTTTTATTTAAAATAATCATGTAAAGTATTATTTAACTTTGTGAATACCGCGTGGGAAATCTGAGGAAAATCGTGAAAATGAATGGAGAGCTCCGAATTATGTAACACCCGTCTTTGTACAGGGCTTACTGCAGTTCAATTGGTTGGTGCTATTTTTTGGCTAATAATTGAACCACCGGATATCAAGGAAATTCATCCATATCCCCTGACAGCAGTACTTACATGTCGTGTATCAACTTTCTCTCTTATGATGTCATTGGTCTACAATATGTTTCTCATTCTTATGTGTACATTATACGCATTCAAGACACGAAAAATTCCAGAAAATTTTAACGAAGCTAAATATATTGGATTCACGATGTATTCCACCTGTATCGTGTGGTTGGCTTTCGTTCCAATTTATTTTGGAACCAATAATGACTATAAGGTTTAATTATTTTTCTCTCTCTATCTTTGTATTTTTGAATTTACTTCCAATTAAATTAATTTTTGAGAATGCTCTTTTTTTATATTCAAAAAATTTATGGAATAATTAAAAATTTTCTATTTTTAAAATAAATATTTTTTGAATTCAATTAAATGTTAATTATAAAAAAGTACAGCAGTAAATTGTCGTTGATTTTTAATTTTCTGTTGCATTTCTATAAGACGCGAATGTAATTATTAAATAACACAGAAAGTTTTCTTTTACAGATACAGATAGCTAGTATGTGCATGTGCATCAACATCTCAGCGACTGTTGCTCTTGGCTGCCTTTTATCTCCGAAGGTGTACCTGGTGCTATTTCAACCTTACAAAAATGTCAGATCCGGTCAATCTCATGTAAGTTTTGCACGCTCTCATAACTTGCGGGGCAAAAAAAAAAATTTTTTTTTTTTTTTTTTTTTCTTTATTCGTCCTTCGCGTACATTTTTTGTCAAGAGAGGTGACGTGCTTGATATCTCTTCTAGACGATTATTCACTCTGCCAAAAAGCACGTTCAAACTTACATTAAAACTTCAAATGCGATAAGCCTTGCAGATTACTTTTCTTTAGTAGGGTGTGTAAGCTCTCTTCCAGTTATTATCGTAATTTCAATCTACTTCCTCGATTTGAGAAAAGAAATTTTCTTTTGCGCCTTCGATGAACGAAATCATATAAAAAGTTTCTTTTTTCTGTCACAAGAACATTAATATTATTTTCTCTAAATGACGTCATAGAAAAGTTTATTTTTCATGTGGAAAAAAAAATAGAAATCTTATAAATTCTTTATGTTCTTCAAATTTTATAATTTTTATATTGAATATATTTTTGTATTATTTAATATTATTAGTAGAATTCAAATTACAAATTACTTTTGTTTAAAAAAAAAAGTTTAGTAAAATATATACACAAAATTGCATCAGCTGAATAAGAAAAAAAACTTTCTCATAAAACATCTGATCTGGATAAGGGCGGGACCAGAAGCTGTCGAATAAGAATAAATCACAAGGTGCAGGGCAGTTCGGAATATCAGGATATAGAATATAAATTGTTGATTGCCTCCATACCATTTGGCACAAACTTTGATGATGTGAGTGTATATATATATATGTACATCCTGTATATATAATATATCGATAATCTCATATACATTTCTATATACGTGGAATTTTAAACTTGTAGTTCGAAAATGTAACTTACTGGTTGGAGATGAGAGAGCAAGTTATACAGAAAAGTTTTCGGCAAGGCTGTACTGTAATAAATTTTATTTGCTACATAACACAAACACTTGAAATTTTATAAGGAAAAACAAGACATTGCTTTTGTAGTAAATATTACATTTAAAAAAAAATATTTTCATAAATAAATAATTAAATAATACTAAATAATTAAATTAAATAAATTTTTAAATATACAATTTCAATAAATGGTAGGTACAATTAAAAAACAAATATTTGACTTTTTCAAAAATTTATTTTCAAGTCAATTTCAAAAAGTAGCAGATATAATTAAATATTGCGATTATTTTTTTGTTAAATTTTTAGAAAATAATTTAACATTAACTATGTCTACTTGGTAGTCCATATATTTTTGTTTCTTTAAAATTTTATAAAAAGAAATGATTTATCAATTTAGTTCAAAAAATATTTATATATAGTGAGTCTATAAATTTTGGATGAAATCCGATCATATCCAGATTTTTCACTCTTTCTCTCGATCTCTTTGCTTAAAAAAACTTTTCTCCATACCCTAATAAGATTTGTAATCTTCCTTTTGCCATATTTTGTTCTTGATCAAAATTCCCATTTTCCATCCTATTTTCAAACTCGTTTCGATCCTTCGATTTACACTGATCGGTGTGATTTTTCAATCCAGGAACAGGAATTTCACTTCCGCATAGATTGCATATCAAACTGACTTTCTTCATCATCTAAAAAATAAATTTCCATCATTAAAATTCTTAAATTAATTATTAATCTTAAATTGAATTATTTTGTAATTTAAAAAATTTTTTTAGAATCGAAGAATAGAATTAGTAAACATGATAATTTTTTTTGTATTGATTTGCACTTCTTATTTTGTCCGTCATCGTCATATTTTTGATAGGACTTTTTTAATGACCAACACAGTTCCTGACCTAAATTTAGAAATGATGGAGTAAATTGCAGAGATGAGTGTTCGCTTTTATTCAATGCCAATAGAAATTTATTCCCGCAAATTATTTCTCATGATTTTTGATTGAAGCACATATTCTTTATCGTGTTCTATTTATTATTTTCAATAATCTAATCTCTAATTTTCATCAATTAAATATTGAATTATTTTAATTGAAAATAAAATTTTTCATTTATTTTAGTGACAATTTTCAAAAGGAATTTTAGAATTAAAATTTTTTATGTCTCACAATAAAAATAAAAAAAAAAAAAAAAAAACATGAAACGCGTCAAACTATTAAATTCCACAAGTATGGTGAAATTCTTTTATATTCTTATTTTTTAAATTATCAAAGAAATATAAACATTCAAGAAAATTAAATATGAAGAAAAATGACAAATTAATATTTTTAATTTTTATTTATTTGATGAATTATAAAAAATATAATAATATATTTAAATTAACTTTATTAATAATGTGAATTAATAGCAAAAATTAATAATATTGTTGAAAGATTTATTTCCTCATAATGAATTTAATCTATTTTAGTACTTACAAGAAAAGCATTATTGAATTGATTCATCGTTTCTTCTTGAACAAAATATTTACGTTTGGATTGATCGAATAACTAAAGAGTCGATGTTTAGCTTTCCAAAGTTCTTGTACAAATTTTTGTTTGTGGATTCTTATATATATTCTCTTGAGGTCACATTCGAGTTTAATCGTAATATGTCGATTATTTTCGTTATAAAGTGTCGAATTTTCTATTTTTCAAAATTTGAAAACGAATTTTTTCCAGTCACTAATATTTTTTTAATTAAATAATTAAATAACACTAATTTTTTTTTAATTAAAAAAAGGTGTTTCCAAATTTTAGAATGATTAAGAGAGGCAAAGAAAAAAAAAGTCATTGCAAAGTTAACATTTGAAGGTGTTTTTTTTTTTTTTTTGCATTGTTACAGGCAAGTGCCACTCAAGGTGCCCAACGGCCAGGTTACAGTATGCGGTTTACAGCGGGTCGGAGTCAGACAATGCTGAGTGTAACATCGGGTTCGAGAAGCAGCCCACCGCCCACTCTACCTCGTGCAGGTTCACGTAGCGGAGGTGAACCAAAGCACGCAAATGGTGAGCCACAACGGAGCCTCGCCGCAAGCCCTTCCATTGAGGAAACATCCCTTAGCTAGGTCGCCCTCGTACATCTCCCTCTCTGTCTGGAGCATCATGCCACTGGCGCGGATAGCCAAAAGATGCACAAGACCGAGATGGAGGTGTATGGGGTTAAAAGAACTGACGAGCAAGATGACTATAAACTCTCCACGGTGCCTGAGCTTCCTGAATTCTCCAGCCCACCCTCCCAAACTCTCAAGTCCAATCAGGATACCGAGGACTACAGAAATGGTTCTTTCACCAACTCCGTAAGTTTTCCATTTTCTTCTTTTATTCCCATTTTCTTTCGTTTCCTTTTTTTTCCATCAACGTCTTAAGTACAATAAAAAAAATCACATTTTTTATTTGAAAATATTTCTTTATATGAAATATTTTATTTAGTGAACAATTTAAAGTAAATTAAATTTATTTATATTTCTTTATTTGATTTTGCTCTTGTATTTTTTGAGGTCGCTGAATCCCTGGAGAATGTTGACATGGAAATCATTTCCAGTATTTCGGAGAAGGTGGCTGCAAGAACATCGCCAGTGGACTATTCCTTTGAGGATCAAATCCAACAAATGTCAAGTTCGTCACCAACCTTCTCCAAAATTCCCACCCAATGAGAGTAAGAGAGAGAGAAAGAGAGACAACTAATATTTAACGTCCGTTTTAGCGAAATGACGACAGTTCTCAGGGAATTCCAATCAAGAACTTTGAACATTTCATGAAATTGAGAAATTTATCTTCATATCGAAACCCTGAGATCTTTCTATAATAAGAAAAAAAAAAATCTTTCAAGACTGTATTTCCATCTATTTTGACATTTAATGTCATTTACAAAATTTTGAAAATGCTCCCAATGCATTTTTAAAGACTAAAACAATTTTTAAGAAACAATTTTAAAAAAGTAAGATCCCGTCTTATAGAATGTTTTATTAGAGAAATACAATTTTCCGCCAAATGAGACGACAGATTTAAAATTTAAATCATTTTTTCTTTTAAAAAAAATTCTCCATTTAATTAAAACTTTTATCGATAATGTTGAATGCAGTCGATTTTGTTTTTCAACATGCGACATATTTTTTTTCGAATTTAGTTAAGCCTTTTTCAATACGGTAAAAATTTATTGATACTGTGAAAATATTGGTTTTCTTTTTCATTTTACAGATTCTATAAAGCTTTGATAACTTGCAATTTTATACCGCAAGGTAGTATCAATATTTTTTTCCCCTGCGCTTTATTGTAAACAATCAACTTAGAATGAACAACTATCGTTTGTCTAAAAGTTTAAAATAGATTTCAAGATCGCAATATATATATATATAAATTTGAGAAACACAGGCTAAAGTTATAGAAGAACGAATAAGTGTTGCAACCATGCGTTAAAGTATGTCTTCCATTTTTCTCTTAAAATTCTATTTCAAACTTGTTACGGATGTTGTGAAATTATTCAGAATCGTATATCCGCTTTGTTTCTCTGAAACTTATTGTTAGAATATTTATTTACGATCGACATTTCACTTTTTTTTTAAATTCATCTCAAGACATGAATTTTAATTTAGAATTTTTGCTCCTTTTCACTAAATTCAAATTTCTATTTTTAAATCAGGGCGATGAGAAAAAAAATGAGACACTTTCTATTAACAAAAGTAAGTTTTTTTTTTGCAATGTATATGAAAAGTAGTATGACATTTCAGTGAATTCAGAAAGCTTGAAAGCAAATAAGGGAAATTCTGACGTCACACGAGAAATCAATAGGTAACTTGATCCATACACTCGTATCGATGTCTGCTGCCATTATAAACCTACCCTCAAAAACCCATATCGACATTTCACATGGTACATATTTCAATACTCCAATCGTCATGGCAAATATAAACTCTCTTCGTTCAAAAAAAAAAAAAAGAAAAAAAACATTCCCACGATCAGAAAAAATATTTACCAAAACTCTCATCTCTATTCTACAGATGGTTATTTTCTGAAAAAGATTACATGTGACACTTTAACAGCTTCTGACATCTTCATCTCGACTATTTCAATATTTGCCAAGAGTTTTCATTCCATGAAGAATGGATCCGAATCAAGTCAATTACAACTTTTCTTTAACATTATATATGAAACTATTTCTCGTTTTCCTCTCTATTATACAATTTTCTGATAACAAATTTGTTCAGCATTATCGAATTTTTTTCTCCATTAAATAATTAATTTCACACTTCTAAAGAATTAAAATGAAATTTTTTTTTCAATATTATGTTGAAAAATTTTATTCAGAAACATTTTATTAACTCAATTTTAGGAAAAACTTCATAAAAATTTATTTCATTTAACGAATTGGGGATATTATAATCTTTATGCAAAGTTAAACTATATAACTATGAGGAATTCCATTAAATTGGAATTTGTAAAATCAAATTATTAACTAGTTGCATCACCACGTATTTCGTATGAAACAAAACTTTATACTCCAAACTCGAGGCAATCACTGTACCATAATAAACTAGCCTTCGGTGAAATCAGATCGATGTTATGCTTGCGTAGGAAGTCTATTTCCAATTGATCATTATTGGAATGCAACAACAATTCATGTCTATATCTCCGGCATCATTAGCTGATTCTATTTGGTATGACCAAACGTCCCTGCAATGTCTCCACTTTTCATATATATATATAGCATATAATTTTCCCTCAAAGAACAAATTTTCTTTCTACATTAAAAAAATTTGTGTCTCTTTCTATCAATTAAAAAAAGAGAATTTTTTCTTATTTCAAAATTATTAACACTTTCTATTTATCCATTAAATCTTAATTTTCCAAAACACAAAAAATTTAATGATTCAAATTTAAAACGTATTTAAAAAGAAAATAATTTCTTCGAATTCTCAAATATAATTAATTAGTTTTATTAATTTTTAACTTAAAAAAAAACCCCGCGAAAGAGAATATTGATCGTGATGATATTGAGCCTGACAGTAAAACCGAGAGAAAAAAAATACGAAATACAAGATTCGATTTTATTCAAAGAATATCTGCCACTGCGGCTTTATTAAAGCAAACAGTGCATAGACTGCAATTTTGTACAGTTTTTGTATTAAAACTCGCGGAACGTTTAACCAAACAAAGAGTGACTATATAAAAAGCGATAAAAAAAAAAATAAAATTTTTCGCAAAAAAAATGTTCATATCACAGATCCTGAATCATAAATTACACGTTTTTAAACATAACAAAATGTTTAGACAACCAAACAGTGAGTTTAAAATATTGTTGTCCCATTTTTAATAAATCCTTTCTAAATTCTGTCAGTATTTTTTAAAATAATTAGTAACTAATTAAATTGATACTTATTTAATTTTTCAACAGATAATTATTTTTAGTCATTTTTTTTTTTAATAATTTTGTTATTCTATCAGGTTTTATTAATTTCATTAAATTCAATAATATTAGGAATAATTTTTTAAGTTATGGAAAAAAATTTATATTTATCGTTAATGAGAGATTAAATTTTTCTATATATTATATAAATAAAATTTTTATTTTTAAATTCGATTGTGAAGAAATATATTTTTATTAATTAAAAATATAATTAAGTATGAAACACTATACTTACTATTTTGAAAATACTTTCGTCTCGTTAAATAATTCACAGTGATGAAATGAAAACAAAAATATTATGAAATCTACTTTAAAAAAAAAAATCTCATGTTTGAAGCTAATTATCTAAAAAATAATTACATGTGTAAAATAAATTACCTGTTATCTACTACTCGTCATTTTCGTGAAATAAAATATAAAAAAAAAATTATCAACTTGCGGCACAAAAAGAATTGTTAGATAAGGCATTGTTCAAGTCCAATAAAGGTCTGACAACAAATATTTCAATCTCAAAAATCATTAGAGAAACACTATAAATTTTATGTTGTAATATCGATAATTAAATATTAATTGAAAAAAAAAATTATCTTCATTATTATATAATTGTGTATTTTAATATTCAATTCAAAAATTGAAATTATAAAATTGATTAAATTTTAAGTGAAAAAATTGATAAATCAAAAGATAATCGAGATTTTTTAAAATACTAAATAAAAATTATATTTATAAAGCAAGTGTTTCTCGAAATTAGACGCATACATGAAAATAATTTTTTTGTTTTTATCGTTAATAAAATAAAATCATAGTACAAGCTAAAGTCTATTCTATAAATATAAGTAAAAAAAATTGTACATATTATTAATTAGTTGGAAAATAAAATTACTGTCGATGATTATAATTATTATAACACTCGAGAGACGAACAAAATCAATTGTAAATATAATCATAATAATTATAATTATATCAAAATATGTAAATACTGTCATTTTTGGATATTTTAAATATTTTTTTTTTCTAATTCTTTCAAAAAAGTAGAGAACAAAATTTTAAAAAATCTAGAAATTTTAAAGAAAAATTTTTACTATTAAATTTATTGACAATTATTTTAATATACTTTCACTTGATATTTATTTATTAGTGAACTATAATATAATCACTTTTGTAAATAAAATGAAAGACTATGGGTGATGAAACTGAAATAGCATTTAGGCCTCTTGATTTTCAAGTGGCTTAGTTTTAATTGTCGATATAAAAATAAAAAAAAAATACAATGAGGAGCAATCTTTGTAATTCAAGACTTTAGCAAATTAAACTCTATATTATACTAATAATTAATTATATATATGGAAAAAAAGTCATACAGCTTAACCAAAGAAAATGGAACATAAAAGAAAACGCCAAAAGAAAATTCTTTAAAAATTTTTCTGTACAGATTCCAAATCTGTCAGATATGTTTCGAGAAATATAATTATACAATATATTAAATAATATATACGTATAAGGGATATAAAAAAATAAGTTAAATTCATATAATGGTTGATTGTTAGAAATGCCAAAGAATGAATAATCGCAAAATATTGTTACCATATTGGCAGTATTAATAAAGTCAGTGTTACAAAATCTATAAGCATAAAATAAATAATTATTCGTATACTCTATGTATTATAAAGTCTTGTTGAAAAATATTTATTTATTTATTAATCTTATTAATCTCTAATTTATTAATCTTCATAAAAAAAAACAGTATAAAATTTTCTTTTTATTTAACAGTCAGTCTTTATTTATTATTCTTTTTAATCATAGTTTATAATGTAAATTTATTACATAATTTCATTAATTATAAACAAATATTTGCTTCAAGTCATTATCTTGTTACGAGTTACGAATTACAACTGAAGTATTCTAAATAAATATATATAATTATATTATAAAAAATATTGCAGTCCTACTATAACAAAATAGTTAAATAACACGTTCAGCGAGAAATCAATATAAAGTGCACGTTAATGTGTTTAAAAAAAAAAATTATTGTTTTTAGATATTGAAAATTAATACGCGTGATACGTAAAATCGAAATTCTTAGGCTGTTATCACTTAATGTTTAAGTCGAATGTTAAAAAAAATTGTATGAATGCACGATAGATATGTTTATAAATGTAACGTATAAATGTAAATGTTATTTAAAAGAAAAAATGTTTAGCATAAAAAAAGCAAAAATTAACTGCAATGAAATGGAAAAATGCTTTAGACGTTACAAATAAATTCCTTGAGGTAATTTATTTTTTCAATAAATCAATATTAAAGAAAATGTTGAAAAATAATTTCAAACACATAATAAATTGCCTCAATTGAACAGTGTAATTTTACGTGATTTTAAATTCAAAGCGCACGATTTTTGTAATGTATTGTACATAAAAAAAAAATTAGAGATCAAATTCTTTATAATCAAAAGAAATTTTACAATAACATCCAAAAGTATTGTGTTTGTTAAATTTCAGGAACAAAAAAAAAATCATAAAAAACGCGAGTATATTCACGTAGATAATAAACTTCATACGCAATTTAAAAGAAAAAAAAGGTTTATCCTACAAAGATGTATTACAGCGAATTAAGAGAATAAATTTAAGATAATGTTATAAGAAAACTGAGTGAATGTAAAATGAAGAAAAAAAAATGGATGTTAATAGAAATTACGAATCGCTCCTCTATCAAATCTCACATGAAAAAAAATTGAAACAAAAAAAAAATTGTTAAATATTGTTACTAAAAGTGTCATTATCTTTGTACACAAAATGAAAGCTCGCACTTTAGAGAGCGAAAGTCGATACTCATTTTTAGTACATATGTGGTTGTAGATTTTTAGATAATCGCAAACTCGAAATTAGTTAGTCACCTCGAAATTGTTTCCTTTCCTTTTGTAAATATACAAATTCATTATCAACTATGTTTACTTCAACTTCTTTTCTTTACAATTAAGTCTCTTAATATATATATATATATATAATAAACACAAAATTTGAAAAATAAAATAATATAATTATGTTTCCTAAAGCTAAAGAAAATATAATTTTCTATTCTTTTCAAGAAACAATAATAATAATAATAATAATAATAATAATAATAATAAAATATAGTAAATATATAATAAAATATATTAAAAATATTTTTCAGTTATCAGAATAATAAAATAAAAATTATGATAATTCGTAAATTACGAAATTATCGGAATTTTTAATATAAAATTGAATGAATTTAAATTTCGTTGATTACAGAATCTTTTTGAATTATCCTCGAGTTATTACAATGAAATTTATTATAATTTGAATATTATTATATATAATAAATGTCGAAATAAAAATTTCTAGTCCATCTAAATAAGTAATCACAATTGGTTCCGTTTTCTTTATCGTAAAAATATATATGTACATCTTAGTGAAATGAATATTTACATATAGAATCAACGGAATTATGGTTTATTATAGCGGACTTTTTGTCGATCTTGATGTCCCCGATATTCAGTGATCATTAACTTACAAAGAAAAAGATGAAAAACAACTATTAAAAAGCCTATCGTTACCCAAAAGAATGTCGGCAAACCTCCAAGTTGATGTCCATGCTTATGCAACGCAATTACATGATGATCATGAGCTGGCGCTGATTTAAAAAAAAAAAAGTAATTAATTTTTTAATATTAACTATTTACTTTAATACTAATTAATTATTTAACTTTGCAATTAATAAGTTTTTCGCTACCTTCATCAATAGTGTGAAGGTGCAGAGCCTTTCGAAGATCCAAAATGTGCTCATAATCTGATGTAATATAAAGAACAGAAGTAATTGGTTGTGTTAATTTAACAGGAAAATTTGTATATGTTTGACTAAGGGAAAGTGGATCATCTAAACAACCAGCGTCACACGCAAAATAACCACTATCACTGCGATCAAGTGCCACTCCCAAAACCGCTCGATTATCATCATTAACTGACACCGATATATTCAAATGTGTAATATTTCCATAACTTATTCTCCTGAAAAATTAAAATTTTTATTAAAAAAAAAAATTATCTTTTTTAATATTTACGATAATTTTTAATATCGTATAGACCTGAATAAATAATCACGATGAAGATATTGTGGTTCAATATTAAATTCCAAATGTTGATTGGTAAATCTCAAGCTGCCTAAACTAAGGACAATTGCTTGTTGTACTGCTGATGGACTTCCGGTTGTAAGACGATGACAACCTTGCTTTTCTAATGTTATTAGCCACGCTTGAACAACATCGTTCACCTGATTGATCGACGAAGTGTCTTCCCATAATTTTGGCGCATTTCTATTCAATTTATTTAATTTTGTATAGTAATTTAAAAAATAAACACTAAAAAAAAAAAATCATTAAATACTTACAATGTATGATGACCTTTATAACATCCTTCACTATTTGACACGACTTTTTCAACATCTGGAATACTTCTTGGCACTTGTGACAAGACATAATACATTGTGGAATTAATTTTATGACCATTAATTGCACCCTTTGCTTTCGATTCACTTATTCTGAATCCCGTGTACCAATAACTTTGCCAATGATTAATATGTTCGGACTTCAAACCACGTGCTTGGCGTATTAAAGCTTTCTTCATTGCCTAATAAAATAATAAAAAATTAGTAGAAATAAAAAATTAAAGTTTAATATTCTAAAAAATCCTTACATCTATCGCCTTTTTCTGAGTACTATCACGTTCAACATGATATTGTTCAGGTGACACAGCTTCACTGAATTTAATACTAGTGAGATATTCAAAACTCGAAGAGCCTCTCGCTTTAACCTGAAGTACCTTCGGTGGTGTTTTATAAACAATTGACACAGCAATAATTTTATTTGAATCAGGCAATGTTACATGTCCCGAAATCAAATTAAACTCAACAATTGTTCCATCCAAGATAATTCTATAAAAATAAATTTTTTTAATTCCAATTCTCTGAAAGAGAAAATTACAAGAAATACTCACTTAATGGGTTCAATTTGTGTATCAGGCCAGTGTATAGATGTTTGTGAATTTAAAGCAACTTCCTGTGACAATGCAGAAGGATTAACGACTTTTATATCCTGCACGAGAATACCATCGAAACTTCTATGGGCATAGTATTGAGAGACTATATAATAACCATCTCTAAGGCACTGATATTTATAAACGATACCCGATGTATAATGTGTGAGAGTAGCCTCTCGATAAGGGCTACTTTCTGGTAAAATAGCTGTTATCAATGGTTGCCAATAAACAGGTAAGGATAAAGTTCTTTTATGCTTTATGTAAAGCCATGCCTCCGGCAAAATGGGAACACCAATGAAACCATTTCCAATATATGGTAAATAATGATGATCAGTTTCTTTTGGAGGATCATGAAGGACATTCGCATTATAATCCATAATATCGACATAAAAACCAGCTAATCTTTCATTCATACAATGATCTTCAAAAGCTGCAAGAAATTTCATATAAAAATATATAATTTTTTAGATAGTGTTATAAATAATGAGAAAAATGAAAATAATATATTAAATTGTTTAAATTACCTTCAATTGGTTTTCCATTACTTGAAAAGAGCCACTGAGCTAAAGGTGGACCAAGATAAAGGAGAATTGCTCCAAAAATAATTAAAAGCATTAAAATTTTTCTGTACGAATAATTGCCATCGAGCAATCGTCGAATTCTTTTTCCGAATTCATAAATGTCAAACATTCCACCTGGTCTCATTTTGCTAATATTCTATATAATTATTTTTTTTTTTTACCATAAAAGACAATAATTTATTTAGGAGAAAGTATGTTTATACATATGTCATGGGACATAACCTCTTTCTGTCAATATATTTCGTTATAGTGTCAATTAATGGATTTGTACAACATTTGTACATTATACTAATTACTATCATGTGTGGAAGTAATAATTTCAAATTTTTAACTTCCTTATTGTTCACGAGAAAATTATTTTACTGATATTAACATCTTTTTCCACGTAAACTGACGTAAACAAACCCGGCCCTCTTTTGAGGTTATACGAGATTAAAGTCTAGTTTTCAAGATGCGTTAAGTCTCATACCAATGGTGATAAAAATAATAACAAATACATAACCTTAAATTTCTGTGCTTATTGTTGTTTGCTTGAATATGTTACATTATTTACATGTGACAATACATTAGAACTTTTAATTTTATTTTTTTTCCTTTAAACTAAGTGTAAATAAGAGTGACAAGTGATATTTTAATCAATGTTTTCCCCTAGAGTCGGCCATATTAGTCTTTTGAGAAATACTCTATAGTATATGTATATCGTTTTTATCATTGTGGACCTGTAGTTCACATTTCATTTTGCATTTTCATTCAGTGCTAATGAAGTTACGTCTAGTCATCTAAATTATATGTAAAGTTGTTTAAAAAAGAAAATATTTATGCTCCTGTTGTTACAATACGTATTTCTTAATTTTAGTTTTATTTCTGAAAGGTTGATATATAGTCTCATTTAGTGATTTTGCAGACTGTCTAAAAAATAGTATATATTTACAATGAATAGTAGTATCTGAAAATGTTTAATTGGATGCCATCGTGTTATTGTGCATTTTTTGTGGTATTAATGTGAGTATATTTTATTTAAAGAATTATACGCTTTATTTTTTGACTAGTAAAAATTTAGTAATTTAATGAGTAATTTCGCTTTAATGCTTTTAATATTGATATTAATCATGCGAATGTCACTTCAGCTATCAGAGGTCGTATGCATACGTATGTATGTATATATCACATATATTGTCAGAAACTATTGTACATTAAATTATGATTTATGGATTTTAACAAGTTTATTTTAAAAATTTTGTTTATTTATAAAAGTATTTACATATTAAAATAATTTACTACTTGAGTTTTATAAATCAACGGACGGATGGTAATGATAAGTTCTTAATTTTGGCTCTCAAGGTATATATTTATATAATGAAGAAAAACAGTCGGAATAAGATTATACTTTATATTTCGCTTCACAAAAGAAGAACATTATTGGAAAATAAGTGATAAAAGATCTTATTTCACGAGAAAATACATAATTTTGTTTATTAGAAACTTGGAGTAACGTAACCTCAATTTTTGAAATTATGTTCATAATGGCGGGAGTTGAATATTTTTATTTTTTTACACTGTAAATATGAAGTTTTTTAAATTATAATTAAATAGAATAAATAAATCGAGGTTGCTCTAAATGCTAAAATTGTAAAGTTTAGTGTAATAGTTAAATACATTTTTTTTGTTTTGCATTTACCTTGATTGATTTTTTTTTATTTATTATTGAATAAAAAACATTTTTATTATTGTTACATGCTAATATTTTTTATTCATTTTTAACTTAGTTAAATTTCTATTCATAAACATTCTCTTTTTTTACTTTCAGAAATTATTTGAGTCAAATAACATTTTATTCAAAGTCTGGAAGTTGAATAATCACTTCTTGTATATTCGATTGGGATTTTATTCGAATGCTGCATTTTAAAAATAATAATAGTCTATTTTGTATCTTCTCAGAGGCATGTAGTATTGATTACTAAAGAGAAGTAGGTACAAAACTCCTATTCTCTACAAGCTTTCATTGATAATAAAACACTTAACAATTGGAAGTTTAATGACGCGGAAGATGCAATTGCAAATGTGGAAATTTCGTTTTAATTATCAGGTAACGTATATTTATTGAAAATAAGGAAGAAAAAAAGAAATAGGGTTGCTCAGGTTTATGATTATAGTAATATATTTAATGTAATTATTTACTTTCAGATTTTAGAATTATTTTGTCCTTTAAAAGGCAGAACCCTTAAAAAGTGGTAAAAAAGTCAAATAAAGATTCCAAAGAAAAATATGCTGTCAGATAAAAGTGAAAGAAATGTTGAAATTAAGGACAAAAGTCAGCGACATGTGCCAGAAGTTCAAAACGTTGGAATAATATCAGACACTGATAAGCAGTATAATACTTCAACAAACTTGAATGATAGACTCGGAGATATAGAAGACAAGATGACTTTGCGAAATAAGCGTAAAACATCTGTATATTCTCTTTCAGATTATGATAATAGTGAGAACACAAATAGATTAGATTTTAAGGCTACTGAAGGAGGCGAAACCCAAAAGGATTTGTCCGAGAAGAATAAGAATCCTAAAGATATGTATATAAGTAAACTAGTTTCCCCTAGAAAAACATCAGTCAATTCGACAACCCAAGAAATACAAGCTGAATCGTATGGAACAAGTTGTATGATTTCTCCTGAAGATTGTGTTATGGAAACAGTACCACAGTCACAGGATAAAAGTACAAACAATGTGAAATCTGAAAGAAGAAGAATAAAAAGTACACGATTTGTAACTTCTAGTATTATTGGAGATGATGCAGAAATCGAAAGTAAAGATTTGGAGAGTCAAAAAGAAGAAGAATTAACAATATACGACGTGGACGATAATGGAACAAGTATCAGTGACATTGTAGCAACACAGGCTCTTCATGAATCTTTAACTAAAATGGGCAAAGTACTACATTTAAATACACAAATACACATTGATGAAATCAATGAAAAATCTAATCCAGATGATGAGTCTCAAAAAGAAATTGTAATCCACGATGAATCAGTAGAAGGTTTTATAGGGCCTCTTCTTGATGAAAACTTTAAAGCAGATGAAAAACTTGAACAGAAAACAATGGGTATGGATGAAGTTAGAAATTTATTAATGAAGGTAAAAGTACAGACCGTCACTAATAATGACGATGATGAAGAAAAAGCAATAGGAATATCTCCTGATGGAAGATTTTTAAAATTTGAAGAAGAAATTGGACGTGGTAGTTTCAAGACTGTTTTTAGAGGACTCGATACTCAAACAGGAGTTGCAGTAGCTTGGTGTGAGTTGCAGGTAATTTTTTAAAAAGTTATATAAGTAGATTTTAAAAAAAGAAATTTTTATTATTGATTTCATTGAATTATATTTTAAAAACTTTCAATTTAACAACTGGTTTTTTTTTCACAGGAAAAAAAATTGAATAAAGTGGAAAGATTAAGATTTAGAGAAGAAGCAGAAATGTTAAAAGGATTGCAACATCCGAATATTGTACGATTTTATGATTATTGGGAAGTAACATTAACTCGACGAAAATATATAGTTTTAGTTACCGAACTCATGACTTCAGGGACTTTAAAGACGTAAGTAATACTTTTAGAATTAATAAAATAAAAATTTTTTATTAGAAAAATCACTAATTCTATTAATATTATTTGTAACAGATATTTAAGACGTTTCAAAAAAATCAATCCAAAAGTTGTTAAATCTTGGTGTCGACAAATTCTTAAAGGACTGATGTTCCTTCATTCAAGATCACCTCCAATTATTCATCGTGATTTAAAATGCGATAATATTTTTATTACCGGTACAACTGGTAGTGTAAAAATTGGCGATTTGGGTTTAGCAACACTGAAAAATCGCAGTTTTGCAAAAAGTGTTATTGGCACACCAGAATTTATGGCACCAGAAATGTATGAAGAACATTATGATGAATCTGTTGACGTTTACGCTTTTGGAATGTGTATGTTGGAAATGGCTACCAGCGAGTATCCATATGCAGAGTGTACTGGTCCTGCACAAATTTACAAGCGCGTTGTATCGGTAATATTCATTCCTTTTATTTTCAGGCCAAATTGCTTTTAAGTATTTAATTTTTTTTTTTTTTAATTTTTACAGGGAGTCAAACCACAGAGTTATGACAAAGTAGAGAACCCAGAAGTACGAGAAATAATAGAGATGTGTATTCGTTTGAAAAAAGAAGAAAGACCATTAGTAAAAGATCTTCTTAATCATGAATTTTTTGCTGATGATATTGGTTTAAAATTAGAAATGGTCTCGAGAGATTCAGCTGTTGCTGAAGCTGAATTATCAAGAGTTGAATTTAGACTCAGGGTATTAGATCCAAAGAAAAGAAGTAACAAGCATAAAGAAAATGAAGCAATTCAATTTGATTTTGATATTCAAGAAGATAACGCTGAGGAAGTTGCATCCGAAATGGCCAAGTCTAGTTTAATTCTCGAAGAGGACGCTAAAGTAGTTACAAAAATGTTAAAATCTCAGATAGCTGGCCTATTACGTGAGAGAGAAGAGCGTAGAGTGAAAGAAGAAAGAGAGCGATTGGATCGTGAAACTGAATCAGCTACAGATCTTCAAAATAATTTATTATTACAACAAATGCAAATACAACAACAACAACAACAACAACAAGTTCAATCTACTTTGAATATTCAAGTTCAAAGCCAGGTTGGCTTACAGCCGCAGATTCAAGTGCAAGGACAACAATCTCAGGTTCAGCCAGGTGTACAGTCGGGTCAGCAACATAATCTTCAACCTCAACAGGTTCAAATGGTGCATCAGCAACCTTTAATTCAACATCAAACATCAGTTGTGCAACCTCAGCAAGCTCAGCAGTTGCAACAAATTTCTAATAACTCTCAACAGGTTCAATACCAATTACAACAACAGCAACAACAACAGCAACAATTATTTGAGACTATTGTGCCAAGTTCGTCTCAGTGCTCCACTCCTCAAAATGTCCAACCCCCACCACAATTTGGACAAATACCACAACACTTACAACAAGCACAAAACTATATGCAAATGAATGTCACACATCCCTTACCTCAAGTTCAACAACAAATTCCAGGTGTTCAACAACAGAACCAACATAATATTCATCAACAAATTCAACAGAATCAACAAGCAACTCAGTACACACAGGCACAGTTACAACATATACAGCCTATTATTTCCAATCATGGCTCACCTTCTACAGCAATACAAGGACAAGCGTACTATCAAACAGCGCCTAGTACAACAACTGCTTATTCCAATCCACCGTTTCAGCAAAATACATCACAGCATCTTTATCATGGATTTTCATCTACGCCAACGTCAACTGGTCATATTGATATTTTGCCAATGCAACAAAATCAACAAGTATTTTCACATCCAACTTCTAGTAATAATGTTGAAGTTCCAACGTCATCGTACGCAATTAGTCATCAGACAATGCCAATGCATGTAACATCGCCCCCATTAAATGCACAATCTTCAATTACTCTTGCTGATATAAATGCTCAACAATCTTCCGCAATTAATAATATCCAGAGTGCAATAAATACACTACCACCTAGTAATCTTCAGCCTCATCCAAATTCTCTTACACATATACAACTTCCTCTTAATACTAATTCAATTCCAACGACAATAACTATTCCTCCCTCAACATTAATTGTTGAACAACAATTAAATGCACAACACCATCAGATATCAGAAACTTTCCCAGAGGGTTCTAACTTGCTCAAAATTGAAACAACAGACTCACAGCTCGTGGATCCGTCCATCATTATCCATAACAATACTACTACTGCTTTAGAAGGACAACAATTTTTACCAACTACTGATGGGTATGTTTCTTATGTAGCTAATTTTTTAATTATATTAAATAAAATTAAAATTATTTTATTATTATAAATTTATTTTATAAACAATTTGTATTTGTTTACAGTTCAACAATTTATATGTTACAGAGCAAATAGTGAAAATTCGGAAAATGTCGTCTTATTAGAAAAATGTAAAATTAAAAGGTCTGCAACTAAACGTAAAAAACCTGGAATTAAATTAACTGTACTCTCGGTCAGCGATGTTGAAGGTCAATCAGTTACTGTTGAATGTCAGCTGGATACAAGTAAACAGAAAACTGTAACTTTTAAATTCGATCGTGATGACATGGTACCTATGGATATCGCCAATAATTTAGTAAGTAAAATTTTAATTTAATTTATTTAAAAATATTCAAAGAATTAAATTAATTTAATTACAAATAGTGTAGAACTTAATAATCTTAACATGTATTTTTTATCGGAGAACAGATTGCTGAAAATCTTCTGCCACAATCTCAATGCGAGACATTTGTAGAGCTAATTGAAGATATTGTAAAGCAGTTACGTTTGGATCCTTCGCACAGTTTACCTTTAGTTGCACATGGACCACCAGATCAGTCTGCAGGTGGAAGTCCTGTTACAAGCCGTAGACCTAGAGATCGTGATCAAAATGTAGATTCTACTAAGGTAACTATTAGTCTATCTATTCATGAAAATAATATTTTTTTCGTTAATATGAAAATGAAAGATGATTTATTTACACTTGTTTTGCATTTTTTTATGTTATAGGTTAGACATGGCTCGTTAACTCGTCAAAGCAACTATCGTTCATCGTATAAAGTTCATCGCAGACATCGTTCGGTGAGTTAATATCTTTCTATTTATTTTTCCATTTAGCGAAAAGTGTTTCTCAGTGATCAGATTGGAAACTAGCTAATCTAAATTCTATCTAAATAATTAATTATTTTTATTTTTATTTCAGAGAGACGAAACCTCTAATTCATCGATGCCAATAAAATTGCTTGCTATTGATCAGATTATATCTCAGATAACAAGCGCTGCTTTGAATAAGCAGCAGAACATTCGAACTTCTAAAAATCAGACAAATGCAACTGGTTTATTTGATGGTCGAAGGCGTTCATCCACATCTACTAAAAATATTGACGTTTCCTTATTGTCTAATATGTCAAATACCTTGACTGTTAGTGACGAAAATCTACAATGTCCTCCAATGTCCATGACAACTACAGACACTGTTACATCTCCATTTTTAATTGGTACAGGACCTTCACATTCTGTGGAACTAACGTCAACTGATAAAAATTCACCCTTAAATGATGTTACTGATAATACATCAGTACAATGTATTGAATTAAATAATGAAAACGAACAGACTTTAAATTTTTCCGACGAAATACCAAATAAAGAAATTATAGTTTCCAATAAAACTGAATCTGACGAAAATAAAGCAAATATTGTGCCACATCGTAAAATTTCTCGATTTTTAGTGAGTCCAGTATTTGAACAAAATGCTAGTGCAGATCAAAAAAATGTAAATAACCGAAGAGAAAGTATAGATGTACTGAATGCATCAACTTCATTAGAAGTAACAGATAATGTAAACATAGTTCCTGAGATAGGTTTAAAAGAAATTGATAAAGAAGTCGAAGTTGTTGGACAATTGAAAAATACTCAACAAAATCAAATTATTGATACACCATTTTATCATACGTCGGAAGCTTCTTTTAATGATGTTGAAACACCAATGGAAACCTTTAATAATCATCACTTAGGAGAACAATCTCAAATTATTAACAACTCAGATCAAATTTGTGAACAAGGTTCTACAGAAACACAATTAGAGATGCCAATGGCACCGAGTCATACTAATTCAATGTTTCAAACACCTGATAGTAACATATTTATTCCTCAAACAATTAATAATCAAAATGTTATGCAGCAGCAGCAGCAGCAGCAGTACCAACCTCAGCTTCAACAACAAGATATTCATCAATCACCTCAAGTAAATAATAATTTACTAGTTCTTCAGCAATTGCAACTTCAAATTGCCAATGAAGAAAAAAATAGAAGAATTTCAAATCATTCTAACGCTTCAAATTTGTCCAGTGATTCTCAATTATCTGAAATGTCATTTACATCTGATGACAGAAAAGTATCTTCAATTTTACCTAATACACCAGTTGTTCCAGTTCAACAAAATCAATTTTTGCATCAAGATGTTTCTAATAGTTCATTATCACCGCATATTAATATTGGAGATCTTCCGCAATCAACAGTTATTCATCAAAGTACTCAACCTGTATCTGGAGTTTCAACACTTCCATATTCTGCTCAGTCTGGAATTCCTATTGAATCTAATTGTAAAACGAAAACAAAAGAAGTATCATCTACTTTTCCTGATTTAGCTCAAAATTTAGCAAATATCCTCTCAAATCCTAAATCTAAATGTGTTACACCTCATGCTGGCAGTAGTCATGAGCAAGGATTAAATCCTACAGCGCCAATTGTTCTTGCTGATTATAAACAACCATCTATTCAATCAGAACAATACTTTCAACCAATTCATCCAGATGTTACTCTACAAACTTTTTCAGGTCAAAAATCTGTATCAAGTTTTCCCCAAAATGTTCAAATTTCTCAAGCATCACAAATAAATAATCAAATTCCTATTCAACATTCATTATCATCACAACAATCAATTGATGCGGCTAATTCAAATATCTTACAAGGTCAATCTCTTGGATCTTTGTCTGATGCCTCTGTTCAAAATCATTGGTCAGGTTCTTCCTATGGATCTACAATATCACAAAGTTCAATTCAATCTCAATCAATCGATCCAATTCACATGAAGCAAAATCATTCTTTTATACAACAATTACCAACTTCTAATCAATCTCAAATACAAGCAGAAAATATTGATGATCTACACCAAATGCAACAAAAATTACAAGATGATGGGAATTCCTCAAAATTAAGTGAAATTGAGAGCAGTGTAGATTGCAATATTTTAAGCAGGTAATTTATTAATTAATAATCATACTTTTCTTATTCTTAATAAACATTTCTTATTTATTAGGCGTACAAGTTCGGAGTATCAAATGCTGTCATCAGAAAACGAAACATCAAGTATTGACAATACTCCAGAACATACGCTATTAGGATCTGTTGACTGTGTTACATTAGGGCATCAACAAACAAGTCATCAACAACATAGAAAACTAAGTCAGCAAAATTCTTTGGATAAAATATTGGATTTAAATAGTGGAGGACCACAAACGATAGCTGATTTACAGCATAAATTACTTCAATTAACTAGTCAACCATCAGAGTCTTTAATTATGAGTACACCACCTTTAAGTCAGCCGGATACTCCGCACAGTTATAATATGGTAAGTAAACAATGACTAATAGAAATTGATGGTAAACTAATTTAATTAATTAGCATTAAACTAGGCATAATCTAAGTGCTTATAAAATTTTTAAAAAAAATTTTTTCCAGGGTCCCCTTTCTCCGCAGACAGGATCACTTTTTTCAACTGGAGAATTTTATTCTGGACAAATACAAACAAATTCTTCCACAGAATTAGACCAAACATCACAACTTGTAAGTAAATTTTTATGATTTTGATCTTTGAATTTAGAAGAAAAATTTTCTCACCAATACTTCAATATATGTCAAATTTTTATTTTATTTTCTCAGACAACCTTGAATCAACCTGTTAGAAAAATTTCAAGGTTTATGGTTTCCAAAGTAACTGAACCATCAGGTGAATCTTGTACTACAACTACACAAGTAAATGATAATCAGCAAGCTTTAACACCAATCGATGTGAATAATACCAATTTCAGCAGCAATCCCACAGATCAATTATGTAAGTACCATTTTGTAAATTATTCGTGACAATGTTTAGATATTGATTAATATTAATATAAAAGTTATGCGCCTGCATGAATGAATTTTTTTTACATAGATTAAGTTTACAACTTTTAAAAAAATAATAGAACATAAAACTATTTTTGAAGTTGACAATACTTTAATTCCGATATTTATAACTTTGAGTGCCTAAGGAATGGATAGTGTTATTAAAAAAAGAGAATACTATGGATTCAAAAAATTACAGGTCAATAGACTTGATAAAATATGAAAATATTCTCATAGAATATTGAAAATCTGAATTATAACATGTGCAATAGAAAGAAATCTCTTTTCGAAATCTGAATGAGGATTTAGGGGGAGGCAAAAACTGTAAATAAGCTCCTGACATCTATTCAGATCCACTTGAGAAACAGTTTACGCTACTTTCATCGATTTCAAAGGAGATCTTGATTTAGCCTTCGAAAAGAGCGATCGTGTTTGCCTTTACAAAATAATTTTTAATTAGAAAATATGCAAGGATTATCATTTGATTTTATTATTTAAAAATGTACAATTAAAAATATCACAATGGTAAACATGTGTTCGAATGGGATATTTCCATCAGTATTATGGATATCATGCGAGGACTACATTTCAACTAAATCAACAAATTGAAGATTAAAATTTTAAACACAAAATTTTGGAGACGTATTTCTTAGTTTCGCCGCTAAAATTTTTCACAAGTGGACATAATTTTGGAGAACGTTTTTGACAGCGACTTTTTGGATTTATTGGAAGTGATTTTCTACACCTTGAATTCCTCGGATTCAACATTCTTTGAATTCGGATACCCTTCCTCATTATCCATTATTTTCTGCAAAAAAAAAAAACACCGTTTTAATATACCACTAAAGTGAGCAAAAGTTTTCAGCTTATTTTCAATCCTGTCACACGGACGAGAAGGCTTTTACAAATTGGTTTTTGTGGACACAATTTCAACTCTGGGACCAAATTTTTTTTGTTTGGACTTAAATTCATCAACCAAGACTGTCAAACATCGAGGGAGAATCAAGGAAATCGTTTTTATTTTGTCAGGACCATTATTTTTTTGTATATCGTGAGTACTTTTCTTTTATTTTTGTGGTTCTTGACAATTTTTTTTTTGCGTTTCTTTAATTTCGTAGTTTTCTTCACTTTTTAATTATACAAAAATTTAAAGCAAAAATATTATCCTCTCCGGTAAGCGCAATTCTTTTGTGTGCAAAGTCAACAAAAAGAATAGCCAACAAATAAAAAGGAATAGAGAAGATGCATATCTAGCTCTTGAATAACAAAATTGACATACCCAATTCGTTAAGCCACTCAGAGAGCTCCACAAGATAAGGAATTGTCAAAAGGCGTGTGATGCGTCAGAGAAAAACAGCCCCATCACTACATTGGTATTTGAATCCTGCTGAATATTTTACATGAGAAATTTCAAGAGAACTTATTTTCAATGAATATTTTAATTCTCTGATTGTTTTATACAAAATTAAAATTTTTAATAAATAAAATAGCAAAATAGCTATATGGACTTTATTAGATCTCAACATTTTGAATATTTACTCATCAATTGAAGAAATCATAACAATGCGCAGAAAAATTGTGGCTAATATGTATGGAAATTTATGAATTGAAAAACGTTTGTACTAAAGAACAAATTTAAATTAAAATTTTCAATTAATTACCATAAATTGGTAATGAGAAAATGTAAATTGGTTGAGAAAAGTATACATGTTTTGAAGGCAATGATTAAATGAATTAATACATTTGGAATAATTTGGTTATTTATTAATGAAAATATTAATCTCTCTTTAATAATTTTTTATAATTTTTCTGTTTAAGGTGGATCTTCAATAACAGTATCACACTTGCAGAATGAACCTGTGCTCACTAACGTTGATTTAACTAGTCTACATGATGTAAAGGTAAGTTTTAATTTAATTTTAATTTAATTCAATTTCAATTTTATTATACCTTACTTTAATATAATGACAATTCTAATAATAATTTGATACTAATAATTGCTTTTGATATAGGTTGAAACAGGAGAAGCCAATCCATTTTTGACTCCCAGTGAACAGTACCAATTGCTAATAAAAAGGTATTATCCGTATGCTCATTAGCCCTTTTGTATTATAATAATTTCTCTTATCATCAATAGGCAAACAATTGAACTGGAAGAGCTTCAGAATAAACATCGAATGGAGTTGGAAAATTTTCAAAAATATCAATTACAGTTATCAACGCAGCAACAACAGCAATCCAATCTTATTCAACCTCAACAACAATCCCCTTCACTTTACTCATGTGTTCCAGGTGAGAAATTTATAAAAATATTTTAATTATACCCATACGTAGAAATAGTCCCTTAAAATATAAACTTATGAATTAAAGTTCAATTAAAATTTTTAAAAAAATGTATATTTATCAGGGCAAACAAAGTCTCCTGGTACTAGTGAGAACATAATATTAAGATCCAATCAACAACAAATGAAGACAAATGTAAGTGATTTGACAGATAAAGAAGATATATTAAAGCAGGATGTTCCTAATTTGCAACAAAGTTCTGATGTTGCTCATGCTTCTGATATCCCAGCAAATATGATGTCTTTAGAAAATATTCAAAGTGGTTCAGTTCAACAAGAAATAGACGCTGGCCAATTAGTTAACGCTGTAAATAATAAAATAATTTTAAATCAAGTCATGCATATAACTTCAAATCTTGAAAGGGAAAATAACATTCAATCCAATCAAGATACATGTTCATCAAATTCCCACGCTTTTACTTCAGATGAAAGAATCATTGATGATTCTCAAAGTTTACTTGCATCTCAGGGAAGTTTTCAAATACAATCAACGACATGTTCTACTCCTAATTTGGAAAATGTATATAATGTTACGGCACCTGAAGAGATGACGCAAATTAAATCTGAACTCATAAATTTAAAATCTTCCGAGCTCGAACAATAACACTATATTACATTGACATTTTATTTTCAATTAAAAGATTATCAATTAATTTAATGTTACTTTTGGTAATGCTTTGCATCACATTACCGTTAAAATTTTCATCAAAAAATGATTTATTATTGTTGTATGGTATTGTCACTCAGATATATAAAGGTTATTATTATGTTTATTACAATCATGTTTTATTTTTATTAAACCTTTAAAAAATTGTATACAGTTATAGAAAAAAATTTGCATTTAAAAAGTGACATCAGATTTGTATTAAGCGATTCTAAAAACTTCAATTAGCAATGTTTGAAGGACATTCTGAAATTTTTTTAAATTGATTGCATATTAGCATACAATTACTTTAAATTGCATTAGTCATTTTGAATTAATCAAAACTGCAGATTGAAAAAAATGTCTGCTTATTCGCAATCAGCTACCTCAAAATTTTCTGCTTAAAAGTCACTTATAATTGTGACGCTCCACGATATAATATTAGGCTTAGTTTTCATGTACGGTGCACGGAAAACTGAGCCTAATTTTATTTCGGAGATAGGTCCCTTCTCTCGTGGAGCGTCACAATTATTAATTGTTTCGTGAATTTGCTCATATGATTTTTTAAATAAAATATTGAAATATTTAAAAATTTGTAAAAAGTTGATAATTAAAAAAAAGTAAAAATAGCTTCATTTATCAACTCTATTATCCAACTCCATTATCATATCACGATTTGTATGTTATCTATGTTATTTTATCGAAGATAAATGCATTGTTAAAATAACATACTCGAAAATATTGTCAAGAAAATAAAACTTCAGTTCTCCAAAGATTTTCTTTTAAGACGCTTGTACATGTAAATCTTATAAAAATGAGAGGAGTGGCATTTATTTTATTGATAATATTCACAACGATGACGACAGTAGCACCATCAAACACCAGTAAATTGGTAAATATTTATAAATACCTATGGAAGATTAATCCTCAAATTTCTAGTCAGAAATTAAAATAATATAAAAACTTCACATTTTCATCCTGAGGTGAAAATATAAAAAAAAATTTCTATGTTATTTATTTTGTTAAAAATTATTCAGAAATATTCAGGAAACAACAGTTTTATGATAGACTATGAAAATGATCAATTTCTTCTTGATGGAAAACCGTTTCGATATGTTTCTGGAAGTTTTCATTATTTTCGAACTCCAAGGCAATATTGGAGAGGAATTTTTAAGAAAATGAGAGCTGCCGGTTTAAATGCAATTTCAACGTCAGTATTTTAAATTTATAATTGTAGCAAACAAATTGTTGTTGATAATAATGAATTTAAATTTTTGTTAGTTATATAGAATGGAGTACACATGAACCAGAACCAGGTAAATGGATTTGGAATGGTGATGCTGATATCATTGAGTTTCTTAAAATTGCAGAAGAAGAAGATCTACTTGTTATATTAAGACCTGGTCCATATATCTGCGCTGAGAGAGATTTTGTAAGATATTTTAATTGTACATTTTTTTGTTATTATTTGTTTACTTGGTTTATTGAAGTAATTTTTTTATAGGGTGGATTACCTACTTGGCTATTAAGCAAAAAGGATATAAAATTACGAACGAATGATCGCTGTAAGTATTTTATAATTTTTAAAAATAATAAATAATAGAGGATTATTTAGATATCCTTGAGATTTATGAATATTTTTTACAGGGTACATGAAGAACGTTCAGAAATATTTGGAAACTGTATTAAAGAAAGTAAAACCATTTCTAAGAGGTAATGGAGGTCCCATTATAATGGTGCAGGTAATATTATCTTTTTACTTTCTATTCAAGTTTTTACGGTACTATTTTTTAAATAAAAGAACTTAATTTTTTTATTCTATTTTCACAGGTAGAAAATGAATATGGAAGCTTTAATGCCTGTGACATTCACTATAGAACTAAATTGAGAGATATATTCGCCAAACATATAGAATCAAATGCGGTTTTATTTACAACAGATGGTCCTCAATTATCAATGCTTCGATGTGGAGTTATTCCAGAGGTCTTTGCAACTGTAGATTTTGGACCGTCTTCCAATGGGACTAAAAGTTTCGAAATGATGCGTAAATTTCAACCTAGGGTAATTAACTAATTTCAGTCTTTTAAATTTAGAAAAAAAAACTTACTGAGATTTTGTATTTAAATTTTTTAGGGACCTCTAGTAAATTCGGAATATTATCCAGGCTGGTTAACGCACTGGGGAGAATCATTGCAGAAAGTTTCTTCGCTGAACGTTGTTAAAACGTTAGATGAAATACTATCGATTGGTGCTTCAGTAAATATATACATGTTCTTTGGTGGTACCAATTTTGGATTCAAATCAGGTAAAGTACTAATTTGATTATTGTTTAGTAAATATTTATATATTAAAAAAGTGTATTTTTGTTATTCTATAAATATTATAATTCTCAGGTGCTAATACTGATCCAGAATTTAGACCACAATTGACCTCATATGATTACGATGCTCCTTTAACGGAAGCTGGAGATCTAACACCAAAATATTTTGCAATGAGAGACGTAATAAAAAGTGTAAGTGCATTTATTGTTTTTTATGTCAAATGTGCATATTTAGTTAGGAAAAAGTTTAAAACACATTTTGAAATAACTTTATATATTTATATTATGTTTTAGTACCTACCTGTAAATGATTTACCTATTCCTGCTGATAATAAGAAGAAAGCTTATGGTGTTATTATTCTGGAACAAGTGATAAGACTTTTTGATCCTTTAGCTCAATCTCTACTCAGTTCAATTGTTGTACAAACCGACAGAACTCCAACTTTTGAAGAATTGCAAATTCAACAATTGCAGCTTGTTTTATATGAAACATATTTAAATTTGGAAAACGAAACGTTGACAACTTTAAAGACACTTGTACATGACAGAGCTTATGTTTACATAAATAAACAGTTAATTGGTATATTGAGTCGCATGGAGAAAAAATATAATTTACCAATAAATACCGCCTTGGGGAACCATTTATCACTACTTGTTGTAAATGAAGGACATGTAAATTATGGAGATTATTTAAAGGACTATAAGGTAATAATAAAATTCATAATTTGTTAACAAAAGATCTACTAATGTAAAAAATACTATTATTTTAATATATTTTTAAATTAGTTAAAATATGAAAATTTTGTTTTAGGGGCTGCTAAATGTAAGTCTAGGTGAAGAAACTTCTTTATCATGGAACGTGACCGGTTTTACATTAGACAATGTAACAAGTCTTTGTGAATTTAATTCTAAAATTTCTGTATCTGGTTGCGTAAATAAGGGACCCATTTTTTATCGTGCAACATTTTTTATAAAAGAAGATCCAGTTGACACATATCTTGATACAAGTGGATGGGGAAAAGGTGTTGCTTACATCAATGGATATAATATTGGCAGGTATTGGCCACTAAATGGTCCTCAAATAACTTTGTATGTTCCAGGAGTTATTTTAAAACATGGTTCAAATGAGCTTATTATTTTAGAATATGAGTATGCATCAAAATCTCTTGAAATGAAATTTATTAATACTCCAAAATTTATTACTAATAAATTATTAGAAAACGATGTTAATAATTGTAATTTAACAGATAATGTATAAAATAATTTTTTTTTATTGTTTGCAAAGTACAAGATTTGAGGACACTTTAAATTAAAATGTTTAAAAATGCATATATATTAATGTAAATTTTGCATATGTACAATAAAATATTTTTACGATGCAAACATTTAAAATGTTCATTAACTTTCGTATTTGAAGTAAATTATTAAAAATTTTATATTTTATTACAAATTTTTAAATAAAGAATTAAATTTAATTAAATATCGGTGACTACGTATCAATATTGATAAAAAGTTACTTTTGAAACGTAATAGAATAGTTTTAAATCTGAAAAAATTAAAATACAAAGTATTTTCTTAAATTCCGTCTTCCCTTTGATTTTTCTTCTCTTGCTGAGATTTCGGAATCGTAATAAATGGGTTTATATCACCATTTTTAAGAACTATTGTAGGTGTCGTTGTGAATTTAATATCGTCAATAATTTTTGATGCATTTGCTAAATTTAGTTCTATTGTATAGTTCACAGCTTCCGATTGATTCTTTAGTCTTACTTCTTTGTCGTCATCAAAATACTTTGACGGTTTGAGTTCTTTTTCTCCAATTTTCTCAGTCGTCTGACTCATGACTGTTTCAGGATATTTATTTAAAATATTTTTCTCAAAATAATGGAGACCAGATTGTTCAATTGCAAAATCATCATTTGTTCTTTGCCGAGGAATCAAGGGTTTTGGAAGTTCACCTCCGTATTTTCTTTTAGAAGTGGGTTTCATTGTTTCTGTAATATTGACAGTTTCTAAAGTTTCGGAAACAACTGTGAAACTTTGACTGTCTGGTTTAAAATTCCAAGAATTTTGTAAAAATCTATTTGAACTGTAATCCGGCGTTTCTGTAACGAGTTTAATAAAACTCTCCTGATTGTAATTTGGTTTCTCTTCATATGGTCTGTAATTATTATTATACATATTCTCAAAGAAAGCATTGTTAGGAATATAATTATTTATTGGATTATGATTGAATCCATAAGTAGGTGGATTGGGATTGCTTGTGTCTCCAAAATATTGAGGGATATAGGGACTTGAGTTAATGTAAGAAGGTTTCATAGGCTTTGAAAATGGAGGCCTTTTATTTGGATAAGTCTGTGGTTTCATTGTATTAAAAAATGGTTCATGTACTGAGAATTGAGTAGATGAATGTGGGTTTTGATTGACATGAGAACCGTAAACCGAGTCTCTGACAAATATCGGAGCGTTAACTGCTACATTGTGCACAACTATGGATATATTTTCTTGAGGTGCAATTGGCCTTTTTAAAACAATTCTGTTCTGTTGATTGACGCTCGTTTGCAAAGGCCTCAAGGACTGCCTCAATTTTTCCTCACCTTTGTTTTTAGTTTCTGGTTTTGAAATTGATCCTCTGGATCGATAAACTATTTCTTGAGATGTTCCCATATTTTCTCGTAAATCGTCAATATGTTTTTGAAAATCTACATTTTCTATTGAATCTTCTACTTCTTTTTGAAAATCTTTCACTGTTTCTTGGAAACGTTCGGAATTTTTTTTCAAATTCTCTAATTCACCAATACCCTCAGATATATTTTCTGCATCGTTTAATAAAGATGATTTAATTTCAATTTCAGATTTATTAACACTTTCTGGAGTTAATTCCAACCATGCTGTAACATTGATATCTCCAATTTTGGAATCATTGCAAAAAATTCGTTTATTCTTAAAATTATCCGGTAACTGCATTATAAAAGGTTGAAGACTTTCGATATTATCCATGGTTTTGCAAAGAACTTTAGTTAAAGTAATACTTCTAATTTGTTGCAGTTGCTGTGGAGTGAATTTATTTTCCATATTTGAATTTTCGAACCAAAATCTGTCACCTTTTTTCAAATTACTAAATTGTTGAGCAATTATGCAAGCAAATGTGGGACCAACAAGTCCTCCGCCAACTGATTTTTCTGCTAATCCAGCAGAAAATAAATCAATGTCCTCTATCGATGAATAGAGAAATTTAAATTTTCGAGCTGTTGATATTTCCATTACTCTATCAAGATCTTCCCAATTGTTTATTTCGGATAAACCACATATCGAGCGGTATTGTATGTAAGGTGGAAGGCCATGATCACGTCCTCTTTGAATATTTATAGCAGCAAGATCCATTCCAAAAGGAAATAATTCTCTTTGAAAAAGATGATTTGTTAGCTCTTCACTTATGTATTCATCTCTTTTCTGTGATGGTTGATTTACAAGACCTAAAATTATTTTCTCCAAAGATCCCGCTGAATGTAGGTGTGGATTCACAAATTCTTCATGAATTGATACGTCTGCAAATATACATTATTGTTCATTATTGAATCAAAAATTAAATTATTAATTGATTACGTAATATTACGTACTGTTGAAAAGTGGTCTATGCTTTTTATCAAATCTGACAAAACTGGGTTGCACTAAAGAGTGTCCAAAACGAAAAGCAGCTGTTATAAATTCATTAGCAACGTTTGGATTGACATCAGGATCATATTCATCGGAATATCCATTTCTCATGATTTCAAGTTTAAAAATTTTCATTACATCTTGACCTGCAACATAAAATTTGTTTATTTTCAATTTGAATAATTATTCAATCAATTTTTCTTACCTAATACAATTGGAAGAAATTCTCGATATGTGATATGTTGAATAATAGCACCAACTATTTTCCGAGTTTCTTGAAACATTTTCTCCTCGCTCCAATGTGGATTTAGCTCAGCGATTTGTTTTGCAAATCTATTATGTAGACGTAAAAAGACAACATGAAGAGATGTTAAAGCAGGATTTTCACCAACACGACCATCTCCTGTGATAAAACAACTTTGAGATAAAGATCCTAATTGACATATGTCATTATCATCCCTAGTTTCTATAGTCCTACGACTTTGAAGCTTTCCATATTGTAATAATCCTGTAATTATCATTAATTTAAAAATTACCTATAGGTAATTATTTTTGGGACTATTTATGAGTTTTTGTTACCATCGCGAAAAATCCGCATACTATCACTGTGTATTACGTTGCTGCCGTAGATAGTGGATGCATCTAAATAACTTGTCACTTGAGAAACTTGCTCCCTGGGACCAAATTCACAATTTTCTCTTGGAGCTGGTCCATTTCTTAAAAATTCCAAGCATCTTACTGCAAATTGACTAAAGAAATTGTCCCTTGGATGCACAGCGATTGGCAAACATTCCGGATGCTAAAAGTTTTACCATAAAAATTGTAATATTTACAATAAATTTATTGTTAAATATTCCATTAATTTTATCTAATTTTGTTAAATGAATTTTTCAAATTAATGGAAAATGAATAGATTGATTAGAGGATTACAAACCATGAATTCTGGTGGTTGGAATCCTGTTCCATGATCTAGACAACACTGCGGAATCGTTCCATTGAATCCTCGACTAGGTACTGTGGCTGTAAACATTTAGTTTTATTAATTTAAATTTATTTATATAATTTAATTATTTAAATAGTTCTATACCACTTATATCATGATCGACAAATTGTCCCCATTGCATCAACATATGAGAAATAGATGCCAAAGGAATATCTCGATCTTCATGAATTAGATTTGAAACTTCTCTTGCACTTGGTAATAAATCTCCATTTACAGATCGTCTAATACTTTGAATACCGTCCTGATAAAGTGGAGGTAAAAATCTGAAAATTATCAAATTATTTTAGAAGTTTATTTTTAATTTTCGATTTTTTACATTCTATAAAGTATTTTTAATCGAATGCTTTATATTTTTTTATTCCTTGTTATGCTCACCTTTGCATTGTGGACATGGCAGAACCCCACCACAAATTTTGAGCATTATTACAGCTTCCATCAGCAGTTCTGTATCGCATGCTGGCTGAAGGACATTGTGGAATTCCTCTTTTAGGACACTGTCGATGTAAACTCGAATTTGTCGTATTTACAGTGAATGGAGTATTTCTTGAAATTTCAGGATATCTAAAACAATGTTTAAATTAATAACTCTCAAAATTTTCTAATTTATAACTTCAGTTTAAGGACTCACTTATTAACAAATAATATTGATCCTTGGAGTGCAGCAAATCCAAATCTTGTTAAATATTTTGCTTCCTCTGTTTGTTCATTAAAACTTGCAACGAAATGTGCCGGATTATTCGGTGAAAGAAATAGCCCTGCATTTTTTTTATAAATAAGAAACAATGGATTTTCAAAATAAAATAATTAGTAAAATAATTTTGAGTGAAAATTTTTTACCTAATGAATGAAATTTTGGTTCTTTTATGTAATAAAGATCGTTCATAGCCTGCATTCCAAAATTAGCAGCTTCTATTAAATCTTCTTCTCTCGGTTCAATAGTTCCTCCTTTTGTTCGACTTTGATTAATCTCAATAATACGCTTTTGCTCCTTTGTCTTTTTATTCAATTCAATGTCAAAAGCTTCTGACAATTGTTGAACACGTGATTTTGGAGTAGAAAATTCCTGATCTAGTTTCGTTGAATTTGGCTCTGAATCTTTTAAACTAGAAAACATTTTTAAGTAAATAGTATTTTCACTAGATGTGGCCTCTTTAGTTTTCTGTTTAGTATCCAATAATTTATTTCTCCAACTTGGTTTTCCGATTTCTTTTCTTGAAAAATTATTCTCGATACCTCCATTTCTGGAAAGTTTTGTCATACTTATTTGTTCGTTTTGGGTTTTTTGATCATTTGATAATTCTAAGGAGCTATTTTTTTTAATTTTTACCTCAGGAACTGTTTTAATATCAGAATTTTCTTGTAATTTCTTCTCTTCATTTTGACATATTTTCGTTTCATTAATTTTCAAAGTATGATTCAATTTTTTAGTTTCAGAATTTTCTTTTCTAAAATCGTTCTCAAAATTTAATGTAGGAAATAAAATTAAATCTTTGTTTTCTTCATCGCTACGTGAGATCTTATCAGATATTTTATTTATTTCTTTAACTTTTCTTACCAAGAGTTTTCGAATTTTATTGACAATATCATTGGACAAACGAGAAACGGCGGTGAAATTACTGTTTTCTAGTTTTATTCCTTGATCTTTGTTATCTTCTTTCATAAATTTCCCAATTTTTCTTCTTCTCTTCTTTCCGAATTGAAAAATTTTAAATTGATTTAATGTTGCTTCATTTTTAAAGTGGATATTATTTTTCATTATACCTTCAATATTATTGTATAATGATATATTTTTTTCTGTCAATTTATAATTTTCGGTTTGATTATTCTTTTTAAGATCGAAAAATTCGATATTTTTTTCAGTAACTTCATGATGTTTATTCGATTGAGAAGTTAGTGCCGCAGTAATAAAAACCAGGATGATACTGCAAAAAAAAAAAATTTGTATTTATTTGTTTATGCATGTAAAGATTTTTTGTCTATGTTGTTTTATACTTTGTAAATTTGTTTATAAAATTAATAGAAAATAAAAACTCACAAATTTCCCAGATGCATAAACTTCAAAGACATTTTTTTAAAAATTAAATTAAAAGCAATTCTTTTGAATTATAGAATTATAAAGATATATCGAAAGTGAATAAATGAAAGAATTGCACGTTTTAAGGGTTTAGATAAGAGATAATCACAACGGGAAACACTAGAAAGAAAAATTACTCAATAGTGACCTTCCAGAGGATGGTCAAGAAAGTACTAACAGGTAGTAAAGTTGAAAGACTCTTGTCTCATCCTCATCGGCAGAAAACGGGAGTTGCCTGAGGCAGCGTAAGTTGTGTTTTTATTTGTCTTATTTTTTTGCAGATTTTTACTGTTAGGTATCGTTTCTTTGCCTCACGTCCTTCGTCAGTTATTAATTTACAATGAAGAACATGTTATCACCTGTTCGCTATACTTGAATTGATCATGTTTCCGTACAAGGACCTTTGAGATTTAAAAATTGATAGAAATTATGATAATCATATACCAGATTCTCAGAACTGAAATTTTAGATGATACAATATATTTATACATACTTTTAAAAAATTACTTTAAGGAATCATTTACTATATCGAACTGTATAAAATTAGTTTCCTATTTTTTTTTTCTTTATTTTTCAGGTCATTAATCCTTATTCTTAATTCAGTGATTCAATTTTGTTATATGGTATCGCAAAATTGTTTACATCTAAAACAATTTAAAAATAAAAATGGCAACAATCATGTAATATTCAATGATTAATTAATTCATCTGCACTGTCATTATTTTTGATTTAATAATTAGTAATTAATATGTATAGGAGCTTTAAGTTTGTTTATTTATACTGAAAATGCATCTGATTGGATGACTGCATCTAAATTCCACAATGGCAGTTCAGTTCCTCACGTTTCTCTGTCTGAGTGGTAGCAGACGGCAACAGTCGGGTTCATATGCACCAGTCGCTAGCGACGCGTCCCGGGCGCTGTTCGCTACGATGGTGTTTTTTAAAATGTGTTATGGCCTCCCAGGGCTTTTTATCGGTATATTAACAGTTTTTTCATTATGTATAAATCTCACTATATGTCAGGAAAACTTCGCGACAAGAATGCGTGTTATAAGTGAAGATTTAGATCAACAACTACACGAAATGATGGATTCACAAGCAGTGACTTATTCTAGTGTAAATATTACTGGATTACCATACAATGCATCAACAAAATTTTACCCCACGGGCATGGTGCAACTCTACAATATGACAAACATGTTCATAAATTTTGTGCAGAAGAAGCAAGCTTATCCAGAAGGTATGTTAACAAAAAAATCGATGCATTCGCGTGAGTTTGAACGCGTCTCTTTGTGAGATTCATCTCGCGATCCTGTTATAATTTTTTTTTCTCAATATTATGCCAGATTACGCCCAAAGAGGAGAATTATTTTTTAATATTTTTTTAAAGTAAAGAATCTATAAGATTGAACCCTCGTGGTGTTTTAAAAATAACAGTTTCATGGCTATTTATGACAAGGGCGATGCTTCTCCCCGCGACCTCTAGGTCCTTAGCAACTGCCTCAACCCTCGCTGTCTGGAGTTACTTTTTCTCTAGGTTATATTTGGCATTACTGTTTTTTCCAAAGTGTCTGTTTGATGAAACAAAGCTGAAAAATGGAGGAAATCACTTTAAAAGTAGCGAATTAGTGATTCATTATTATCGGAGCTTGTTTATAAAATAAAGTGAATCAGCATTTGGTTTTTTTTTTACATTTACGTACTGAAACAGATTCACAATAAACAGTACTTCTATTTATTGATCATATGGCCAAATAAGTATTTTATGACACTTCTATTTGTTATTTTTTCGTATGTAATTTCTTTGTCTTTTTTTATATTTACATATTTGATAAATTTTATTTGCTTATTACAAATTTGATTAGATATTTAATTTATTTTGGTATTACAAAATCAGTGTTACTTTCAGATTACAAAGTGTGTGATTTAAATGTTTTTTTTTTAAATGAATAAATTTAATTAACTACAAGATATTCTAAGGAGCATTAGTTTTAAATGTTCCGGAACATGTAACGGTACTATTATCACGCAATAAAAGTTGTTGCTTTGTAAAAAGAGAATTGTCCTTCCAACGGAAGTTAAAATAAAAAAACTAAATGCATCTTTATGTTTAGCTGTATATTTCGAATAGGTTTAGACATTGCTCTAAATTGATTTACTATTACAAGCGGAAGCGTTGTTTACTGTTGGATACTGATAGAACGTTCTCAATTCACTTATCTATGGACATTAAATCAACATTTTGTTTTCTTAATGAAAATAATTAAAATCTTACTATCGGTGGGTTTTTTTTTTTTTAAATTCCATCACGTATGTGAAAAATGGTAAATATTTAATTTTTAATTGAAATTCCTTTTTTTATGGTCTTTAGTAACTTAAGAACATTTTTTTTTGCATCTTCAGCATTAATAAATTATTTGCTATTATTTAAACCTTGTCCATAAAATGCCCTTGCTCTCAATTAACCCTACACTCTATGCCTCTTCATTTGGTGAGATACATGACTCAATCTTTTTCTAAATGTTAACTTTTTTTAATACTCCAAATTTCGTTTGAAGTAAAAGAAACAGGAAGAATTAATTAATTGTAAGTTTTTTCTCACAGAAATCTTTGCAATGAGTATTTTTTGATGCTTGTTAAAAAATTCAAAAAAATGTTAAAAAACTATGTTATCTAGGAATTATAAAGAAGAAATATGCATCTCTTTTTTTTTGTGATGTAAGATAAGTTTCTTTAAAAAATATTCTTTTTTTCTAGTTTCGCTTGACACCGAAAAATATTTCGTTGACTTAGGATTATGAGAGATCACAGTGGTGTATAGATAAATATTCTTCTGTCTCTCGAAATCTTTATTCGTTCTTTGCACTGTGGCGAGGTCATGACATTATAAGCGTAAACCGGAAAAGCAGAAGGAAACCAAACGTTCGTAATTTAACTTCTTTTCATGAAGAAATCCTAACGGAATATACGCTTCTTGCTGAGAAAAATAATACTGATCTCACATTGTTTGATGTTGAAGGAAATATGGCTAACAATGAGCGTTTCTAGAAACCTAAAAGCCCATTAAAATTTTTTAAATATCTCTAAAATGTTTGCGGAAATAATTAGAAGAAAAAAAAAAGAAAAATTGTTTCAGCTTTTACCTGTTCATGGTTGATGTTTTGGATAACAAAGTCAGCTGATTTCTTATCAAAGCACGGTCCTGGAAAATCTTATTGTCATGGAATTTTTTTCAAACTATATATGAAAAACTTGGAAATGTCGGGGAATTTTATAAAATATTAATTTCCTGTATTTGATTCGAGAAAATTTTAAGCAATTTTTAATTCATTGTATTTTCTCTTATCATTTCTTCTTATCAGTTTTATAACTGATTTTTATTATACATCTTTTTTTTTTAAAATCTATTACAATACTCTCACTGAAAAAATTTGGTTAGAATAACTAGAATTCTGATTAATTACGAATAACGAATTACGAATACTATTTTTCTGATTATATTTCATATTGAAAATAATTCGTATTTACAAATTAAAATGATTTGTAATTGACGCAATATTTATAAATTATTATCGGCTTACCGGAAAAGATTACTCATTCTGAGTTTATCAATATTCTTATCCATTGCTTCCGGAGGATTTATAATCTAATTTTTAATTGCCACATGTTTTAATCAGAAAAGCACTTAAGAAATAAAAAAAAAATCAATAATCAGCACTGTTAGAAATATTCGCAAAATATTATCAATCAAGGAATACTATATTTGCAAATGACGTCATATTTGAATTCAGTTGGGGTCCCATAGACCCCACGGTTGGTTGAATCCAGTTAATCGGTCGAGGTTAAACTCTCGTGTCATTTCTGGCAATGTGAATGTAGGTGAATGCATTCGAGAGGAAAGTGTATAAAATTTATTCCTTATTCTTCAATGCAAAAAATCATCTCAGGCACTGTACTACTTGTTAGGGAATTTGTCTCTCTCTCTCATTCTATTCGTCTTTAATTTATTCCTAACTGGATAAAACTGTCGCTATATTTTCATTGAATAATTTTCTGAAAAGTAAATTAATTACTTTTACCTTTGTGGTTGTGAATTTTTTTTTGTTGTTACGTAAATAATATTAAATGATGCTATCTCTAGAGAGCAAAGAGACATTTTCTCATTGAGGCTAACCTCCCACTACTCTCAGTTCACAGTATAAAATTTCCTTGGGAACAGGAAGTTGAAAATATAGGTCACTTCTAGATCTAGACACTTAACTATGTTAAAACTTGGGGATGGAAGTGGATAAAAGCGAGAGAAACTGCTAAGAAGCATTTGGACAAATAATAGAATCTCTGTTCGTTTTGAATCAAGAAAAAATAAATCTCAGAACAAAGAATGAAACCTACTAATTTTAGTCAAGGATCAAATATATTAACAAATAAATTATTGTTGAGGCCATTATAATTAATCAAGGTAAATATTACAAAAATTGTATAAATTTCGAAATTAGAAAAAAATATTCCTGAAACAGTATTTTTTTTTCTATTACCGGAGCAAGAAATTCCGGAAAGTTTGGCATTTGGAAGTGATTATAATTATTTTATTTTTGTTTTCCAGTTTTATCCATGCATATTAAATCTTACTCGGAAATGGTCAAAGTTTTATTGACTGAGGTGTTCAAACGTGCCAATGGCAAAACTGTGTGTCTTATATATTGTAGCATATTAAAGAAAAAAAAAAAAAAAACTGGAGAAACGAGCTGAACGACTGCAGGCTCATACGGGCATGGAAGCGAGGAAACAGAATGTACCTCGAAGATCGCACGATATCTAATTCTCGTATTTCATATTGAGGCGAGATCACATCCTATAGTGAAGAAAAACATTAATAACGAAAAACTACTTTTCCGTAAACGGAATGCAATTAATTATACTATTATGGTAAATAGAAAAGAGCTATGTCTAGACAAATATAACTAATACTCAGATTTTCCTAAAATATTTCAACTATTCTCATTGAATTAGAGTAAAATCTCAACCAATTAATTTTTTATAATAAAAAAAATTAAGTCGAAGGAACATTTAATTATTTTGGAGTCCTAATTAACTTTTTAATCTTTGAACTGCATAAGAAAATTAGAAAAAGAGAAAGAGTTGGTAAGATAAAACAATACAAAAGAAAGTGAGAGAAATAATAAAGAATTTGTTGGCTAGAAGAAAATATTTTCTTCATCGTCTGTTTTACATACACTTTTCTTAAAGTTTGTGAATTATTTTAGAAACACTACAAATTTGAACTAATTTTGAATTCATAATAATTTGTAAATGAATTCTGAAAAGAAGAATGGCCTGTGTATGGTTATAAGTTGATTCGTCATAGAAGTTCCGTTACGTTAGAGAGCACAGTGTCCTCGAAACTCTGAATCATCTATACACTGCGGCATTCAAAGGTGAAAATACAATAAAGTAATATTGGGTACATATTCGAATGCTTTATACAAAAAAAAAAGTTGTTTCACTGGAGAACAAAAGGAAATTTACTTCCAAACTGATATAAAAAAAAAAAAACAATTATGTATTTGAGGGAGACGGAACTGATGTTCTGATAAATTTCATGTGAAGTGTCTAATAATATTCGAACGAAATGTGAAAATACAGAAAGAACTATTATTATTGTCATAAATCAGATTACACAATTCAACAGCTCTATAAAAACATTATATATGATAAAAATATCACTGGGATCGCAGACAGGCAGACGACGTGGAAAAAATTAAGTTAATTTTACCTGACAGGAAATATCTAGTCCAATATTTATTCTGCTACCGATTAATAGATTAGTTTATTCTCGTAACATATACATAAACGGTTCATCGACTTATCGAACGGAAACTCTTTACCCCCAATAAAAAAAAAAACGCAACCAAGGTGAATGAATTCGATTTTTTTTTTTTTTATTTATTTGTATAAAAAAGTACTTGATATTACAGAGATATTACAAGAAGAGTTTACACTTGATTATCTGAGTAAATTCCCCCTCTGTTTTATCGAACTCTCAGAATTCTTTTGTTAGACAGTCATTGCCTTTCAGACTTCAAGGCGTCCGACACCATCATTTCGAAATTAAATTAGATGGCGGTAGCTAGAACACGTTTTTTTTTAATTCTTGTTTTTTGTAGATAAAAAGTAATTTTCTCATGTATAACTATTAATATATTCAACATGCATGACTGTTGAGGTCAATGACTTTGAAAAATCGATTACACTCGTCGTAGCAGGAGCTTTACAAAAGTTTTACAGAAAACAGGTGTAAATTTACCTATTGGTAAACAGCAACTAAATTAAGTTAGTTTCTTTGTTAAGAAATTTTTTTTATTTCTCAGTACGATTTAAATTTATAAGTTTTATACTTGGCAGCAAAAAACAAAAATTGTGTCATAATAAGTTTCTTATTTAATAAAGAATAAATAAATAATAATTTTTCAACTAAAAAAAAAAAAGTAGAAAATATTTGAAGTAACATGTACTAAAATGTACAATTCTAACGTTATAATTATATTACACGCCCACGTGTTTATTCATCATACCCACATACATTAAATGATTCTACTACCAATTTAACAAACTTTCATAATGGAAGAAGTCGATCAATTGTAATTTATTTTTAACATCTGATAGAAATATCTATTTTTTATTTTGTTCTATTCAAATTATTATATTTGTTTTTAATTAATAGTTAAATATTTCAAACTGCATTATTACCATCTTATATGATTAATAATAATTTTAATGAAAATCTTATATGAAACTGGGCAGAAAACCTGTGTATAGTTTATAAACGGTACTTTTACTCTACTTCTTATTTTGTCTCTAATTATATTTTTTTTTATTAAAGAAGAAAGATTATGTGTCTCAGCTGACACTTAGAAAATTATGAATTTTTTGTTACAGGACTCATTACGACAGTAAATGGTGAATTTAAGTTGGCTGATCCTGCGAAAGAGTGGAAAATTATTGTAACTCATTATGGAGGATTGGCTGGACTTGCTCTGGCGGGTCTTCTTCTCGCTGCAATACTTCCATGTGTCGGATTATTTTTCTGCTGCTGCCGATGTGCTGGTAATTGTGGTGCTAGAAGCGAACCATTCGATAAAAAACATGATCATTGCAGAAAAATTATGCTCAGCACTATCCTGATTTGCGTTGCCACAGTAATTTTGTAAGTAATTCAAATTTTTAATTTAATTATTAAAAATTGTATTGAGAAATATTGATTTAAATAATTAACTCGACATTTATAGTATAAATATACATAAATTATTGAATTTGAAATAAAAATTTTCAGATTTGGTGTCGTTTGTGCATTTGTAACAAATGAATATATGCATGATGGTACTAAACAGTTGCCAGAGAACATGAAAGTCAGTCTTAAGGATCTTAGACTTTATTTGATGACTACGAAAAAACAAATTGAGACTCTTCTAATAAGCAACTTTCATGAATTGGAAATCACGTTGAATAACATTCTTCAACAAAGTGGAAGAATTGTTACTGAAAGACTCGCTGAATATTCTCATGCTGTTTCTCTTATGAATTTGAATGACATCGTTGCAGGACTCGATGCAATCAGAAAGGATCTCAGAATGATGAACAAAATTACTCAAGATCTGAGGGTCAATGCCTCTGAACTTGACATTGGTAATCATAGATTTATTTCTCTTCAAATATTTATAATTTTCATTTTAATGATACATTTTAAAACTATTTGATCTACTTTTATTACCCATTTGTGATTTATTTTTTAGTTATATTATTTATTTTTTAAATATTTCATTTTACAAATAAATTAAATTGGCTAATGAAACATTAAATTTCAGTTGTTCGTGGAGTGAGAAGGAATCTGCAAGATACGTTATCATCTTGCAATACAAACGCCTGTAAAGAAGTTTTGCACCAATATAAAGTGAGCGAAATGTCCGTTCAAGTCGACTTTGATAAGGTGAGTATTATTTTTATTTTAACAAAATGTTTACTAACTGGGAAATTTGAAAATTAACTCTGGAATTTAATAGTTGAATCAGGGATTTTTTTTATAATATTAATTAGAGTTTTTCACTTACTCAAAAACTGCGGACTTCCATGCGACACAATTAATAATTTACATTCGCAGTAAATAGAAAATTTTACATATTGTAATCACAATTTTAATAAGCAGAAAAAGTAAAAAAAATAACAAAATTTAATTAATTTTTGCTTATTAACTACAGTTAAAATAAAATATAATTTTTATTAACAAGAAAGTAACTGGGAATTTATAGTCTAATGAATTTAATAGACAACCTACTTTATACGTAGAATTGACATCAAATGGAAAATATTTAATATTCCTAACGCTTTTACCTCTTTGTTACAGTACATGGATCGATATTTTCCTAAGGTATGGAAAAAAAACTCATTGTTCTTGAAATTTATGTTGAATAATTAAAGTTGAAATCATTTTAGTTTTAGTTACTAATTTGAATTCAAAAGTTTTGTCGAAAAATTTATGAATTGCAGTAATATTTGTAGTCTAGCAAAATATTTGCTTTGTTTCATTTTAATTTCAGTGGAAAATTGACTGACTGCAAAAGCATTGTGGCAAAAATATTTAACTTTGAATGAAAGACTATTTTTTTTATCTATTATTTTTTTTAGCTGTAAACAAAAAATTTAATGGAACGTGTCGTCTTAAATAATTGAATTTGTATTATTCCATGCTTTCCGAAATAGCTTGAGTCTGTAAGTCGTAAGCTAATGCATGAAAATTTATTATTTCATTTTTGCCAATTATTATTTATTATTGTTATTTAAAGTACATACATTTTGTCTTTTTATGTTTGTAGACATTTATTTCGTTATACTGCAAATATTTTGTTTTGTTATTCTTTCTCCAACATTCCATGTTTTAATTAGATATAACTATTATATAATTTTTTTTTTTGATAGAAATTTTTAGAATTTAACAGGATTTTTAAAACTGAATTTAGAAATTTTAAAATAACATTATTAAAAAATATTTAATTATTGCTTCTATTGGGACATTTTTGAGAAAAAACAAAAATGTCGCATTTCGAATAATGATCAGATTAAATATTTTGGAGTAGAGTAGTTCATATAGTGTCGCATGAAATAGTTACTGCAGACAGGAGTTATGATTTTTATATTCCTTTGATGTGATTTTTTCTCAGTTTAATCACGATGGCTCGAAATTACGTTCATCCTACAAGTTTTTGCACTTCATATTTTCTTATGGAACCATTTTATAGAATGTTTTCTGAATAATTTATGATTTAAAAGAAAATAAATTTTTGAGAAAATTGAGTCTAATAATGTTTTTCTTTTCGGTCTTAAATCAGAAAACATTCTAGAAACGAAAATCACAAGAAAATTTGAAGTGACAAAACCTTTGGATTGAACTTAGTTTAGACCCACCATACTATATTTTGATTGTTTTACTGAAAATTTTTTTATTTCAGCTTCCTGATGTAAATGGAGCTCTTGACAACATTACCCATTTAATGGAGGACAATATAGTTTCCGAAGTAAGTCAGGGAAGAGACTCATTTCTCAGAATTCAAAAGGATATTCAACACGCAGTTAATGAAACAATTCCAGTTGTTAGTTCAAGCATCAGAAGAGCTGGCGATGCTCTTGAAAGTGCAGCTAGAAATATAACTAATCTTATTGATAGTTTCATATTTGAAATTACAAAATATCACATTCCTGGTTTTGACCGAGCTAAAAGTTACATTGATCAATACTCACCTTACAGGTAAAATTCTTTATTAATATTTTTGAAATTATTCATAAAATTCTATTTTTTAGTGGAATTTTTCTCAATACGAATAATCAACAAATTATTCATTAGGATTTTAAAAGATTTTTATTTTCCATTAATTTATATAAGTGTTTGAAACAAAATTGTCTCTATATGTATGTCAAAAATAATTATATTGGTACACACTTTAAATATATATTTAAATAATCATAAACTCGTAGATATTATCTTGGCCTTGGAATATCAGGAATATTACTCACAGTTTTAATGTGCATAATCTTCGGACTTTTCTGTGGTATTTGCGGAAAACGACCAGATGGTTATGGAGATGATTGCTGCGATAAAGGATCCGGTGCACGATTTTTAATGATGTAATTATCAATGATCATGTTTTTGCAGGGTGGACTCTAGTTTTTTGTTTTTTTTTGTCAATTATTAGTAGCCATCCTGTTTTTAATAATTTTGTTTTAAATTATTATTAATATTAAAAAATGATTCTAGGGCTGTTTGGATTATCTTCTTGCTAACGAGTATTTTAATGATCGTGACTGTTGCTCATATGATCACAGGCGTTGCTGCACAAAGAGGAATTTGTGAACCTCTAAAAAATCCCAAGGACAATAGAATGTTCAAACTCTTAGATGATTTCGTACAAATTAAACGTCTCTTGTATCCGAAAAATCATAATGCCAATATCAATATGAGTTACATTTTATCGTAAGTAATTATTTACAATTCCACATTTAAGATTAAGAATGGTAAACAAAAATTAATTTAATTTCTAGGGCTTGTCATGCAAATAAAACTCTGTATAAGGTTCTTTTATTTGAGAACATAATCGATGTGAAAACATTGCGTAATTATGTTGAACGCTATGATATCAACAACACGATTCAGGAGCTGAGACAGAAGATAATATTCTCACCGGGAATAGTAATTTTTAGTGAAAGAGCCCGAGGAAAATTAAATGACTTGGCACAGAGTGGACTGAGTGACATTAAATTCTATCAATATGCTGAGGTTCTTAGGGAAAATATCACGAACATTAATCTTCGACATCTTGCAACGAAATTACGAGAAGTTGCTAATCAACTACCTTATAGTTATAAAGATACTAAGGACAGTTTGGAAAAGAATGCACACGACTTGGATCATTATCATAGAGACTTGGTGATGCCAATGGCAACATTGGGCGAACAACTCAGCGAAAGTGCTTTAACTCTTCAGGAACACATTAAATTCAATCACAGCTCAATGAGTGAGGCTATTCACGTTTTAATAAATGAAGTTACAGAGGCGCAAGATTTTCTCAATAAAGAAGGTCCCGAATATGTTCAATTGGTAATTTTTTTCAGTTATTTAGAATAATTATTATTCTGATTAGTATTGTTGAGATTTTTAATTATTTTATTATTATATTTGTTTTTTTTACAGCTGGCAAGTAGATTCGGAGAAGCATTTATTTCTCAGGTCGATAGTTTTCTGGAACATGTCATCAGTAATGCTTTGAGTAATGTTGGAAAATGTGGACCCGTATCAAATGCATACAATGCTACACTGGTCGCTGGATGTAATAAGATCCTTGATCCTTTTGTAAGTTTTTAAATTAAAATTAAGGACCTTAAAAAACAAGTTTTATTTATTTTAAAAAATAATTTATTTAATAATTTCAGAACGGTTTCTGGGTGAGTGTAGGATGGTGCTTGATCCTGTTTATACCGACCATAATTCTCTGCGTTAAATTGAGTGCTCTTTATCAAAAATCCGATCCATATCCAGGACCCTTGGTTGAGGCGTAAGTGTTCCATTTTTCTCAATCAGTTTAAAAAATTTTTAAATAATCTCTCTAGTTAAGGATTTATGAGAGTTTGGAGCCTTTGTTTTTTCGATTTATATATTATACAAAAACGAAGGGCAGTAATTTCTTAAAAAATTAAATTAAATTCACCTTCCTAATTTTTTTAAAGAAGTTACTGCCTTACGTTTTTGTGGTGTGCATTTTTAAAGTATATTTATGAACCTCAAAAATAATTGTATCAATATTTATACTAAAAACATTTCTAAAAATAAGTTTTTTAAGCGTTCAAACTCTCATTAACCCTTAAATATTAGTCATTTCGGAAAATAATTTTTTTGTTTTTACTAAGTTCTTTCTCTATTCTTAACGTGATTATACGTTATTTTATTACTCGTTTGCATAATTTATGTTGAAATAACATAAATTCTTATAATTTTTATTTAACGCCTCATCTCTATCTCAAAACATAAATCAATCTTATGTTTAATGTTTAAAATTCATTCAATTCATAAACTTTCTCATCACTCTCATTGACTCAAACATAGCATGTGGTGTATACTTGTGCTTAATGTTTACATATAATTATCGGCATGTATTTTTATTAAATTTTCATTTATGAACATTACCGAACAGATTTTTGCAGAACTTCTTCGTTATAAAATTCAATACATATATTTTTTTTGGAGAAAAATATTAAAATATAGATTCAATTTATTTTTTTTTAATATTAATTGAAACTCTCAAAACAAATTAAATTGACTATTAATATTTATTTAAAAAATTCCCTTTTCTGGCACACTTCTGATCGGTAGTTTTTTAAAATATTTTTTTATTATTAAAGATCACTGTTTATTTTTAAAAATTCATTATCAGTTTTAAAAAAGTAATTGTCATTTTCAAACATCAATTTCAAAATCTATATTTTTATATAGGTAGACCAAAATAGTATTTAAAGTAAATAAGAACGTAATATTGCTTAATTAAGAATTAATAAGTATATGAACACTCATAAAAATGACTAGTTTTAGATTTTTTTTTAGATTTTGCTTGTACAAATGAACAAATCAAACAATCAACCTCTAAAAAATTCTCTAAAAAATTGTCATTTTTCAAGCATTCAAACTCTTATTAAGCTTTAATAAAAATTTTCAAATATCACGATTTCATTTGATTAATAAAAGCTCTAGCCCTATTCTTTCTCTCTGCACTTTTTTTTTATCGTAGAAAATTTATCGAAGGCTCTGCCAAAAATAAAAAGGCAAAGCGTTTCGCCCCATTATGGAGTGCGTTAGTAAATTTTAAGTTTATAATTAGTCGCTAATTAATGTTTGGAATGGTTGTTGGAATCTAACTGCTAACACGCTCCGTTCCAGTGAATATTTGTATGACGCATATGCCGACAGGGATAACATACCCCTTGCTCAGTAAGTATATTTTGTCAAAAAATGACAAATCGCTATTTACTCTAAAATTTTATTTCGCATTTACCCTATTGCAGTTTCTTTTTTATTTCTAAGAAATTTTATTACCTATCCTATATGATTAAATTCCATACAGTATAAATGTTTATTGAATTATTTTGAAATTGTGAAACTGTATTCCAAAAATTAAAAAAAAAATATTTTTATTTTGAAACTTTATTTGATTAGGTTGACGTTATTGTTGAAGCAAAAGCACTTATACAGATTTTTAAAACAAGATGCATTAGATATTTGATTTGCAAGTTTCGCTTATTTTTATGATTTTTTTTTTTTTTTTAATTTCTTTTCAAAGTGTTTAACGTTTGTAAGCTTTTAAGTTGTAGAAAAAACTAATCTAAAAACATTCGATAAAAACACGAAGCACTTCACATTATAGAATGGTTGGAAAAAACATTTTTTTTTTTTTTAATTGATATTTTGATATATTATTTGGTATTATTTTGAAAAACATTTTGATTATTGACAATTCATAAATTTTGAAAAAATCTAAGCTTTTATATTCTATTCAGAAAATTAAAATAAATTCGAATATTTCAAAATTAGATTATAAAATTGTGAATATTAAAAAATTGAATTTAAATAAGTTTCCATTTGATTTAATAATTTAATAAAGTTTTTTAGAGCCATTCTATAAGACACCTTGTATGATATCGCACATTAAAAATGGCACATTGCTCAAAGTTGATTGAATCACTCTCTATTTTCAGTGTTCACGATAAGAAATATGTATCTCACAATAGACATCATCCTTCATCTTATCCTGAGAGTTATGAGGGTCCAGTGAGCAGTTACAGTGATAGAGAAAATGAAAGAATACACGATGCTCATCAGGGCTCATCTCATAATGATTCAAGATATGCAGATGTTGCTCCTAAGTAAGTCATTTGTTCACGCTCACACATTCATAAATTTGTCAGTCTTATCAAAAAGATTAACGTTTCAAATTCTATTCAATAATTTATAATTGTTAAAAACTTTAAAGAAAAATCAAAAATTAACATTAATTTATTACCAACTTGAAATTAATTTTTAAACAAAATTATAGAAACGTTAATCTTTTTTATGATAGTTAGAATTTATGCTGGTAAATTTGAAAATTCATGTACATTTTTTCTCATTTTGAAATTTTCTTTTTATTGAAAATTAATAATCTGTGGCTAATTTTATGGTGACTGGATTTAGAAAAAAAACGCACTAAAAAAATATAAAAAATAAAAATAGATTTTTTTCTTTCAATAAGGTGAAAAAATGTCTCGTTTCGACACTTATGCCTAATTTGGTTTACAGTTTCGCTCTTCCGTGGCAACGCCACGAATCAATCGCGTCCTCTATAAGTGAAAATGACAATAAAGTATTTAGTATCACACTTGATTCGCAGTAAGTTTAAAGCCAGTTAAGAGTTTTATCCGCTTTTGTGCTGCGTTTTATGCTCGATTTGTCAGTATTGGTTTTTTGATTGAACCGCTACTATAAGCAGATTTATCAATCGGCAAATTTTTATTTCATTTGTATATGTATATTTGTGCGAGGTTCCCACTCATAGAAAACGTTTTTTGTTGTTCGTTACCAAGGTGTTTGTTTTTTTTTTTTTTTTTTTTGTCTTTTTTCTTCCTGGTGCCTCATTTCATACGAAACTCCGCTGGTCACACATTTTCTCCCGGTTATTTCTAGGTGAGTGTGAACCTTGCGGGGGACAACTTCTCGCGTCTCAATACACTTCTGCACGTAAGTTGTGAGGCTATACTTACAATCATTTGTATTTTATTTTTGTCTTCTTGTAACATATGCTTTCTTATATGCTCAGCAAAGTTACACAACACTTTCACCACCTTTGCGAGACAATTTAAAGGGATGATTGCTTTTTACAGGGTTTTATCACACACAGTTCATTACTCGACTTATTATTTATTTTCATTTACATTATTTAGATAGGTTTACAAAATTTGATTTATCTTTATTGGCAAAATAGTTTTATTCAAAAGTTAATTGCAAAAATTAATAGAAATTAGAAATAAAACTCAAGAAACATTACAATTGTGATCAATGCTATCTAAGCTATTTTCTGTTGCGGTAATTAAGGAACTTTGAGGATTATTTCACTGTTTATTTTAATATTCGTGTCGCAAGTGCACCAAGGAGTTCCTGTAAAAATATATTTAAAAGATAAAAATTTCATCGATGATGTATTTTTTTCTTTATCTGCGTATTTCTACGGGTACGGTTTTAAAAAAAAACCTTTTTTTTTGGATTAAGAAAATAAATTATTGCTTTTTACAGGAATTGGGATTTTCCAAATGGAGGTCCACCGAGATACCAACCACCAGCCGCTGCTCCTCCGCTCAGCAATGAATATGAACGACCTCCACCGTATTATTATCCTGGACCTGGGTAATTATTTGTTTTAATTTTTTTTTAAAAATTGAACTAAATTTTTGAAAAAAGTTGATTATAATTAAACTGTGAACAAAGTCGTAGAAGCAATTATTATAATTTTATTTCAGGGAGAGAAATTAGGAAACAAGTGCCGTGGCATGCACGAAAGCAGCGCTAAGCAGTGCGGCAATGCACAGCCTCACGCGAAGCTACAAAAGAACATTGAAAAGTAAAACAAAATCTGTCTGTAAACGGGATTACGTTTAACATAAAATTTGATCCTGAGCGTGCCACGGACCACACCCAGCTACCAAAATTATAATTAAAGACCAAGGTAGACTCAAATCTGTACGAATTGACTCAGACAAATCGACACTTACTTATATTGACTTAAAGCCTAATTGACCACTCTCTATTTCTTTAGGAATTGAGTAAAAATTCCTAAATTTACATTTCACAAGTTTTTTTTACTAATTTTTAAATCTCTACTTTTGGGAAAAATATCTTAAATTGCTCTTTCGTATTACGTTTATTCAAGACTTGATCACAATCAAGTGAACAATTTTTTTCGTATTATTTTTCTTGTTTAAAAAACATGCTATTGCGGTGCAATATTGACTGTTTGTAAATTTATTTTGTTTTCAATTGTCTTCGTTCATATTTATTAATTTCGTGATGCTACAAAAGTATTGTTTTCGCATTTACAAATATTTCACACACATACACTGCCCAAAAGAAAATTCCTTGTCTTTTAATTGGATTTCTATTTGCAGTATTAAAATATTCTTCTCTTGCCTAATTTATCTACGTATCTACAAGTGCATAAGTTTGCTTAGCGGGTGACTGTTTTTTTTGTACATAATTAAAAAAAAACTCTGGCGAGGCCATAGCAATTTCGATTGTCAAAATCCTTAATGTTTTCTCTTTAAAAAAATTATAAATGTCGTGAGCCATGAAAGCCATCAACTCTGAATAATCAAGGAAGCACAGCGCCATATATAAAAATGCCAAAACTGTTCACTTTTTTTCTGTCTTGTGCCTCGCCTTCTCATAGGAGTTTAGTGAAGTAGGAAACTAATTTCCATCCGAGCGCTGTGATATAGGATTTGGGTTCCCTCTTTGTATTCTAGCGCTTCGGAAATAATAAATTTCACATGAAAAACGAGGTCAAATTTATAAATACTCTGTGTATATGGTTCGTCGTTAAGTAGTCTTTTTACTATAATTATTAAATTACTGTGTAATTTATTAACATAAGCTATATTCGAATCATTTTTACATCATATAGAACAAATAATTGTTTAATTTACAAATTTCTATACGATGTAACTGTGATTAAAGAAAAACAAGTTTCGAAATCGATGTATCTGTCCCCGGGGGCAATGATTTCGATTCTCAAAAGTAATCGTCAAAAAAGGCAAAAGAACAATGAAAAATTGACATCTGGAGATTGTATTCGAATTTCTAAAATTATTAATTTGCTGAAAAAATTACGAAAAACCTACGAAAATCAAAATATAATCGAAAAAAAAAATTTGTTTACTAAAGATTGGAATAAACTTAAAGAATATCAATCTTCAGATGATGTATTTAGAAAAATGCATCGATTAATGTAGGATTTAATTAATGATTTAAAAAAATATCAAAAGCGCAACAGGTGATATGAAAGAAATCGCTGCTCCCTGGAAGAGCAACGTTAAACGCGGCGATTAAAGATTATTATTATTATCATTGTCGCAATTCTTATATTGTACTTGTACAGAATTGAAAAATTTACCTTATATATGGTGTAGTAAATCTACACGCCGCCCATGCTGCCGTATTTAAGACTCCGTGGCCGGCTGAAAATTCGTGAAAGTTTCTCAGAAATTTATAATATCGCAAAACGAGAAGTGCTTTTTGCGAATTGGATCCGCGACCCGACAGCAAATTGCCAAATGAAACTATCTTGTTTTATTCGATACAAAAGTGAAAGCACAAGACTCGTTAATACTTTTTCTAAAGAAAGAAAAAGAGCAAAAGAACAAAATTTTGAATGAATGACTAGATATATTTAATAAGTAAAAATGAGAGAGAAAATGAAAAGTTTGATTGTAACTTTCGACACTTTTCATCTGTAACTGCATTTACTCGTTAAGGTAATGGAAAATTCAATTTGATTCTAGTATATTAATATTTAAGCAAGTTGTGTGTATGCATTTAAAAGAGAACAGAGGATTTCCAAGTCGGGTGTAATAATCGAATTGTAGGATGTATAAAATAATTTTATAAATGTCTCGTTAGGAGAAAAGAAAAGATTAAAAAAAAAAAAAAGAAGAAGAAAAAGAGAATCAGCCCTTATGAATTAACAAAAATGAAAATTAAACAATTGTAATCGAAAAGACACTATTGTACTGAAAAAAAAGAATATTTGGTGCTATTTTTACAAAGTAGAATTCCAGGGCGATGCTCTTTTTCTGTGATAGGGATTTACTGGATCTTTAAAATAAAATCCAGTGTTTTTCGATGTAAAGGAAAAGTCTTTCTAAACGTTCTTTGGCTCCGATAATATAATGTTGAATTCGTTGACGTAGTCAAAAATAACAATTTAGTTTACACGAGACATGTCTTAAAATTGAGTGGTTTCAATGATAAATCTTTGATACATTCTTCTGCCTGCTCAATTAATTAACAAGAACGTGTGAAAGTCCAAAGACTTTATTTTCTTTTATTATTTACGCTACGTTAAGTCAATATCCCTTAAAACAGTATCATATTTTCTCTATTATGTCACTGTTTAAAGGGATAGTCGATCAAAAAATTGGAGTTAAAGAGAAAATCCAATTGCCATTGACTGGTTTTTTTTTTCTAAAATTCAATTTTGTTACTATGACAATGATTTTTGATTATTATTACATACTATTATTATTTTATTATACATTATAATTACAATTATTATTCTTAGAAACAAAGTGAGTGTATCGCAATTTAAATAAATATATCTATTTTATATTAAATCTAAATTTAAAAAGTTGTTTATAAATATATTAACAAGGTACTTTATTATCTTTACCCCATTTTCGCATAACACGAATTATTTGTTCTGATTGTGTGTTCGATGTGTTTCTAAGTAGTTGAATAACTTCTGGTAAAAGTTCCCTGTAAAAAAAGTCAATATTTTATTATCTAAAAATTGAAATGTATTTAAATTTTTTTAATAATGAATACCAACTTGGGTAACTTTTCTGCAATAATATATTGAAATGTTCCACAGGCAGCGCCACGTTTTCCTTCCCAATTTTCCGGCGTTGGATCCATTCTTTCAAGCATATCAAAAGCTTTGGTTGCGTACCAAAAATCACCAACTTTATAACAAGTGTTTCCAATTAATTGAAGAAGATTAAATGATTCTGAGGAAGTGTCCATTTTCAGGTAAAGTTCCCAAGCTAATTGACTTTTTTTGTTCATAATATCTAAAAATATAATAAATAATTATTTTTTCTATACTGTGCTTTTGAAAATGAAATATAACTTACAACAATAGGAAAGAAGACTAATAAAGGTGTAATCATTTTTGTATTTTTCGTTTCGAACAACAAGAAAAGCTTCTTCTGCCTCCTTGTAATAACCAGCTGCCGTTTCAGCTTGAGCATAATTCATATTAAAATTGTCTTCATTGGAAAAATATGTTTTTATCGAATTCAAATAAACCAAGACCTCTTCAAATTGTCGATATAAAAAAAAACAAGACGACATTGATTGTCTACCGGGAATTGTATCACATTCTGATGTTGATGAACCGACTAGATGAAAATATTGTTCAGCAATTTTTATATTTTCTCTCTAGAAAAAAAAAGAATCATCAATTAGAAATATTTATAATTAATATTTAAATTTGTCTTACAGGTATACTTACAGATCCAGTTTCTTGACCAATAACAGCATTGACTATTCCTTTTAAAATATATTCTTGAGGTACTGTGGGTTCAAGATCTTTTATCAATTCATAAGCATCGTGAATCTCATCATGTCGCAGATAATAAATTACTAAATTTAATCGAGCTTCTGGTATAACGTCAACTAAATTTGGAAGAACTTGCAATGCTCCTTCACCTGCTCGAAATACCTATTTAATAATGGAAATGATTAATTTACCTATAATTGAAAAAATCAATTCAAAATTTAGAAAATTTCATCATACCACCATGTTATGTTGTATTAAATCATTTCCAAAATTGCAGGATCCTGAGAGTTTTTCAGTCAGTTTCTTCATTTCGGCCTGAGCAGCTTTTCCATTATAAAGTCTGAAGTGATTACATGCTTTGAGATTAATTGCGATTGCACTATCTGAATATCGTTGTAAATAGACTTGAAGAACTTCCTGAGCAGCATCATAATAATCCAATTTATAATAACACAAAGCTACATAAACATTAAGGGCAAAATAATCCCTGAAATAGATAAACTTTTAATATTGTTTGAAAGAAAATAAAAAATATGTTTTAATTCCAAATTCTAAAATTATGAAAAGGAAGTAATATTGGAATACAGGATTATGGTGGATTGGAAATACCTGGATTTCATTCTTATCAATAAAAGTAAGGAAGATTCCATTTCTGTTAATTTCCTTCTTTCACTATATATTGAAAAGTTAATCATTTTTCTTTTTAAATTATAGTTAGTTTATATTAAAAAATTTTTTTCTTACCGGTTGCTTAAAAGGACTTTTTTATAAATATCAATTGCTTGCTGATAGTGTGCCCTTAAATAATGAATAGATGCCAAACTTAATTGATCTTCAATAATGTCTTCTAGTTTTGTGTGATATTCTTTTAATTTTTCATCATCATTCATTTTGTGGCACAAGTGAAATAATATTCTTGTCTTTAATGAACTTTCAGGTGCTTGTGAAAGAATTTTTTCAGCTTCTGTATACATTCCTAGGAAAAAATAACAGCAAGCTAAATAAGTTAATAATTCTGGTGGCTTTGTTGATGTATTGTTATTTTTTATATTTTCATAAATTGTCGCTGCTTTTCTATGATCTCCTAGATGAAAATAACAATAAGCAATCCAAAGATCATTTTCCATATTAGAGGATGATTCATTAAATTCTAAAAATGTAACTGCTCCTGTATAATCTCGTTTTTTGATGAATTCTTCCAATTTTGGAGTTTCTCTTTTTGAAGCTGATTTTTTCCCTCCTTCAGCCGAAGCAGGTTTCGTTCTTGACAAAATCTTTTCAAAAAATATTGGAAATTAAAATTCATCAAAATCGTTAAAAAAAAATGATTAATTTCCATTATTACAAATTGAAATTTTTAATAAACAATTTCAAAACAAAACTGGTTTTTCAAAATTTCAATGAAGAAAGAAGATAATATTTTTTTGGTTCGTATTAAACTAATCTAATTAAAAGACGTTGTTTGATAAAAAAAATATCGAAAAATACTTATTATAAAAACTAATATATCAATGAAAAAAAATAATTTAATATTGAAACAATGATAAAAAGCTGCTTGACAAATATTGTTCTTCTTTATTCTTAATATTTTGAAAACCTTGAGCCTATTTATTTCTTATATAAATAAATATAAAATACAAAGGTTTTAATTATATTTTAAAATAAAATATTTAGATATTGTGCGATTGTGCTTTCAAATAAATTCATTTAAAAATTTGCTGAAAAATTTGTGAAGTGCAGACAAATAAAATGAAATAAATAAAATTAATTATAAATTCAATAATTTACAATTAATTTTCTTTATTTTTACCATAGTGATTTCTACTTGTGTTTATAGACCAGCTGATATGTTATTACTGTAAATTTATTGATTATTTCCACCCACGTATAGAGAAATGTTTTGTTGTGAGTTCAAATAAGGCCTCGTTCAAATATCTTCCTTTTTGGCGCTGTCGTCGTATCAAAGGTCAAATGTCAAACTAAAAACAATTAAATTATTTAAAAAAAAAAACTTAAAAATTATTATGTCAATTTATAAATAATTTTAAATTATTTATTATAATTTTTTTTGAAAGTTTACAAGTTATTATTTTGAATTAATTATAGATGAAATATATAACTCAGCTGTTAATTGATTTTTGCTCAGAGAAGTGACAGGAGTCAACAGAAGTTGACGGAATACCGCAAGGAGCGAATTTTAAAAGTATTTTGTCAACTTTTTTAAGATGTTGGAAGGTGTTAAACATATTTTATTGGTACTTTCTGGTAAAGGAGGTGTTGGAAAATCAACAGTTAGTACACAATTGGCTTTGTCATTAAAAGAATCTGGATTCAAGGTAAGTACTTTTTTTTGAAGATTATGTTTTGTAGGTTATGTTTATCTCAAATCTGTATTTATTTCAGGTGGGCATCCTCGATGTAGATCTTTGTGGTCCTAGTGTTCCTTATTTATTAAATTTAGAAGGAAAAGATGTTTATCAATCGACAAATGGGTTTGTACTTTAATTATACAAATTTTTTAATTCACTGACAATCAAATAAACATGAAAATTTCATTTTTAAAACAAAACAAGCATGTACATTTTCTTTCTATTTTTTTTTCTAATTATTTAAATATAAATGTATAAATTATATTCATTTATTGTAAAATGTAGGCGTATGTATTATTATAATTTGTATTTAATTATAATTTGATTTATCTAAATCTTTTATTAGATGGGTACCAGTGTATGCAGATTCTGAACAAAAATTGGCTGTCATGTCGATAGGTTTTATATTGCAAAATCGAAACGACAGTGTAGTTTGGAGAGGTCCTAAGAAAACGAGTATGATAAAACAATTTTTAAATGATGTAGTTTGGCAAGATATTGATTATCTAATCATAGATACACCACCCGGAACTTCTGATGAGCATATTACAGTTATGGAGGAATTAAGGTACATAATATTAACTTAACTTTTTTTTTTTAATATACATAACTGAAAAATTCCTTTCAATGTATGTATATTACATTACGATATCACATTTTATATCTTATCACATTTGAATGCTGCGAAAATTCTAAATGAAAATAAAATTAGCATTTATTGTTTGTGTGATATTCATGCAAAAAAAAATGATCTGGCACATGACTTTTTACTAGTCACATGTTAGTATGACTCCGCATCATATGATGTGAAAGACTGAAAACAAGCTGTTCTAGATAAACTTTCGAGTACGGAACTGATAAAACTTATAAAAAATCTTTACAATACTAGACACGAGAGACAAGAGTAAAAAGTGTCCATATTTTAAAATAGTTTTTCACATTTTGATTACAAATTTTTCACTTTTTTTAAAAAAATTTTTTCTCATTTTTCTGAGAAAGTTTTTTCCAAATAAAATTGAATTAGGATTGTGTTAGGGAAATTTTTCGATTGCGATTTTTTGACATATTTCAGTTATTTGATTCCAAGCGTCCAAAATTGATGTTAGCCTCAATATCTTAGAAATAAGAGAATTTTTCTTCAATTTTTAGGCCTCACAGGTATTTTAAATCCGATTAGTTCTGACATCTGTTTTTCTTTCATTTTTCAAAGTTTTTTGAGATCTTTTGACCTTTTGTTTGATTTTACTTCCTTATAGAAAGCATTGAAATTGTTCTGTTAAACTCAGTTTAACCCAAAGATTTTGGCTCTGAATTTTCTTGAAAATATCGTTTTTAGAAATTTTTCTAAATAATTTAAAACCAAAAAGAAAACGTTATAAAAATTTTTTTTGACAAAATTGTATTTTTGTATTATGATGAGAACTTTGATGCTTAGTACAGAATTCAACCCTAAGGTATGTGGACTTCAAATTTTATTATAATAAAATAATTAATCAAATTAATAGGAAAGTCACATGTGACGGGGCAATAATAGTAACAACACCACAGGCTATTGCAGTAGATGATGTTCAAAAAGAAGTGACATTTTGCCGTAAAACAGGATTACCTATAATAGGAATTATTGAAAATATGAGTGGTTACGTCTGCCCGACGTGTAAAGTAAGTCATTCTCAAGTTATAATGTTTTACAATGAAATATTAAAGAAAAATTGTAAAAAAAAAAAAATAATTAATTTATAGGAATGTACTAACATTTTTTCGTCAGGCGGCGGAATATCATTGTCAGAGATGGTAAAAGTTCCATTTTTAGCAAAATTACCTATTGATCCATCAATTAGTAAATTGGCAGACAAAGGTAGTTGTGTTCTTTCTACATTTCCTGACAGTCAAGTCGCTAATGTCTTTCAAAAATTAGTGGAAGAAATAACAAAAAGCAAAGAGGCTTAATTTTATGTAAATTAAAAATTTACATTTTATTGTGTATAATCTTGTGCACAATGTACAGTTTTTTTTTATTTGTAGCGATAAGGAGAAAAATACATGTTTTTATGTTGGAAAATGTACATTTTTTGTATAAAATAGTTTAAAAATTATATTTTTGAAAATTCAAGTACAAACTCTGTTTTTTTGATTTACAACAATATAAAAATATTTTTACCCTATAAATTCATTATTTTTATGAGCAGATTTGAACTACATTATTGTAAATTTATCAATAGTGTAAAATAGAATAATAATTATTTTTGTTCAATTATCTGTTAATTAAAATAGTAGCACCATATTTTACTAATAGTAAATGACATTCTCAATCAACCATTTCTTTCAGTGTTTACATTCGAACAATTATAATACTTTTTTTTCTAATACGGTAAATAATAATTCTAATAGGTAAATCTAGTTTATTTTCATCTAATATCGTTGATCTCAAAAGAAAATTTCTTTTTAATGTCATTGAAATTTTAACTATTGTCGTATGTACGTCTTAAGTATAAAATCCTTTTTAAAAAAATATTAATGTCATTGATCTTTATTTTTTGCAATATAATCTGTCATTTCTTCGACAATTTGTTGAGTAATTTTGCCAGCGTTCAATAGATACTTCATTAATTGAGATATGGTAAAAAGACTTCGAACTTGAATATTGTTATTCTCTAAATTTTTCCTGCCTCCTTGTTCTCTATCCACAACCACAAAAACTTCTGATATTTTCAATCCTGAATTTCTTAAATCACTTACAGTTTCTAAAACACTCGATCCAATAACTATAACATCTTCAATGATGACACATTTATCCCCTGGTTCAAATTTACCTTCAATTAATTTCTTCGTACCATAAGATTTCGATTCTTTTCTTTTCATTAGCATTGGAATATTTGATTCAACAGAAATAATTGTAGCTATTGGTAATGCTGTATAGGGAACTCCACATATATGAGAAATATTTTTTGTATCCTTAGCAAGTTTCCATAAGGTTTTTGATAATTTAGTCTGAAACATTTCAAAAAATTTGAAGTCAAATTTTTAAAAATTCAATTAATTAGTTCAATAAATTAAAAATATTTAAAATAAATTCTTTGAAATGACCATTATAAGCTTTACGGAAATACAAAATAAGCTCTATTTACATATGATTTGATTTGAATCAGAGCCAACGTATTTTGAAATAAGTATTAAGAAGTTTAACTTTCAAACTTAATTTTGAACACAAATTAGGTATATATACATATATAATTTTGTTCAAAATTTATTTTATCATTATTTAAAAAATTTTAGATATATAAATAGTAAAATTTAATAATATTAAAAATATTTCCTTATTTTACATAAATTGAAATATAAACCTGGATATAATATTATTACTCACCAATAGCTTAGGATATGAAATTATCACTCTCAAATCAATATAAATTGGAGTTTTCCATCCATTTTGCAATGTAAATTCACCAAATTTAACTGCTTCAATATCATACAAAGCAACTGCAAGCTCCTGAAGTTCTTCTTCCATTATTTTTTTAAATTTCCCACTCACAAGTTATAATTTAAATACTAGTTAACCGTATAATATTGGCAAAACTGAAAGAATGATTTATTTATGTGAATTGAATATTTAAATAGAAGTTTTATTAATTAACCGCTATATATAGATGTAAATATTTTTTAGAATAAGTCCTAATAATACGTTACAAATTATTTATATAGCGCCAATTAATTATGGTATTTTCTAAGTAAATACACATTACATTCAAGATGCAATATTCTTACCATTCAAATTTAAATATTAAACACTAATGAAACTGTATTTTTTTTCAATCTCCACGTGGCAAAGATTCCACTTTCACTGACGCATCTATATTACATAGTTATAGTTAACTTAATAGATGGAGGGGGTAGCTCATACATAGAGCAGGTGCTCTAAAGATAAAATTCTGTTTTTAAATGATTTACAGATCATTTCATTCTCATTATCTAATTGTGATTTTTTTTTCCACTGAAAATTATTATGTCTTAAATTGATTCATTAAATCATCATAATTTGCTAATATATAATTTTCTGTATATCAATATCAAGTTTATTGCATTATTTTTATGTAATTTGTACTTTAAAAGTGATATTTTATTACTTATCAAATAATTTGCAATTTCTTTTTTAAAATTAATATTGTAGTTACATACTAAATATTTTAATTTTATTTTAATTAACTTCCTCATAAAGAAATAATTGTTTATTCAAAAATCGTATAACTTAAATTGAAACAAACAGATTAACTCGTATGAAGTCCGTATTTTACTTAAAAATAGACTGAATTTTCGAAAAAAGCTTTTTTTAAAAAAAAATAATTGTCTTATTAGAAATTTTAATTAATTTTATTAATCTGTTTAATATAAAAGTTATGGCATGTAGGACAAATAGTCATTTTTTTTGTATGTATGTACAAATGTTAATGTCTTTGGAAAAATTGTTGATTTATTCTTTTGAGATCCTCTTTTCATAAGCATCCCACAATTGTTTTTTGTATTCCATTACAGCAGCAAGTTTTTCTGTTGCTTCAGTGATTCCTCTACCAACAACAGCCAAATCTGCTCCAGAATTGACAACATCCTCTGGAGTATTATACCTTTGTCCCAAGTCATCTCCAGATTTTGATAATTTCACTCCAGGTGTGAGTTGTATTAATCCTGGATCTGAAAAAATATTTGACTGACAAACAACACCAGACACTAAACTAATATCTGTTGTCATTGAAATTGTTTGAGAGATGTAATTTCCATTCTTTAATGCCCCTTCGGAGGACATTTCTGCCACAAGAAAAACTCCACGAATTTCTGTGAGATCATTGAGACCATGTTTTAATCCTTCGATCACTCCTTTACCAGAAACTGAATGTGCTGTTACAATATCCGCCCATTCGGCTATTTTATAAATTCCATTTCGATATTGAAGCGAAACTGTGTGTCCAATGTCTCCGAATTTTCTGTCTTCCATAATTAGAAAATTATATTTTTTCGATAATTCTTGTAGTCGAGTGACAAAGTCAGAAGTGAAATTCACTATAATATCGACGTGAATTTTTAATACTGCTATATGTGGTCCTGCTAATTCTGCTAATTCGAGAATTTTCTCCGCGTCTGTTAAGTCAGCTGCTAAACAAAGTGTTGTTTGTTTTCTATCCATGAGAAATAAGAGTTTTTTCGCTAGTGGATTTTTCGCAAGTCTCGCTCGAGTAACGAAGTCCATTTTTAATCGTTCAACTTGCGTGTCTGAAAATTTAATTACAATTTAATTTGTTACATAAAGTAGTAGTAGTATTCAGATGTAGATCAACCTTACCTTGATTATTTACTTTCAAAGGTGCTTGTGAATTTTTCAAATAATTTGAAACTTTTTCTAAAATATTTCTATCAATATGTTCAGCTTCCACGAGGTATTCAATAATTTTTCTAAGAGTAAATAGACTCTTTACTTTTATTCCATGATCTTCTAAATGTTGCCGTCCACCTTGTTCTCTATCGACGACAATTAATGCTTCGGTTACCTTTAAACCTTCATTTTGTAAATCATTAACAGTTTCAAGAATACTGCTACCACTTGTAATAATATCTTCTATAATTACACAGTGCTCTCCAGGTTTAAATTGTCCTTCAATCAATTTTTTGGTCCCATATCCTTTCGCTTCTTTTCTTCGAATTAACATTGGAATATTTGATTCAATAGAAATTATTGTTGCAATTGGTAAAGCTGTATAAGGCACTCCGCAAATTTGTGTTACTTTTGAAGATGAATTCTTTGATAATTCCCATAAAGCTCGTGATAATTTTTGCTAAAAAAAAAATATTTATTTTTATACAAACTAAAAAAAAATTACTTTCTAATTTATTTAATAAAAACTATATTGTCCGATTCAATAAATTTCAAGACAATATATATTAAATGTCTGTACTTGTTTACACTTATTTAACAATTTAAATCTTACACAATGAGAATCATTTACAAAATCAACAAGTGTTTCTACTATGGAAAATTTTCGTTTAAACTTTTAAAGAAACTTACCATTATTTTTGGATGTGCAATTAAAACTCTTAAGTCAACATAAACAGGAGTTGTTAAACCAACTTTTGTCACGAATTCTCCAAATTTAATAGCATCCACGTTGAAAAAATCAAAAGCCAATTCTTTTAATTGTTGCTCCATTTTTAAAATATTTTCTTATTTTCCTTTGGTTTAAACTATAAATAATAAAATTGAAGATTAATTATGTAGAATTTAATTAAAAAATAAGTTTTTCTTTTTTAAAATTATTAAATATTTGATAAATTACTACCTTTTAAATGTTCTATGTCAACTATCCAACGCAATAAAAGAACGAATGGCAACTGTCGATAAGCGTCGCCGGATGTTCAGCTATTTTTATCGAAATCTACTCTCGGACGGTAATATACCTATCTAGTTTTTAATTCAAAAACTTTCCTACAATTTCATTTCATTTCATTTAATTGTAGGTATTAAAACTTATTTTTTAATTAATTAAAATGTTTTAAAAAATTTATCAGTTTTCTTCAAATTTAACTAATTTTCAAGAAAATTAATTATTAATTCATTAAAATTTTCTAAGTTCTAAGACGATATTATAGAAAGCAAAGGAAAGGGAATTATAGAAGCAAATTGCAACTTTTGAATAAATGTTGGTTTTTTTTTTTTTTTATATATTATGACACTACTTTTTGTTTTCTCATATAACCTTTATGTTTAAGAAATTAAACAATATTGTACAATGAAAACATTGTAAAATTTAATCTCCAGAAACAATTTCTGGTTACAAAGATTTTCTCAATTTTCAATCATTTCACTGCTTAACGAAACCTAAATTGAAAATGAAGCTTTTAAAAAATGTACGTTTTAGAATGCAGCGATTATTTTGATCTTGATGATGAATATAGGCAGCTTATTTATTTCCCCATCCCCAGAGACCTTTGACAAGTCCAGAAAGACCAGCTTGTCCCTTCTTGCCTTGGTCTTGTAATTTATTTGACAAATCAGGAAATTCAACCATATTAAATGCCAAATCGAAAAATAATGGTTTACATGGAATACTCTGCATCGGTGGTGGCAATTTATAAACGTTGGGTTGCTTGCTGAGTAGAGCAGAATCTTCACGATATTCATGAAGTCGTTCAGACAGTGGTTTTTTACTTTTCACTTGTTTATTTAATGGAGAATCCTCTTCTTGATCTTCTTCCAAAACGCTATGTGCATGAGCTGCATATTGAGCACCTTCAATTAATGTTTTTAATTTACTTAAAGATTCCTTTAAATCTTTTGGAAGTAGGGAACCATCTTGAAGAGCATCTTGAGTATGTTGCAATGATCTTTGATAAAGGACCATTGCATCCTTCCATCTGTGAACATTAGCCAATGATTGTGACATGTAGAAACATCTAAATGCTCGATAAGCTTTAGTCTTTGCTTCTTGTTCTTTCAAAAATTCTTCATCATCCTGAAGTTGAGATAATTCAACTAAATTGTGAAGAGCTGCTTCGTACAAACGAACAATGCTTGAAGGTTTTGCTTTCTCCGATTCTTCCTTCTGGATCATTTCCACATTACGTTCCAGAGTTCTTGAAAGTCTAATGTATTGTAAATATGCCACCAAATGTTGAGGAGCAGTTGATGTTTCCTTGTTCTTTAATTCAACCTTGAAAATCTCTCGAACATTATTTATCTTTTCTTTATAATCTCTCAAATGCGCTTGTAGAAGATCAATTTTAGCTTGTTGATCACTGGCTTTTGTCAAAGCCTGATTCAATTGCGAGTCAGCCATCAACATTGCTGCTGCACTCGGTGGAATTGAGCCACAAGATTTTCCACGCCACATAACTTCCTCGGTATTTGTTTGTTTCTCTCGAGTTTGAGTTATCAGTGCATCTAAACTGGCTAATAATTCTCCACTAAGTTGACCTCGCATTTGCATTAAATCATCAATGGCAGAAGTATCGCCAATATTATAAGCGCAATATCTTAAACTTGGAGCTAATTCCTCAACTCGAGCTTTATAAATTATTTGCTCTACTTCTGGCAGAGCAGCCGCTAAATTCTCGTAAACAACTTGAGCTTTTTTCAAATTCTCCATTGCTGAATTCCATAATTCAAGTTCAAAATGCAAAGAGCCATGGATCCAAGCGACGTAAGCTTGTGCTTCTAATTTCGTGCGAGCATTACAATTTACACTCTGAAAGAATTTACAATTGTTAATATTCAGTGTATTTTCAAAAAGGACTCATTTTCAAAAATAATTTCTAACAATTGATAGGGAAATTAAATTACAATTAAGCCCTCTGAAAAAAAAGAATGTAAATCAATAATAAAAAAAATGATTGGAACCTCTATTAATTCTTGTAATTGAAGAGAATAAGTTGCAGCCTTTCTCAATCGAGATGTTAAATGAAACTTTTTTCTTGGTTCAGTATTAGATTCTTGTCGTAATTGCATAGCGTAACTCCAAGCCCTTTCAGCCATTACCAATGGAACTTGTAGAAATTTGTCATCGGTAACCATTCCTGAATTGACGTCACGACGTTTAAAGTGACGCCTGTCACCCTGGGGCATCTTGAGAACTTTTCGAAGACGTCGTAAACGTCTTGAACAATAACCCCTGTATCGTTGATAGTCACTGTGACGTAAACCATGTTGTTGTTGTGCTTCCTTAATTATTTTCAAAACTAATCATTTGTCAAGGAAATAAAAATTTATTAGTTTTCAATTATGGTACTTTCTTTATTACTTAAAAACAAATTTGAGAATTTAATTTTTTTAAATTAAATAACCTAATTATTTATTTTTACTTCTCTAATTGTACTTCTTTAAAAGTATAATATGTTAATATTTTCTATATGAATAAATAAAAATAAATAACACATAAATTGATAGTAATGACATTTAAATGCCATATGACAAGTATATCAAAGCATAAAAATTGAGGTTATGAAAATGACATATGGCTTTTTTTGGATAATAATATTTTTCAATTTTTACTAAATTGTGCATAAATAAAAGGATACTTTCTAGAGAATATTCTCTTTGTTCTTTTGACACAACTGGATCAACATTCTCCGTGTTTTCGTTTAATAAATCTGAATTTTGCATCACCATTGTGACAGGTGGAGTGTATTCACTAATTCACTAATTACATAGCCTTAAGGGAGATTTTAGACATTTAGACATGATTGGCTAATTCAACAGTACGTTCATTCTGATTGGGCAATACAAAACATCCGTAAAAACACCCTAGATTCACTTGCCACGTGTTTACGTCCAGGGCCTTTATTTTTGAATTTTTGTAACTAGATCTCGCATGCGATATATATCGAATTCAAAATGTTTAATTCTCTTTTCAATTTATCAAAAAAAGTCAATTTGAATATTCTCATGGAATTTATTAAAGGGACAATTAAATCTAAATATAATTATAATTAATTATTTATTTAATTTGAAATATAAAATTTATAACATCGACTTATTCGATATATCGAAAAGAGAATTCGAGTATCACTTGCTGCAACGTTCAGTTATTGGACTTTATTTCCATTACTGCTCTCGAAAAAACCCTACGGCATAATTTATAATCTGCCGGTATCTCAATCTCAGTTTAAAATCAAGTAAATTCTTAAGTAGTTCACTAATACCGGTTTTCATTAAAGTGAATGTTAATTAATTTTTCTTAGTTATACAAATTTTTAAGGCAGTGTTAGAAAGGTTAAGTTTCCACCATGTCGAGGTTATTTGCACGAAAAGTTTTCCGAATGCAAGGCGATTTAAAAACGTGCACACATCTTGGTATTGTTCCTGTTAGAAGATTAAATTTATTGGAATATCAGAGCAAAGAACTACTTAAAGATTGCGGTGTTTCGGTGCAAAATTTCACTATAGTTGATAAAATAAATAAAACAAATTCTGCACTGGAAAAATTACGTTAGTCTAATAATTCATTTTTAATGATGTTTTGATTGTTTATAATTAACTTTGCTTTCAAGATGTGATTATGAAAATTATATAATTCTAGATTCTGATGAATATGTTATTAAGGCACAAGTTTTGGCTGGTGGTCGTGGAAAAGGATGGTTTGATAATGGGTTTAAAGGTGGAGTTCACATTACAAAAGAGTAAGTAAATTAAAATATTTTATCAAAATTGACATTCTAATTTTAATCGATATCTGACATTTGACCATAAATTTTATTATCAATTTCTATGATTTATAATCGTATTTTTTTTTTACATTATAGTCGTAGTATTGTAGAAGACACAGTAAAAAATATGTTGGGTCATCGTTTGATAACAAAGCAGACATCAAAGGATGGGATATTAGTGCAGAAAGTTATGATAGCAGAATCAGTGAACATTGCTCGGGAGACATACGTCTGCATCTTAATGGATCGTCAATATAATGGACCTGTTTTGATAGCATCTCCATCGGGTGGTATGGACATAGAGGCAGTCGCTGAAAAAACACCGGAATTAATAAAAACCAAACCTCTTGATATTTATTATGGTATAGACGATGTAGTAGCAAAAGAATTTGCTGAATTCCTTGGTTTTAAGGATAAAGATATCCTTGAAAAAGCAATATTTGAATTGAAAAATTTGTGGCGATTATTCGTTGATATTGATGCTCTGCAAGTTGAAATTAATCCCTTGGTGGAAACCACTGATAGACAAGTTGTTGCAGTCGATGCAAAAATAGCTTTTGATGATAATGCCGAATTTAGACAGAAGGATATTTTTGCCTTAGAAGATGATAATGAAAAAGATCCAAGAGAAGCGGATGCAACGAAATATAATTTGAATTATGTTGCTATGGATGGAAATATTGGATGTTTAGGTTATTTTATGTTATTAGTTACTAAAAATTTCTGTTTTTTTAAATTTATTTTTTCAACTTGATTTTTTGAATTTTTATTTCAAGATAATGGACATTTTTTTTTGGTTGTAATTGGAATTTTTAATTTATATTACTTTTAAATTAAAGACAATTTTTTTTTATTTTATTAGTAAATGGTGCCGGTTTAGCTATGGCAACAATGGATATAATTAAATTAAATGGTGGTGAACCAGCGAATTTCTTGGACGTTGGTGGTGGTGTAAAAGAGGAACAAGTCTATCAAGCATTCAGAATTCTAACAGAAGGTAGAATTTTTATTTTTTTCAGTAAAATAACAAATTATTTTCTAAACTAAAGAGATTAATTTGTCAAGTAATTTTTAAATTTGCTTTCCATTGTTTTCTGTTTGATTATAGATCCCAAAGTAAAAGCCATTCTTGTGAACGTTTTCGGTGGAATTGTTAACTGTGCGACAATAGCCAAAGGAATTATTTCAGCAACCAAAAACTTGGGTCTGAAATTACCATTGGTTGTGAGATTAGAAGGTAAACTATTCTTTATTATGATTATAATTTTTATAATTAAAAAATTTTTTTTTTAATTTAATTTAAGGTACAAATGTAACAGAAGCAAAAAAAATTCTGGCGGATTCTGGTTTGCCAATACTAACTGCAAATGATTTGGATGAAGCTGCGAAGAAGGCAGTTAATTCTATTAAACAGTGAATTTCTTCGTTACACAATATTTTTCCAAAGAAACTGGTTGATTTCAGAACATATTTCACGAAAAGACAAAAGTAATTTACGTAAGGACATTTTTTTTCTACATTGCTCATGTTTATAGACTGTTTTCTATTTCTTGTTATATTCAACTCAATTTTATGGATTTTATATATCGACATCTTCTAATCATAAAATCCTAACAAATGTCAATGGCACAATTCTTACTGAAAAAATAATGCAATATTTGTTTACTTTATATTGTACTTTTTTTCAGTAAAAATTATGTTACATTAACTTTTGTACAAGCATTTTATGAACGAAAGGCGTCAATATTTTATAGGTATATATTATTTGTTTTTCAACATCTTGAAAATTTAATTACGTCAAAATATTGTTACATGAAAGTTATCTCACTTCTAGTTTTTGTTACTTATTCAAAGATCTTTTTAGTTATTCATTATATTTTTCTTAAAGGCAATGAGTCTTAATATGAAAATTACTTAAAACTTTTTAATAATCTAAAATATTCTATGAACAACACAATCAATTTGTAAATAAGAGACAATAATTATATAAAAATGAAATTAGCGACTTATACTAATAATCCAGACTTAATAACTAAAAAAGAATTAAAAATCAAGTCTGAATATTTTTCTATAGAATTCTATTTTGAAATATATATACAATACTGTTTATTAATTGACAAAAATTATTTTCTACGATATTCAATGAGATGTCGATACTAGTAATTAATACTAGAAATGCACTGTTAATTATAATACACGACTATATATTGTATTTTAAAGACAAAATAATTCTGACGTTGTTTAACATAAAAGTCAAAGATTAACATAGTTTAATGAGAGCAAAAGTGATATATACGTGATACGAAGTATCAAGTTTATAATTTTTTAAATAAAATTTTTAACTTTTACAGTGAATATTAATAGGAATCGTTACAAACTTTTTTTTATATTTCAGGTGGAATATTTTATTTATGAAATAGTTTTGCTTTTTATAACAAAAATAATAATTTATTTAAATTATTACTGTGCGAGTCCATGCATCTTTTACAGTATTTTAGAGTAAGTACAAATCGATTAATTTTATTACACACTGCGTGGACTGCATATATCAAAATAGTAAAAAGATATTTTTTTTTTATAAAATCCTTTAAATGTGTATGTAAAATTTCTGTTTACCAAATAAGATTTAAAAAGAAATCAGATTGATCTTTAAAGATCGTGGTCCAGAGAAACAAGAACTCATACTTCTCGTATGGTATGATCTTTTCTCTTTATGGTGTTTGCTACCAGTTAAGAAGAATTGAAATGGTCGTATTAAGAGGGAGGGGGGCAAATAGTCGTCTTGTAGTTCAAGTCCATGATATGTGTAAGTGAATGAAACAAGAGCTCCTTGGTCGCCTCACCGGTAACCATATAAGGTACTTGATTTTTAACTCACTTTCGAAGGTAATGTGGTAATAGTTTCTTTGGCCTTACAGACATTTAGTGGGCCATGGGGTCACTGATTATGAAGTATCTCGAAAAACGCAAACTTCGATTTGATATTTACAATTTTGTCAAATTAAAAAAAAAAAAATTCTTGCAGCGAAAATTTACAAAATTTAAAATTCTTTTTTTTAATATTGGCAAAATCACTTTTTTCAGGTTTTATTCTTCTCATAATTTTATCACACCTTTTAAGAAATAAACATTTTAAATGTTTTTCACAACAAAAAATGATCGCACAATTTTTGACCGGTGTTGTAAGTATCTGTTTAATAAAAATTCCTTTCATTTTTTTTAACAATCAATTTAGTTTTCGGGGTTTCATATTTTTCCAACAGGTTCCAAAGATGTTCATGAAAAAAATGAGGTCACGTGGAGGAGAAATGGAACATAATTTCTCCAGATTTGAATAAACAACAGAGGGAGCGTATTGCGGAATATTAGAATTGTCGCTTAGCGTTTATGAAGATTTACGACAAAGGATTAATGGAACACTGGAAAAAATATCGCTGAAGTAACAAGTGAGTATCGAAAATTATTAAATTCGCAAATATTGGAAGTCAGTGGTTCTAAAAATGGTGTAATATTTTTTGTTTCAAAAGCACATTTTTTTTTATTCTTTGAGTAATCGGAGGTTCTTCAGAATCTGAGGGAACTCAGTATATTCATTTAATTTTTTCAATGAATATAAGAGGCGTAAGCGCTTCATCAATGAACTTGAGTATATCTTAGAAAACAATAGTTTTTTTTTTTTAAGTAAAATTTTTGGTACTTCATAGATTATCTGTTTCGTTTTATCATATATATGAATAAACCCCTGCATCGTTTGTGTGCGAAGGGAAGACCATTCGTATATGTATATATATAGATTCGGACCCCCTACTCTTGTGTCTGGGGCGAAGCGCGAGGGTCCGCAAACTATTCTTGGAGAACTTCAGTCAGACCTTCTTTCGCGTTTGCAACAACATTGACGGTTTTTCTTCTTAAGTAACAACCAAACTGTATCTCAACTTCGACAATAAACGCGAGCGTTAGGGCCGGAACAGTCATTCCGATGGATGACCGGAAAATAATTTAGCGTACAGAAGTGAAAAAACATTTTTTTTTTTTTAGGTGATATTGTGTTTTAACACCAGGATTTTCATCAATTGGAATTTTACAGGAAAAAATTATTTTTATTTCAATTTTTTCAACAGGAGGTAATTTTAGTTTTCAATAGATTTCAAATTAAATTTTTCACGGAATTTTAGTTAATTTTTTTTTATAGTTAAACATTTTATAAAATTTTTATTATTTTTCACATTTTTTAATTCTTCTTCGTTTATCCCTTTTTAAATTGTTTTGAATAATAACGTTCGTTAAGGAATCCACTTAATATTATGTTGTAGATTTTTTGAAATAATATATATATTTGAGTGAGTCAGTTTTTTATTCAGTAGAGAAAAATATTTACAGTCAGACATTAAAGAAGTAAAAACTAGCTTTATCAGAATGTTAAAATGAAAAATTACTTCTATTATTATTTTTACTTTAAAAGTATTACATTATTTTTCAATTAAAATATAAATCTGCAAATCTTGTAGAAAATTAATAATTCAGCTTTAATAACAAGTTGATAAAATAAAAAATTTCCATGATAAATATTCAATCAGATCTTTAAAAAAAATCTTCCCATTTTAAAAGTGTGCTTTAAACTTTAACGAAGGTATATAGAAAGAAGCGTATTAAAAACTTTCAAAAATACTTTGGCAATCGGCCGTAACCTGAGTCATAATTCTTAAGATTCTTCCTGGATTTTAGTTCGAAGGTTACATTATTTAACAATTTAATTTGTTCTTTTGTCTTAGAGTTTTTTTTTCAAAAAAATGTCTATTTTCTATAAAGATAAGAAATATTGTTTTATTTTTCACGTTTCAATAAAAGACTGACCCTGAAAATTGATCGTATATGAAAATACTGAACTGAAAATATCTTGGCTTTCAACCGCATTTTCGCGACATTGTAAAGTTTAATTTAATTTGCCATTATTAATGATTAAATATATTATAAAAGAATAATTAATTATCTCAACAATTAGTAATAATTATTAAAATCAAGTTTGATAAAAAATTTATAGTTTGTTATTAATTTTATAAAAATTAATAGAAATTAAATTTCTGGCATATTTTTGAACGATTAAATTAAACTTGAATTATGTTTTTCAAGAATTAAATAATGTTGCTTTTTTAATTTTGAAGTGGTTATTCATTCGCATACTTTAAAGGAGTTATCACTTCAGAAATATAACCATTTTTGTACATGTAACGAAGAATGAGTCAGACAAACTCATTGAATTTTCTGTATTCAACTTCTTTAACTCTCATTGAAATCAGATCAATAGACTCAACATTTGCTAATTATAAAAAATTATTTAACTTAGTAATCAAATTTTTTTCTAATGAAAATATGTTATTTTTTTCTATTATAAAAATTCAAAAGTGTCTTATTTTTTTTACAGTTTCAAATAACAATTATTATTACTAATTGTCTTTGTAGAAAATTTAATGTCAATAGCCTTTTGTTATCCCGAACGATTATACGCACCTATTTATAATTATTTATTTATAGTCTCTTTGAAAGTACGTGAACAGTCGCGGAACTGTTTCATTGAACACGAGCGTAAACCCTGACCTAACTCAATTCGATGTAACCTTGTCACATGGCCACATTTTGTGCGTGGGTAAAGTCCTGAAAACCAAAAAAAAATTTGATTTTCAATTTTATTTTTTTCCATCGAATGTATTTAAGGTTGTTAAGGGTTAGAGAAATCAGTAAATTTTATGAAAAGTAGTGAAAAAATATCAAATTTCTCAAAAGACTACTAAAATTATAATTTTTGAATCAATTTCATCTTTTGCTTCTAAAAATTGTTTTAATTAATTGAAAATCTCTTGAAATATTTTTATTAGGATTGGGGGAAAAAATTTAAACTCTGACTGGAAATCAGGGGAAAAAATAAAATTTTTGTGGCAACCCTGTTAAATTTTAGGGATTCATTTGTGCGTAAATGAAAATTGTAATTAAATTTAACAAGTCAATATTTTCTTTTATTACTATATCGTATTTCTCTAAATTTTTATACCTGAGTAAAATATGACCCTAATTTGCACGAATTTTATTTATTACGGTTACAGGTAATCAACAAGCTGTAAAATATCTCTGGATTTAAATATTTTAGAATCATGAATCATTTGAAATCAAGGAATATTATTTCAACTGAGAGAGTGAATGACCCTTTGTAAAAATATTTAGATAGTGTGGGAGGTCGGAATTAGCCGGCTCTCTTCTATAATTTTGCAAAATCGAAATAATTTTGTTAATTATTAATGTAAAAAAAATAATTTAGTTTCTTAACTATCTTCTAATAGTGTAATTTTTGAAATTTCAGATTTAAATTGGCTCCAGCGGTTGACGAGGATCGAATTTCCAGATATAGACTCGAGGAATTAGCAACAGATTGCGCGAGCATATAGAAACAGGAGCTGAAAATTCTCCAGCTGATCTCACTGTATTGACGACTGAGTTTACTGATATTATATACACCCGGTGTTGTACCGCCGGTTGGATTCTCCGTTGAATTTGAGCCATCGAGCTATCAATCGTAAGAGGGGATATTTCACCCTCCCACTTTTTCCAGCGATTCTTCCAAGCCTTCCGATAAAATGAATGAAGAGGAGAAGTCAGTTTTGTGCGATAACCACTCGAGTGAGGAGGAAGATATGGTCGAGCGGGAATTGGCCGAAAATGCGGAGTGGAAACGAATACAGCAAAACACCTTCACCAGGTGGGCTAATGAACACCTAAAATGTGTCACTAAACATATTGGTGACCTGGAGTCAGATCTTTCGGATGGTCTTTGCCTCGTTAGTTTGATTGAAGTTCTCTCACAAAAACACCTTCCAAAACACAACAAACGACCTACCTTTCGATCTCAGAAACTGGAGAACGTTTCTGTTGCTCTCAAATTTCTCGAGGATGAGGGAATACGCATTGTAAACATTGGTGAGTCAAAATTCTCTTTCAATTTATTTATAATGTGCACGATTTTATAATTGTTCTTTATTTTATTATTTGCATCTTATTTTCTTGTTGACATAGTTTATTGAAGATTTTGAGGATTTGTTTACATAAATATGACCCTGTTAGAAAATGATACATGAGGATGATTTCATATGAAATTTATTGTTTAGTACATTTTAAATTCGGTCAAATTATATATTATCATTTTCTCTTTGTAGACAAATAGCTATGTTTTTTTTATTTTTAAAAAAATTTTCGAGTTATTGAATTTTCAAAAATTTGTTTCAATAGACTTGATAATGAAAATTTTTTTCAATTTACACTCGCGTTGCAGTGTTTTATGTAATAATTCCTAACAGCATCCGGGTATTTATTGGAGTATGATCAATATTAAATACTTTAATGATAAATTCTAATTATTAAAAAATCTTGGAAATTGTTTTCAGAATTCTCCTCTAAATCTTTACTGAATCTAGTCGCGGAAATATTGAAATAGTCATGAATCTTGTAATTTTTCCAAAATTATAGGAAAGAATAGACTCATCGACTTGCTCTGATCAGACTCCGAGTCGATACACGATTATTCCAATATTCCCGCGTGTAATTCCAGTGAAGTTTTAGGGGAGAATTCTAAAAACAATTTCCAAGAAGATTTTTTAAAGGAATCGTATTATATACATCTAGACTGATTGAATCATTAAAATATCTAAATATTGATTACATGAATTAATAGATTAATTTATTTAAAATATTAAACTGAGTTAATTTAGTAATTTATAAATGGATTTCGATTTTTAATATAAAATTGATGAGTCAACAGAATCACCTTTTGATGATGCTATTAAAGTTTGCAATGTAAGCAATACTTTTTAGAATTTCATGTACGTGGAATTTGCTTTGCAAATTTTTAACATTTTTGAGTTTTAAAAATGGTCGGAGGTAAAAAAAAAATGAAGATTATTTTTCGATTAGGATTTATTTGGATACAATTTGGTTGAAAGAAACAAAAAAAAAATTGGAGATTATTTTTCGATTAGGATTTATTAGGATTCAATTTGATGGAAAGAAACGAATAATTTGTAAATAATTTTTCAATTCTATGGAATTTCTATGGAGCAATCGCGTAGACTTCTTTCATGTGGATAGTTTTAAATTAATTTGATAAGATAATTTGACTTTATTTAATCAGCTTTCTTGTAGCAATGAACTTCGATCATTATAGATAAGGATCGCAGATATAAATTCATTTTTTTTTTTCTTTACTTAGGCACTTTTGGGTAATCTGTATACAGATACCTTAGCTTCCGCAAGCCAAGGTTATGTGGGGTCGCCTTTAAGAAATTAGTTATCAAACAAGAAAATAAAATTTTTCTTTTAATTTATTTATTTAATAATGAATTTTTTTAAACTTGATATATTTCAGATAAACCAAATTCGAGTACGCTGAATTCAATAGAGTTAGCCGTTTTTCCAATTTAGGTCCAATTTTCAAAATATTCGCCTACATTTTTTTGGTCCATTATAAAAAAAATATGTTTCTAATCAAAGAGCATTGGAAAATGTTTAATGTTGAATCGTAATTAGATTGTATAGGACAACTGATTTAAAACACTCGAGACAAATCGAAGGGGATATATAGGTTTCGAACACGTAAGGTTAGATGTCTTGGATACTGGATCTTCTCATTGTCAGTGGCATTGGGATATAAGTTTAACCTTCACTCGGTACCAAAGAAGTCCGCCCACTTTCTCTTCGTGGCATGAGAAATATATAGGAATGAATTTCGTGAAACACATCAGGGACTTCTCATTGTCATTGATATTATCAAGGAAGTTTATCCTCATTCAATGAAGTTACATCTTTTGAATTCTTGTGGTCATCACAACCGCAAAATTTATTTTATTTTATCTTCACATTTTTTCCTTCTTTTCAAACTTCCGATTTGATTCAAACTATTACACTGAGAGTCTAGACAATTTATTTTTTTAAAGAAAAATAAATTCTATTTTTCTATAAGCTAATTATAAATTGATTAGCAAAATACAATTTGTTAGAAATTTTGAGAGTCTTCGGTCACTTGAGTCTGTTGCTATAGTAGACAGAGGTTCGATTCATCATTTCGAGCTCTTTGATTCTCAGAATGAAAAAAAAAATTAGAAAGAGAGAGAGAGAGAGAAACATCAACAGTTACGAGAGGTGGTTAGTGAATAAAATTGTGAATAATTAATACCGGTATATGAATCTCTTTAAAACTGTTATTGCCCTTATGAGGTAAGCGTTTAATTATTTATGACGTCACCGTCTATTCATGTATTCAATATAATAAAGTTGTGTAAATCAGTCTTGATTCAATTTCAGAGTAAATGATCATAATCATCTTATTTTATTTCCTAAAATTTTCTTAGAGAAGAAATCTATTTTTCAAAAGTGGAATCATTCCGGTGTTTAATAATATTATAGAAAATAGAGAATTATTATTATTCTCACACAAATTTTTGCATATATAAGAGAGGTGATTTAAATAATATGAGACAGAAATCATGATTCTATAAACTCTTATTCATCATTGTATAAAATGCGTAGGTAGTTTGTAATGTGAGATGTTCTTTTGTTTCTTCCGTAAAAGATATATTCTCCCTGCGTAACGACCTGGTTTCCTGCGGCTAATTTTTAAAATCATTTACACTCAAAACCGCTAATTATATACATACAGAAAATATACATTCCTATATATATATATAGCACAAGAAATTTCTGAACATTTTCTAAAATTGTTCTGAAATCTTCAAAATTTCGTTAATTAGAATTCAATTTTAGACAAATTTTAATTTCTTCGAATTTATTAACAGAATTTCTATATTAAATAATTGTCAACTTTATTATTTGCTTGAATTTTTATTAGACGTAATTGTTTAGAAGAATTTTTATTTTATGGAAAGTATTAATTTTCCAGCCGAATTTTCATTTGTTCTAAATATATTATATTATAAAATAGAGTATGTTTATTTAAATAAGTGATAATTTTGATAAGAAACTTGTTTTTGCTTTTAGTTAGTTAGTTGAGTATACTTGCATGTTTATTTCTCAGAAATAGTTCTTAAACTTTTTATGGAAAGAAATAATTCGTTGGTACTGCTAAAATTATTTTTATGTCTTAATCAAGTTTTCCAAGTTTTTAATGTTTAGATAATTTTAATTGTAAAGAAAATAAATCAGAAATTCATCTCATAATTTAAAATAAAGAACTTTGAACTCAGTTGATCATGAACTTCCAAAATATAATGTTACAACTTTGTCATCACTTCACTATTCGTAAAATGAATTTGCCTTACGTCACTGGTATCTAAGAGTAATTGCTTAAAATAGTCGAGGATGAATCGTAATCTCGTGAGAACAGCAGGCAGTCATAGAATAATAGTGATAATAATAATAATAATAATAATAATAATAAAAATAAACTAGAAGAAACATATGCCAAAAATCGTGTTTGTTAATTAGCAATAATTTCATTTTAGAAACACGATAGATATATTTCGAAAATTAGGAGAATCAACTTGTTTCCGACGCTGTTGGCTTCTGTCTTAGATAATTCTTATTAGACAAAAAATATCTCACAATTATTTCATTTGATTATTCAAATACATACAATTAAAAATTCATCACCTGAGTTAAATCGTATCCGCAAATCCGTTAGTAAGATTTTTTTTTCCAGTACAGAATCCTTTATTATGATTCATACGGATATTTATGAACAGCTGAGTAAGAAAACATTTCTTATTTCTTACGAGTTATCTCTTATAAATAAAAAAAATCTCTAAATAACATAGAGTTGACATCAAAATATTTGATCTCAATTTTTTTTTGCTCTAAAGAACAATTTACTAAATGTTAATAAAAATAGAATTATTATCGAATTTTAAAGTAATAAAGTCTTGTAGTATATATTTAATTAATTCAGAGGAATATTTCTAAAAATAAATTATTGATCATATAAGGGAGTATGTATATTCTATTATTTTATTATTTTTTGAGGATTTATTTATAGCAAAATTTTTCTAGTTTTTATTTTTGTTTTGTGAAACTTCTATATCACTTTGTAAGACTGTGTGATAAATTCAGAGCATCGCTGAACTATTTTTCGTCTCTACCTTAACTCCCACGCAAGGTGAACAGAAGATTCCACTTCTCTCTGTTGTCTTTATATTTATTGAATAATAATAGAAAAAAAACCTGGGTTCATTTTGAATAACGTATTTTTTTTAGTAATAAAAATTGTTAAATTATTTGCGTAATTTTCTTTTACAGATTCTTCTGACATTGTAGACTGTAAATTAAAATTGATTCTGGGCCTAATATGGACTCTCATTCTACATTATTCGATATCGATGCCAATGTGGGATGGAGAAGACAAGGAAAGTCCAGGCAAGGGAGCTACACCAAAACAAAGACTGTTGAACTGGATCCAATCGAAAATTCCCGTTGATAATTTCACATCAGATTGGATTGATGGTCGTGCTGTCGGTGCCTTAGTTGATGCTGTTGCACCGGGTTTGTGCCCAGATTGGGAAGATTGGAATCCCGAAGATGCGTTGCAGAATGCATCAGAAGCCATGGGTCTTGCTGACGATTGGCTTAATATCCCTCAGGTTTGGTTTTTATATTATAAAAAAAAAACTTAATTTATATTCTCTTTTTTATTATTTCTATTTATTTCGTTTATTAAATATTTTTATTTTTCATTTTATTTTTAAATGTTGACCTTTTCAATAAAAGGATTTCTGTTGACTGTTTGTAAGCAAAACACGTTAAATTATCTTACGATGCAAATGCAAGTATCGCAGCTGATAACTGCATTTGTATAGTCGTTAACAATATTTCCATTATGTATTAACTGTTGATAAAAATAACTCTGATACAAATTGAATTATTATTTAATTAATTTTTTTCACTTCAAGGTTTTTGATTTAATTTTCGAATCTTGAAAATATTAATGAATTTAGTGAAATAAATTTCTGTTTTCTTGAATTTATGTTATTCTATTTTAATAACGCATTTGTGAATTAAATGTGAAAGGTCCAAGAGTAGTTTATAATGTAATCATTAAATGGTAAAATTTGTGCTTTAAATCCTGCCAAGTTAGTTATTTATGAATCCTGAGGCGATTTAGGGTTTAGATGGAATTTAAATTACAGGCCGAAAGATCTCTTTTTGCCTTCAACCCTAAAATATGATTTGCTCCAATATCTTTGATAATATTCATTTTAAAAACTCTTTTATTAACTGCTTCGTTCTTAAATTAAAATCTTATTCTCTTTATTTATATTTATGTTCCATTGTGAAAATAATTTTAAAAAATTATTGTTTATTATTAATTTTGGAAGTTATTAGTTTTTCTATATTTAATTTTTATTTTTATAATTTCTCTAACAAGTTACTAACAACCAAGTCACTTACCAAGTCAAGTATTACGTCAAGACCAATAATGTATGTGATTTGTATTCAATATAGGAAGCTTAACGCAAAAGTTCTTGAGGCTCTGCATAAATTTGATAAAAGAAATTATTTCAAAGACTTATATATCTGGAAAATAAATTCTGAAATAATAATTTTGTAATGTGTATCAACAAGCATTATAATTTATTGTAGAAAATAAGAAAGAAATATTTTTATTTTAAAAGTTGCTTTATATTAAAGAAACGAAGTATTTTTTAATTTAGAAATGAAGTTTGTTTTTAATTTTTTTATGAATATATAGTCTCTGGTTAAATATATATATAATTTCTTTTACATTGATATTTTTTTTTTACAGTTAATAAAACCCGAGGAGATGGTCAATCCAAAAATCGATGAAATGTCAATGATGACATACCTCTCGCAGTATCCAAATGCAAAATTGAAGCCCGGGGCGCCTCTAAGACCTCGCACAAATCCAAACAGGTCAGTCACTAAGTCCAAGAGTTTTTAAAATAAATTTACATATTGCATCTTTCAATACAGACGGTGTAGAAGAATTTTAAATACATATATATTTATGCAAACTTTGAATTCCTGAATTGACATTTCGTCTCAGAAATTAAATATTTCGCAACTTTCAAATATTTTAAAATTATTTTTACAATATTAGAATAAAATTTGCAATTTTTTTAAATTAGAAATGAAATGATTTTTATTTAAATAATAAAAATCATAACTTTTATTTAAAATTAAAGTTTTCTAATTTGAAATTTTTTTTTAATATAAAAAACCTAAAAAAATTAGTTTTAATTTTTTTTAGCATTTGATTTTTTTAAAAACTGAATTACTATTTATTTTTTAAACATTGTCATCACTATAGTTACTTCTTGTGAAAAAATATTTTCACGTTAGTGTTAACGTCAAATAATTAACGATGATTTAGATTTATTAACTCATAATGTAATAAACATGCTTCTACAACGTCTTAATTCCTATTTCAGTATTGAAACTTTATAAGTTATGAACTCAACGTATAATGAATAACATTTAAAAAATGTTAAAAGATTGTTAATATGTTTATGACATTTTTACTTAACCAAAAAAAAAAGTGTATAAATAATTATTAAATGTTTTCCATTTCTCGGTTGCAGCATTCCCCCGCCACGGTAAGTCGCGTAGATTAATATTTGGCGGTGGTTTTTTTTTTTGCTGATTAATTTTTGAAGATTGAATAGCTATTTATTTTAAAATATTATTTTCGCTCCAATCTTATAAAAAGAATATTTTTTTTTGTTTTTGTTTTATATCGATGTATTATTATTACTATTATTATGCATCTATGGTATAATTTATTTAATTCAATTATTAAAATTGAAATCTTTAACGTAATTATTTAGAATTTTCATTTATCGTGATTTGTCGAAAATTTTTGAATTTTTTTTTTGCGCATATTTATTTTTCTTTTTTAAATAACTTCGATTTTTTTGCTTGTGTGAATAATTATTAATATATTTTCTATTCGACTCATCAGTCGTAAATTTGTTATTCACATAAAATTATATTTTATAAATAAAAACAAGTTTGATATTTGATATTTCTTAATAATGTATGTGAGTGTTTTGAAAAGGGGAACATTCTCCAAAGAGTGATGCTAAATTTAACCCTTTTTTGGGTTAATTAACCCTAAAAACAACTGTTTTTTATAATTAAAAAACAGCTGTAACAAATTTTTTATCACATATTATTTTTTTCTGCTTCCATTGAACTTGATCTCAGAAATAATGCTAAAGGTTAGTGTATAACAATTTGAGTAACTTGAAAAATAAATCCACTTTTCTATAAAATCTCACTCTAGCATGTCTTTTTGAAAATCTTCATCATTTATGATTATAAATTTTTTTTTATTAATGTATTATTGATTTACTTATTATGAATATTCCCCTTGTAATTTTTCGTTATATAGATAATTTTACAAAAATTGTTTTTCTGTATAATTTTGTAATTTTTAAATTTTCATTAGCTTAGGAATTTAATTTAATTTAAAAATATAATATTTTGTTGACAATTATTATTTTTGTATGATGAGGCAAATTCTATATTATAATGCTATGTGTAGTGCTTATAATTGATTGGCATTTTAATTTTTTTGTATATTTTATCTGCTGAAAAAAAGATCGTTTGTTATATTAAATATTAATATTAAATATTTGTTTATTTAGAGTCCGCGCTTATGGACCAGGAATTGAACCTACAGGTCCAATTATTGGAGCACCAGCTAATTTCACCGTTGAAACTTTTTCTGCGGGCAAGGGAAAAGTCGACGTCTTTGTTGAAGATCCAAAAGGCGAGAAGCTACCGGTATGTATTTACTATTTTATTTTGATTAATTTAAATTTATTTTTGATAAACTTGGGAAATATTTTAAATTTATTTATACTAATTTTTAGGTGAACATTAGATTCAATCAAGACAGAAATCTTACATATTCGGTTTCTTATACACCAAAAGTCGAAGGACCACACAAGGTAAAGGTTCTCTTTGCCGGAAGGGAGATTCCAAAAAGTCCGTACACTGTTATGGTCGAAGGACATGCAGGAGATCCCAGTAAAGTTACAGCTAGTGGTCCTGGCCTTCAACCAGTTGGAAACGTAATAAACAGACCTACGTTCTTTGATGTATTCACTAAGGATGCCGGTAGAGGTGTTCCAGAAGTCGTTGTTCTTGATCCACTGGTATTAGAATTTTTTCACTACATTCGATTTATTTATAAAATTATTTATAAAGAATATTGTACAGATTTAATTCTTTTTTTTTTTAGAAAAATATGATTCCAGTAAAATTACGACAAACATCTCCAGATATTTGGAGGTGTGAATATGTTTCACCTGTTCTTGGTCTTCATTCTGTAAATATCTTCTTTGCCGGTAAACTTATTCCCGACAGTCCAATGGGAGTTAATTTTTCACCAGTCTCCGATGCAAAGAAATGCAGAGCTTATGGCCGAGGACTTTTGCCTAACGGAGTGCGAGTCAAAGATGACGCAGATTTCACTATCACAACAAAGGACGCCGGAGAAGGAGTGCCGGAAGTACGAGTAATAGGTCCCGGCGGTGTAAACCTACCTGCACAGTGAGTATTGTCAAAAAAAAAAAAAATTCAATTATTTTATTTTTTTCAATTGTCAATGTCAATGAAACTATTGAAATGATTTTAGACTAACAAAAGTAGATGCCACAACGTACAAATGTGTCTATAATCCTGTGAAGGACGGACGACACGTGGTGATGGTGACATATGGAGGAAAAGAAATTCGAAAATCTCCATTTGAAGTTAATGTCGGACCCTATAAGCAATCAAATATCAGAGTTTTTGGACCTGGTTTGTACGGAGGTGTAGTTGGACATCCAGCGAAATTTACAGTCGATACAAATGGAGAAACTGGAGCACTTGGATTTTCTATTGAGGGTCCCTCTAAGGCGAAAATTGATTGTTTCGATAATGGTGATGGCACGGCAGACGTCACATATTATCCAACGGCCGCAGGACCTTATGCAGTACATATTCTTTGCGATGGAGAAGATATTCCTAAATCACCCTATATTGCCAACATCATTCCAAAAGCTGACTATGATCCTGATAAGGTATGTATCAAATGTAAACTGTAAAGATTTAATTTTTAACTTGTCAATGATTTAAATCTTAAATTTTTTTTTACTCAGGTTGAAGTTCATGGACCTGGAATCCAACCGGAGGGAGTATCATCGAATAAACCAACTAATTTCACAATTGATACTAAAAAAGCTGGTAAAGCACCACTAGAAGTTAAAATTCAAGATGGTCTTGGACGCGAGGTTCCATTAAAAATTGATGATAAACGAGATGGTACTTATCAGTGTCATTATACGCCGACTTCCGGTTCACAGCATGTTGTCATGGTATGAAAAATGAAGCAAAATGATTTTTAAAAAATAGATATAAAAATAGATGTATAGAAAAAAATAGAAAAATGAAGAGTACTTGAAAAAGTTGATAGTAAAAATTTTTTACAGGTGAATTATGGAGGAGTTGCTGTTAAAAAATCTCCATACAGAGTGAAAGTAGCCGCTCCATTAAATCCTGCTCTGGTAGCAGCTTTTGGTCCAGGATTGGAAAAGAATGTAAAATCCAACACACCAACACATTTCAATGTTAATTGCCGTGAAGCAGGACCTGGAGCCTTAGAGGTTACTCTGAAAAATCCAGAAGGACGAGATCTTCCTATCTCCTTAACTGATAACGAGGATGGAACTTATGTCGTAGACTATTGTCCACCAACACCTGGACCTTACACCGTGAATTTAAATTATGGAGGACTTAAAGTACCAAATACTCCATTAAAAGTTGATGTTCAGCCAGCATTAGATGTCTCGAAAGTTAAAGTAGATGGCCTTTCTCCAAGTGAGTTTCTTTTATATATTATTATACATATATATCTAAAACAAATTTTTATATCTGATTTCCTTTTAACGGAAAATTATTATGGGATTAAATTAATATATTAATTAATTAATTAATAATTAATCAATAATTAATTATATATTAATTATATATCATTTTTTTATTGAAAATCATTTTATTTAGTATCTCAGATTTTTGTTTAGTTGGCATAAAATTAAAAGTGAGTTGCATTCAAGATATCACACAGCAAAATTTCATTGGAATTTATTTTTAGATCGTGTACGAAATTTTTTTTGTTCCTTGTTTCAAAATGACAGAGTTAAATAAGAGATATTAAAATATCTAAAGAAAGTTACGCTGAATTTAGGTTAAAAAATTTTCTTTTTTTTAAACGTTAATACTAAGTAAATATTCATTATATCATTAAATTCACTAATTAGTACTGCTTCGATTTTACATTTTACGATTTTGTGTATTGTCAATTAGTCTAAAAATTCATTAGCATGGGCACTACTAAATAATAATAATTATAATTTTTTAAAAAGTAAAAAAATGAACTTGCTGAATACTCAAAAATATTGATTTGTGATAATCGTTTTATTTTCGAAGTGCGTAACCCAAGCTTACGCTTTAAAAAAAAAAACAGTTATTTCTCTCCCTTGCTTTTCTCTAAATAATTTTTTTACGTTTGAGCAAAATAAAATGTTAACGAGAGGTTATTAAATATTTAATAGTAATATATTATAAATAATTATTCAAATTCTGTCAAGTTAATATTATAGTATATTTGGAAAAGTTTTTAAAAATTTAATATAATTTCGTCAAAATTACACACTAGAGATATAAAATGCGTAAATAGATTTGTTTATAAATAGTATGTATTTTATATATCTAGAGTAATAAAGTTGGCAAACGGTAAACAATAAACTACGTTGTATACTACTGGACCATGCATCATTCGTTCATCACACTTAGATTATGTTTATATTATTGATTAATGATGAATAGAGGAAGAAATTTAGAAAATTTGATTAACAAAAGCGTTCATTAAAGAGAAAATTAATTCTCTGCCTGTACTAACGACTGTTATGGTATAATAGTATTCAATCAATTAAATGAAAAATTATTATAAAGTTAAATTTAAAATTCCAAAATTGCCGTTAATACTAAATGGTGTGGCTCAGAATCAACTGATTCATTGAAATGAGTTACATTTACATTTAAATAGATAATTAATTTTTAGAGAACAGAGTAGTTTGTTATTTTATTTATTTTTATAAATCAGATATCCTATAAAATGAATTTCGCGTGGTATTTGTCCCCCTTGTTCGATAATCGGAATTGAAGCATTCCCCGAACGCAGGTAGGCAATGCTTGGTCCAGTATCATACGACTGTGGTGAATACGATACACTCGCACAGCCGCACCGGTCAACAGCCTGCAGCAATTCCGAGTGATAACTCCACCGGAGGTGGCAAGGCTAGCGGACTTTCAAGTAGCAATCACTTCGCCATCGGGATATCAGGTGAAGGCTCATGTGATGCCGAGTCACGACGGTTATCTCGTCAACTTCACACCAACTGAATTAGGCGAATATCTTTTGGGTATAAGTTTTGGAGGCGAACCAGTTTCCAGTTATCCTCATCGAATGATCTGTATCCATGGAAGTGATCCCAGCAAGGTTCGAGCTTCTGGTCCTGGACTTTCGCAGGGATTGGTGAATCAACATGCTCAATTTATGATCGATACACGAGGATCAGGACAAGGTGGTCTTGGCGTGACGGTTGAGGGTCCTTGTGAAGCTGCGATTAATTGCAGAGATAATGGAGATGGCACATGTTCAGTCGCCTATTTTCCCACTGAACCTGGAGATTATAGTATCAATATTGTCTTCAATGAACAACATATTCCTGGCTCACCGTTCCAGGCTATCATCTTTCCGGATACGGATCTCTCTAAGATCAAGATCTCCGGCAATGGAATACAGGCTCACGGTTAGCAGCCGATCTTCTCTTGACTCTAGGAGACCTCTCTTTTTTGCCACGAACTAATTTTGCATGCCAGAGTGTTTAAAAATACCAAGAAAAAAATTACTTGGCTGCAGAATCCCGCATTTCGAATAATTGCATGAGGTTTTAGTTAAATTAATCTTACCTGTAATTCTTGAAAGTATTTCAAGTTTAAAGTTTATAAATCTGAATAGAAATATTTTTTTAAACATTTCTAACAATATTTGTTTTGGAATATTTGTAAAAAAATTTCAAGAACTTTAAACGAGCTTATGAGGAATTTTGCAAAAAAAGAAATGTTTGTGTGTGTGTGTAATGAATATGTGTTCTTGTTTAAAAAAATTCGTCGCTTTAAAACGGATAGTGAATAACTAGTACAATATTTAATTCTATCTTGTTCTTTTTGATTATCTGAAAAGCAGAGAAAAAATATTAAAATAAAAGTTCTCAGAATATATGTAAATCTTAAAATTGAGAAATTTATTTGAATCTTTACTTCTCTTTTGCAGATCTCAATATTAATCAACCAACGGAATTTACAATTGACGCAAGAGCTGTTCCGAAAGTAAAGAATGATGAAGTGAAAATTTCTTGTTCTATCAACAATCCAAGTGGTGGAATAACAGAAAAGGTGATTACACCCAAAGTTGATGGAACATATAGAGTCGAATACACTCCTTTTGAAGAAGGACCACACACGATTGATATTCTTTATAATAATATTCCTGTTCCTGGATCACCATTTTCAGTGAACGTCAAAAAAACCACTGATGCCGGACGGTGTCGTGCTTTCGGACCTGGACTCCAAAAAGGCGTCGTTAACAAACCAAATCACTTTACTGTTGAAACAAAAGGTTCATTACTGATATTACCTTTAAAAAACATTCTATTATTAGAGATTTTTATTTTTTTTTAAATATATTTTACAGAGGCCGGTACAGGAGGTCTTGGACTTTTAATAGAAGGTCCAAGTGAAGCGATTGTGAAATGTAAAGATAACTATGATGGATCTTGTAGCGTTGAATACGAACCTAGTGAACCAGGAGATTACGACGTTAGTATTAAATTTGCCGATAAGCATATACCCGGATCTCCATTCAAAGTTCCAATAGAATCACAGGTAAAATTCAATATTGTTTTAGGAATAAAATAGTAAGAATTAAAAATAAAATAATTTCTTTTCTCTAGTCAATTGCAAAGGATGTGACAGCTCATGGACCTGGAATTGAACCAAACAAAGTAAGAGAAGGAGTTCCAGCGAAATTTATTGTCGATACTTCGAAAGCACCCCCTGCACAATTGGACGTGAAAGTTAAAACTGATAGAGGACAGATTGGAAAACCAGAAATCAAAAGTCGTGGAGGTGGAATATACGAGGTGACTTATCAGCCATCACAAGCTGGCAGTAATGTACAAGTCGATGTCAATTATGGAGGAGAAAGTATTAAAGGAAGTCCTTACAAAGTCAATGTTAATACATCTTGTGAGCCCAGCAAAGTTGTTCTCTCTGGACCAGGAGTGTCTCCAGTTTGCACTGCCTCCTTTCCTACTGATTTTATTGTTGATACATCCAACGCTGGATATGGAGATCTAGAAGTTCAAGTTCTTGTAAGTTTTTATCATTATTATGTGCTAGTAAAAAAATTATTTATAGAAAGATTTACTATCTTTATTTTTCTTTTTGAAAATACTACTTTCCCATTACTTCGTAGGGACCCGATCAAGTTCCTCGACGAGTTGGAATTCAAGAACTTGACAATGGAAAGTACAAGGCTACTTATTTGCCTGATGACTGTGGAAGGTACAAGATCAACGTCAAGTACGGAGGACAGGAAGTTCCAGGAAGTCCAGTCAATGTACAAAGTGTATCAACTGGCAAAGCAGATCAATGTAAAATTAAGGAGGGAGTTCAACAAAACTTGGCTCAAGGGGAGGAATACTGTATCACTGTTGACACTGAAAATGCTGGACGTGGTGCTGTAACTTGTCGCATACGTTCTACTTCCGGGAGGTGAGATTATTCATTATTCCAATTTTACATTTCCATTAAATTTTGGAAATTACAAACTTTCCGAGAATTATTTTTGTTTTTTCTACGAATTTTTTGACAATCTTTTAAAAAATTCTTTGGGACTATATATAGTTCTGAGAATATATTTTTTTTTGTGATTCCGATTTATGTAACAGTTTGAATTAAAAAAAAAAATTTAAAGGATATAGAATATAGAGATAAAAATAATAGAAGTAAAATGATGATAGACGTTTACAAGCAATGACAGTAATTAGCCGTATATCTATTACTCTCATCGATTGTTTCATATGTCTTGAGAATATTCTTGTCAAAGGGAGAACTCTACTTATTGCTTGGCAATAGAAAGACAGCTGCCACTCTTGAAAGACATATATTTCAGCTAGAATGTCAGTTGCTACTAATTTATTATATCACCCATGTAGTTTGTCACGGATAACAAAGTTCAAATTAACGATTTAAGTCTCTTTAAGTCACTTCGGCAAAGATAAACACGATTATTCGTATCTTGAACCTAGTTTTCATCTAATTCAATAAAAAAAAATTTATTTTCATCTATAGTTAAATGAGGAATTTCATTAAATTACAAAATATATTTTTTTAAAACAAATTTTTGTTTAAAAATATTATTTAATAGTACAAAATACATTTATTATTATTTTCAATCAAACTAATTATTTATCAATCATGAATTAAATTCTTCAATTATCGAGAAATGATAATTGAATCTTTCGCGTCGTTACAGATCTTTTTTTTCTGTTTTCAGAATAGTTTACACTTCGTAATGTTAAGAATTTTTATTATATAATAAAACTTATATAGGAAAACAGTTTTTTTTTTATCGTTGTTTACAGATCGTAATATTTCTGGAATGTAGTTTGTATAACGTAGCTTGATATGTTAGAGGTGATCTAAATTTGTATTAAATAAAACAGGGAGAGCCTTAACCAAGTATTTATAGCATTTCGAAAAATTCGACGTGACTTTTCTAGCGACTAAGTAACTATATGATTTCAGATCGCACGACATCGAAAACGTGCTCCTACGCGTGAAAAACTATTATTAACACAATAATGTTTTCGTATAACTATTCATTCCATTCTCTCGATTTTTTTTTGTTACACACTGTCAGTAATTGAAAACAAAAGTTCTACGCTCTATTTTCGCAAATTTGATCCCCGTAGAATTTATTAGTAGTTCCTTGAATAAATTCTTGCAATTTTTCAAATTCTCAAGTTTTTACATTAAATATATAAAGGAATAATTTTAATTTGTGATATTTTAAAAATTATTCTTTTCTTGATTTAAAGAGAAGAAATTCTTTTTTTCTAAAAAAAAAATGTATTTATTTTTAGTAGTAGGTAATCCTTTAAACCTCTAAAAAAAGTACATGGGATTCTATTAATGGTGACATTTCTCTCATCACAGTTAAATGCCCTCCACCTTAAAGTTATTTTTATTCTGTATTTTTCTTTATTTTACTCATACCCTTAATCAGTTTCTCAGTTAAAAATGGATATTTATCTACAGTAACGTAATCAAGACTCCCCATTTTATGGTTTTCGAGAGAAGGACCGAAGTCTTTCGTCATGAACAGCTTCTCACAACGACGTATGTTGAAGTAAATGGAAAAAGTAATTCTTTTTCTATTAACGTATCCGGCTTGAATTTTTATCACTTTACTAATATCCTTAAAAAAAAACTCCTTTTTCTTTAAACAAAAAAATTAAATATATAGTCTAATGCTGAATTCAAATTAATTTTAAAAATATTTTGTTTCTTTATAATTCTTGAAAAATCAATTAATTTTAATGTCAACGTTTTAATGGAATTCAAAAAAATAGTTTATTAATAATTTGGATCGGTTTTTAGACAACAGATCAAAATGCACGCCCCTATTTCTTTATTTTTATAAATATTTATATCCGTAAATCCTTTTTGCTTTGTATTTTTATAAAAGTTTTAAATTTACTTTGTGTAATTATTTATTACCCTGTTTTAGAACATTATTTCTGTAAATTTGTTCCCCTATTTTAATTTCTGTTATTTATTTATAGTTCTATTATTTATTTCTCTATTATAACAATTTATTTTCCCGTTACAGTGAAGATGTTGATATTGACATTCAAGATAATGGAGATGGAACAGTCGATATTTATTATACAGTAGCGGATGCTGGTGAATATACTTTGAGTATCAAATTTGGTGGTCAACCAATTCCAGAAGGATTCTACACTTTTACGGTAAGCAATTATTATCATTTTTAAAAAACATAACTACGTCGTTCGTCGCAGAATTTCAACAATTTTTTTTTCACGCATCCGGAAGGAGAAAATATTTTTGAAAAAAATAGAAAGAAAATTAGAAGAAGAGAGGAAACGACAATTTTCATGGGTCTCAGCTTTCCTCTGATGGTACACTCGTATCATCTTCTTCGTCGACGATCATCTTGGTAGGTGGGGGAGTGAAGTGTAGCTAACTATAGAGACAACACGTTTAACGTTGAGGACATTGTCGCGAACCCTCCGACGACACAGTTCACTCCGAAAGCTCATCGTGATCGCGTCAACCAATTCCAATGCATTATCTTTAAACAAGTAAGTGGTCATCGTCATCGTGATTCTGCTTTTATAACGCCATCGTCATCACCATCGTCATCTTTCTCTCTCTCTCTCTCTCTATCTCTCGACATCCCTCCTCGAAGAGCGCCATCCGCGAAAGACTTCTGCCAAAATTCGTAACATCAAGAGCCTCTTCACTGGATACCTCCCACCCGTATTTTAATCTCTCTTCTTATTCGCTACTCGACTCCATCTCTTTTCCACTTTTATCAACGAAATCTTACCGTGAAGTTTCTGGCACTTTAACCCCCTATTTCCGGTTGAGAGACGAGACACTTTTTGGGAGGTTCTTTCCGGTCGTTAACTGCAATTGTATATTTTTCTTGTGTTTTGGATGGAGCAATAATAATTATCCGAAGAGATCGTTTTCAGTGCTAGATCTTTCTAGAATTATTTTTATTTCTAATTATTTTCTTTTCTATTTTATTTCCATATTTATATTTTTGATCAAGTTTGATTTAAACGAACTCTATTGATCTGTAAGTAGGGATTTTTCCAAAAAAAAATTGAATTTTTTTTTGAAAATTTTTTGATGAATGAATTTTTTCCCTTGGAACTCAAATTTTTAATTCGAGATTTTCTTTCATTTTCTTTTGTATTAGAATTTTTCCTCAACTGGACACTTTGATCCTCAATATGTTGGTTGCAGTAAACTTTCTTTACGGCTGATTAAAAAAAAATTTTTTTTATCAATTCCTTGAATTGTAATTGAGTGTATTATTATTTTTCGCCTTTCATTGTTTTTGAAGTAAAAATAGTATAGTTGCAATTTCGTTCTATCATATTTTTGCAAGGGATGATAAGTTTGGCCTAATACTTTCTTAAGAGATCCTTAACTTTGTATAGATAGAAATATGGAATGAAAAATATGATAAATATCAGTATAAATTACATTTTACAGTCGTTAGCCCGGTGGAGTTGCTCAAATTATAATTAGAAATGAAAGATAGCTTGTCAGATTGAATCTTGGAATTACACAGCAGCAAGTGGAAGATGTCCACTTTCGACCGGCATTTAAGTAGTGAAAATTAATAAGGTCAGGCGCTAATATGCATTATTGACTTCTTTGGATGAAACCTCTTTTGTAAAATTCATTTTTTTTTTTTTTTTTAATTATTTTTTACAACAATTATTTAACGCCAGACGTTTATTTCAATAATATACTTTACACAAGAAAATTAATATAATTAATATTTTAAAGTCTCAGAATTTGAGTATACAATATTTTGATAATTGAAAATTAATTAAATTTCTTTATGAATCTATTGTGAAATATAATCCACGACTTGGAATCAAGTGGAATAAAACTACATAGTGTGGAGGATCTTCTAGACTATTTTGAGTGCCAGTCAAGTTTTCCCAAATTTATAAGCAAGTTCCACTAGTGAGCGTGGGTGGACGAAGACGGGTGGCGAATTAATGCCATTGGTTAAATTAAACGTAGTACCTCGATTTACAACAGCGATTTTATGCCATAATAATTTTTTTCCTACTATTTAGATATTACGATTGGCTTCTATCTTTTCACCGATATATGTTTTTTTTAAACTAATATTTAATTTCCAGTTTTAAAAATAATTGAAATATAATTGAAATATTTACAAAAAAAAAACAAATTTTAATTAATAAGATTTTGTTCTATTGAATTTTAAAAATATTTTCTTTCAGTTTCATATTTTTCTATAATCATTTATTTCCTATTTAAACAAAAATTCAAGTTTAAAGACTAAAATTGAAAATTTTTAAAAATATTAAAATAACAGTTAATTTATCATGGTTTGTTCGCACATATTTCAAAATTAGAGTTTAGAGGAAGTGTCAACCTGCAAAATGTACACAAGCCAAAATGACAGCTAACTCAAAGAAGCGTCACTTTCAAATTAATTATGCAAGAGAAACTATTTAATAATTTTAACACAATTTCTTAACTACACTGAAGAAGAATTTATTTAAAGCTAATAATTAAATGACTATTACCAAATAAATACTTAGTTGAAACAAATAATTATTTAAATCATATCTAAACAGTTTGGAAACAAATACCATTTCATTAAATCATTTAATAGTCATTGAATATAAAATAAATTTTTTCAGCGTAAAAATTTATTTGGTTTAAAAAATTTTAATTATTAATTTAATTATTTCCAATTATTTCAATTACGTATATAAAGTTTATTTCGTATATTATAGCAAACATTGAAAAAAAATTTTGAATGTAAAAATAAGTATGTAATTTTTTTTTTTTTTTTTTGTCTGAAAATTGTGGTTTTTAATTAATTCAAAAAGAGCCGAAAGACGAAACGACAGCTGCACAAACGAGAGATGTGTGACCTACAGTTTAGAGATTTGCATGAGCGACGCGAATTTTCGAAAATAGAAGATGTAGTTGGCGTGATAAAAATAATCAGATTGACTTTTATTGGAGAAACATGATGAACACTCTTTCAATTACTATTATTAATTTTCAATTTTTTTTTTTTGTTAACAATTTTGCACATGGGGCAAAAATAGGTCGGTATTATTTTCATAACAACATTTTTCGTATAACTATTAAAATTCAAAATTTTATTTTTATTGTTTTAAATATTTTTAATTTTTTTAAATTTCTGTTGTAAAAAATAATAATTTGAATTTTAATCGTTATACAAAATATAATTGTTTCATATTGTTTTTATCTAAATATATATTTTAGAAAGAAGATAGAAAAACTATTATTAAAATTGTTAATCCATAAAAAATTATGTTGGATTAAAATTGTTGCAGCTTATTTTAATTTACAATTTTCTGGTACAATTTCTCATAAGATTTGCATCTTCCATATGCTCAATTATTTCTCTTTATAACAGCCTTGACTGGGAGAGCTTTGGAACTATTATAGTATCACTGACGTATTTCGAATTGTTTTCGTGAATTTCATGAGAAGTAAATCTGTTTTGTTATGAGTCTCTGAATGTATAGAAGTGTACCGTTGTTAGTTGATCCCGATTTCTAGCGCTTTTCAGTCGTATTGTTCTTGACATTTTGTTCCTTAAGATAATTTAAAATTGTGTTTCTGTTGTCATTTTAAAATACATTTTTTTTTATTTTATAGTGCTGATTAAAAAAAAAAGTAATGTTTACTTTTAAAATGGATTTTAATTTCTTCTGAAGAAAAAAACAAAGATCCTAAGGGATCATTCAGGTAAATTAGGTACATACCTTCTCTTTGTGTTACTTTTTCCATTGTTTACAAATTAAATTACAATCACCCCTAAAAATATCGCGTAATATGTGAATGGTTACTAATGTGAATTTGAATTGAAGAAAAGAAATTTTTTTCATTTCGAGTGTCGTAAATGTAAAACAAATACGAAAAAGAACGAAACGCAATGTCATGCACGTGTAAACGATTAAGTTAACGTATTTTTGATTAGAGGAAATCCAGCCTCTTAAGATGAATCTGTCAGGTGGGGAAATTGACCACAAAATATTTCTATAAATCAAATTTCCATGTGGCCAAATTTTTCAAGGATTATACAGGAAATAGGTATATTATTTTGGCTGAAAACCAACCACGAAAGACGCAAGTTTCATTTTAATAGATATTTCCTTAAATTCGATAATTTTCTCTCGATTATAGAGTTTAATATATGTTAATTTCTGAATATTATGTGTAGATGAAGAAGAATGATAACAAGAAAGTAAAATATTATTGAAATATATTTTAATTTGTTTGTTTTTAATTATTTACAGGCATCAGAGGAATACAGAGAGCAAAGCACCCACAAAACTCATCGAGCGAAAAAAACTAAACAAAGTCAAGAACAACGCGTCGTCGAACAACACAGTTCAAGTGTCCAGGAGAGCGTTAGCGTCACAAAACGTAGTACTACAAAAGATTCATCTCAAAAAAAATTCAACGTTGTTCGACTTAATAACATCCCTCTACCTTCCACTAGTGGCAAAGTGACATGTAAGTATTTTTCAAAATTTATTTTCATATTTCAACGCACATTTCCATCTGAAAATCCGCATAGTTTTTTCATGATTCATTTGAAAATAGTACAAATCCAATAAACCTGTATATATAAGCGGAAGAAAACAGGTCACTGATCTAGAAAGTCTAGTTCAAATGAAATTTAATGAACCACGTGTGCGAACAGAATTTAATAATTTCGATTTTCTTCTCGCCCCAAGTGGCATGTATTTAATAAAAAACGTTTAGATTTAAAACCATTTAACTGATCGTAAAATTTTTGGACAAAGGCCTCACGCCAAAAACGTGGTAACTTACATATACATATGGGTGACAAACATACTTATAACTACTTTTACACGAACGATGGTGTCGGAAGCGACGTGATATTAATATTGGGTGATTAAGTGGCCACGGATGCGCACTTGTGGTTGGCCAAAAACTGAACTTTAGAGCCCCGAGGACAATCCAAAAAAAGATCAAACTACCCACACAGCCCCTTACCCCTTTACATCAGATGAAACCTCATCTTTCATTTATCACCATTTCGACAGTCCAGTGACTATTTAATAGCTTCATAATTTTTGAGTAATGGTAATCATTATCCAGATTTTTCTCATAATTTACAGTTAAAGAAGTGCTTATTTCACAAGGCTGCAAGTGCCAAGAAAACACGTTTATTCATCAACTCAATAATGATTTAAGAGTTCTTAAAATTAACATCGACTTAAAACCATATCTAATTAATTATTTCAAAGAGATACAACAGCCTTTGAAGGTATATCAAAACAATTAACTCGAAAATTTAAAAAACTACAAAATTTAAATTGAACTAGCTCAGCATCCCCTGGACCAATCAAAAAGTGCCCAATACATTTTTTGTTCGAGACTTTTTGCTCAATTTTTTGGCATTATTCCCGAGACATTATCTCGCAAATTTTATTTTTTGTATTTTTTCCAAAATATTTTTGAGTGTAGCTCAGCATCCGCTGGACCGATCAAAAAGTGCGCCATACATTTTTTGTTCGAAACTTTTTCCCTATTTTATTGGTGGTATTCCAGAGCAGTTATCTCGCAAATTTAATTTTTCGAAAATTTTTCGGAACTTTATTTGACTGTAGCACAGCATCCGCTGGACCAATCAAAAAGTGCGCAATACATTTTTTGTTCAGAACTTTCTTCTAACTACTTTGGCTGTATTCCCGAATAATTATCTCGCGAATTTAATTTTTCGAAAATTTTTCCAAAATATTTTTGAGTGTAGCTCAGCATCCGCTGGACCGATCAAAAAGTGTGCCATTCATTTTTTGTTCGAGACTCCCGGGTTAAGACTTTGGCGGTATTCCCGATTAATTATCTCGCAAATTTAATTTTTCAAAATTTTTAAAAAAATTTATCTGACTGTAGCTCAGCATCCGCTGGACCAATCAAAAAGTGCGCCATACATTTTCTGTACGAAACTTTTTCCCTATTTTTCTGGTGGTATTCCGGAGCAGTTATCTCGCAAATTTAATTTTTCGAAAATTTTTCGGATCTTTATTTGACTGTAGCTCAGCATCCGCTGGACCAATCAAAAAGTGCGCAATACATTTTTTGTTCGTGACTCCCGGGTCAAGACTTTGGCGCTATTCCCGATCAATTATCTCGCAAATTTAATTTTTCAAAATTTTTTAAAAAATTTATCTCAGTGTAGCTCAGCATCCGCTGGACCAATCAAAAAGTGCGCCATACATTTTCTGTACGAAACTTTTTCCCTATTTTTCTGGTGGTATTCCGGAGCAGTTATCTCGCAAATTTAATTTTTCGAAAATTTTTCAGAACTTTATTTGACTGTAGCTCAGCATCCGCTGTACCAATCAAAAAGTGCGCCATACATTTTTTGTTCGAAATTTTTTCCCTATTTTATTGGTGGTATTCCAGAGCAGTTATCTCGCAAATTTAATTTTTCGAAAATTTTTCGGATCTTTATTTGACTGTAGCTCAGCATCCGCTGGACCAATCAAAAAGTGCGCAATACATTTTTTGTTCGTGACTCCCGGGTCAAGACTTTGGCGCTATTCCCGATCAATTATCTCGCAAATTTAATTTTTCAAAATTTTTTAAAAAATTTATCTCAGTGTAGCTCAGCATCCGCTGGACCAATCAAAAAGTGCGCTATACATTTTTTGTTCGTGACTCCCGGGTTAAGACTTTGACGGTATTCCCAATCGATTATCTCGCAAATTTAATTTTTCAAAATTTTTTAAAAAATTTATCTCAGTGTAGCTCAGCATCCGCTGGACTAATCAAAAAGTGCGCCATACATTTTTTGTTCGAGACTCCCGGGTTAAGACTTTGGCGGTATTCCCGATTAATTATCTCGCAAATTTAATTTTTCAAAATTTTTTAAAAAATTTTATGACTGTAGCTCAGCATCCGCTGGACCAATCAAAAAGTGCGCCATACATTTTTTGTTCAGAACTTTCTTCTAACTACTTTGGCTGTATTCCCGAATAATTATCTTGCGAATTTAATTTTTCGAAAATTTTTCTAAAATATTTTTGAGTGTAGCTCAGCATCCGCTGGACCGATCAAAAAGTGCGCCATACATTTTTTGTTTAAGACTCCCGGGTTAAGACTCTGACAGTATTCCCGATCAATTATCTCGCAAATTTGATTTTTCAAAATTTTTTAAAAAATTTATCTCAGTGTAGCTCAGCATCCGCTGGACATATCAAAAAGTGCGCCATACATTTTTTGTTTGAGACTCCCGGATTAAGACTTTGGCGGTATTTCCGATTAATTATCTCGCAAATTTAATTTTTCAAAATTTTTTAAAAAATTTATCTGACTGTAGCTCAGCATCCGCTGGACCAATCAATAAGTGCGCCATACATTTTTTGTTCGAGACTCCCGGGTTAAGACTTTAGCGCTATTCTCGATCAATTATCTCGCAAATTTAATTTTTTAAAATTTTTTAAAAAATTTATCTGAGTGTATCTCAGCATCCGCTGGACCAATCAAAAAGTGCGCTATACATTTTTTGTTCGTGACTCCCGGGTCAAGACTTTGGCGCTATTCCCGATCAATTATCTCGCAAATTTAATTTTTCAAAATTTTTTAAAAAATTTATCTCAGTGTAGCTCAGCATCCGCTGGACCAATCAAAAAGTGCGCCATACATTTTTTTTAGAACTTTCTTCTAACTACTTTGGCTGTATTCCCGAATAATTATCTCGCAAATTTAATTTTTCAAAATTTTTTAAAAAATTTATCTGACTGTAGCTCAGCATCCGCTGGACCAATCAAAAAGTGCGCCATACATTTTTTGTTCGAGACTCCCGGGTTAAGACTTTGGCGGTATTCCCGATTAATTATCTCGCAAATTTAATTTTTCAAAATTTTTTAAAAAATTTTATGACTGTAGCTCAGCATCCGCTGGACCAATCAAAAAGTGGGCCATACATTTTTTGTTCAGAACTTTCTTCTAACTACTTTGGCTGTATTCCCGAATAATTATCTCGCAAATTTAATTTTTCAAAATTTTTTAAAAAATTTATCTGACTGTAGCTCAGCATCCGCTGGACCAATCAAAAAGTGCGCCATACATTTTTTGTTCGAGACTCCCGGGTTAAGACTTTGGCGCTATTCTCGATCAATTATCTCGCAAATTTAATTTTTTAAAATTTTTTAAAAAATTTATCTGAGTGTAGCTCAGCATCCGCTGGACCAATCAAAAAGTGCGCTATACATTTTTTGTTCGTGACTCCCGGGTTAAGACTTTGACGGTATTCCCAATCGATTATCTCGCAAATTTAATTTTTCAAAATTTTTTAAAAAATTTTATGACTGTAGCTCAGCATCCGCTGGACCAATCAAAAAGTGCGCTATACATTTTTTGTTCGTGACTCCCGGGTTAAGACTTTGACGGTATTCCCAATCGATTATCTCGCAAATTTAATTTTTCAAAATTTTTTAAAAAATTTATCTCAGTGTAGCTCAGCATCCGCTGGACTAATCAAAAAGTGCGCCATACATTTTTTGTTCGAGACTCCCGGGTTAAGACTTTGGCGGTATTCCCGATTAATTATCTCGCAAATTTAATTTTTCAAAATTTTTTAAAAAATTTTATGACTGTAGCTCAGCATCCGCTGGATCAATCAAAAAGTGCTCCATACATTTTTTGTTCAGAACTTTCTTCTAACTACTTTGGCTGTATTCCCGAATAATTATCTTGCGAATTTAATTTTTCGAAAATTTTTCTAAAATATTTTTGAGTGTAGCTCAGCATCCGCTGGACCGATCAAAAAGTGCGCCATACATTTTTTGTTTAAGACTCCCGGGTTAAGACTCTGACAGTATTCCCGATCAATTATCTCGCAAATTTGATTTTTCAAAATTTTTTAAAAAATTTATCTCAGTGTAGCTCAGCATCCGCTGGACATATCAAAAAGTGCGCCATACATTTTTTGTTCGAGACTCCCGGGTTAAGACTTTGGCGCTATTCCCGATCAATTATCTCGCAAATTTAATTTTTCAAAATTTTTTAAAAAATTTATCTCAGTGTAGCTCAGCATCCGCTGGACCAATCAAAAAGTGCGCCATACATTTTTTTTAGAACTTTCTTCTAACTACTTTGGCTGTATTCCCGAATAATTATCTCGCAAATTTAATTTTTCAAAATTTTTTAAAAAATTTATCTGACTGTAGCTCAGCATCCGCTGGACCAATCAAAAAGTGCGCCATACATTTTTTGTTCGAGACTCCCGGGTTAAGACTTTGGCGGTATTCCCGATTAATTATCTCGCAAATTTAATTTTTCAAAATTTTTTAAAAAATTTATCTGAGTGTAGCTCAGCATCCGCTGGACCAATCAAAAAGTGCGCTATACATTTTTTGTTCGTGACTCCCGGGTTAAGACTTTGGCGCTATTCCCGATCAATTATCTCGAAAATTTAATTTTTCCAAATTTTTTAAAAAATTTTATGACTGTAGCTCAGCATTCGCTGGACCAATCAA